GATGGACTGGATGAGAGAGCGGGTTGGTGTACTTGAAGTAGAGGTGCATAACACACATCATTCCAACACCCATGAGTTGAGCCTTGAAGAGCTCGCGCAACTTCTGGAGATCGTAGGCCTTGACCGTAGTTGCGACAAACTTGGGCTCTTCGCCGGAACCCATCGGCGCAGGCTCGACGTATTTGACGACCGTCATGTCTATGCCATGTCAGCGCTACCACTCAGTATGAAGTTGCCTACGTTCCCTTGGCTTACCATTCTTCTTGTTGATTTGTGCCTGGACGTAGAAGTAGACACTGGCAATGATGATGTTGGACACAATGTAGAGTGCGCGCACACCATTGAGGACATTCGGGTCATCGAAAGGAATCTTCTTGGAAATTTGCATGAAACCACTGTACTTGTATTAGACAGGATCGAGTGCGCGAGTGCTGTGGAGGAGCCTACAGGATAATGACCAGGTTGGTACTGTATCGGAATTAGCAAACTGTCAACATGTCAAGACTGGATACAACCTACATTTGCGGGCTGATCGCCATGATGAGGGGTGGAGCGGGATATCCGGAACTGAGATTTGACGGCGATTCTTTGCAAGAGTCCACAGACTGAGTTATTGCGCGAAACGTGGGTGAGAGGCAAAGGGAACTGGCGGGCGACTTTTGTGGTGGGCGAGGGTCCTTAGCGTCTCAAGAGGCCAGGTAGCCCGCGGTTTACTAGGCCGAACGCAAACGGCTTCTTTCGCTTCTAGGCGCGTCTTACGCCTTCTCTGGACACATGCAGGCTGGCCGTGACAGCATGTCTCTTAGCTATTACATCACGTTTCTTTCAAGTTCAGCCATGCAAAGAGCGTCTTCCGAGCTCCTGCCTTTTTCATTCGTTTGTGTGTATCAACTCTATTGCCTGAGATACGCGTCCACTGCGACAGGCTATGCCTACCCATGCCCATGTTTAATCCAAAACTCCGCGCTAAACGACCAGAAACTCCTCAGTCAACCTCACATAAAATTTGACTCTGTTGATGAGGAGATGCAATGCAAACAATGAAACCAACAATCCTGTATATATACAAGCCAGGGTTCATCACATGATGACGCACTCGCGGTCCGGACGGTTCTTGTCCTTGTGCTTACCTTTCTCCAAGGCTGCACCAGGATCCCTGCTCTTACTCCTCAACCTATCCTTCTTCTCTTTTTTGATCTTGCCGCTATCTTTCCGGTCTTTTGCCGGCGATTGCACAGGCTGGTTGATTTCCACGCCCTTGGTATTGTCGCTCAAGATGACGGTATCATCATTAGCAGAGCCGGCTTCGGCCATGGTGAGCTTGTCTTTGCTACCGCGCCCCGTAAGCCTTGATATAGTGATGGATAATCGAGTCTCGGTTGTTGGACTGCCTGACCGACTTTTGGTGTTCCCGGGCATCCATATACGGGAACCGCGTCGAGATGTGGTCAAAAAACTGCTCTTCTGCTCGTCTGGTGTCTGTGGCTCCATCCGACCGCGCAGGTTGCCATCAATGTCCTCAATTGCAACGCTGCTCGCCCGATTGCTGGAAACGCTATTTCTGCTAAGCGGCTCGTCCGCTTGGTTGACATCAACACGCTCATTTGATATATTAGCTTGCTCACTCCCTCCAATCTTGTCTGTGTCTGATGAATTTGTCGAAGACACCGAAGCAAGCTTTTCGTGCGAGGGATTGACTGATGGGAGTTGGGATTGTGCCTCTGTGTAGGTTGGAGGATCTCCTCGTGAAGCCAGCTCTTCATCAATGGGCTGTACTTGGTAAAAGAGGAGATATGGGGATTCTTCGCGTAGAGCCTTCTTGATATCGACCTCGGTCACTCGCTGTTTCGAAAGATCATCAAACCGTAACCATTTATCCTGGTCTTCTTCTGGCTCAGAATGCGAAGTCCCAGGTCGCCCAGGAGTGTTGGCACGTACGAGGGCAATATAGTGCCCCGAATCGACTGATACGCCCCGATGACAAACAACAGACTGGAGGACTAGCTTGAAGTTGCCAAAGAGCGGGCCCTCGTCTTTCATCCTGTCGTCGGAGATAAAGTGAGGAAGTCCAATGTCGAGCGGGATGTCGACATAGGTATCCAGCCGCTTTGGGGATCCATTTGGCGTCATCGTGTACCTCTTTAGGCATATTCCAAGCACGGGACGTTTTACTGAAAAATGTGCGGCGACTTGGGCATCTGTTCTGGGGACATTGTCGGTATACCAGGCTGTCCAGTGATTAGAGGAGCAGACTACAGAGCATTATTGACTTACGAATGAGGCTGAAGAACTGCCACGCAGGCATGAGAATCTCCTTCTTAAGTAGAGAAGCAGATCGTGGCCGGCCACCAGAGCTTGTATCTAATACGTCTTCGACGTGTTTCTTCTCGTCAAACTTGCTCTCTGGCTGACGCGCGTACCGCTGGCTGAAGATACTATCGGCTCTGCGACGCCCTTCCAGGACAGGTCGTACTGGCGTCAATGGCGTGGTGGGCCCTAGGGAAATCGGCGTTGAGACAAGCGGAGTCATTGATCCGTCCAGTTCCGTGGTCTCGATATGGAAGGTCTCATTCTTCTCCGGGTCCCTGTCTACCAACTCCCCATCTCTTGACCTCATGGACGCTATCGTGTTTTGCCGTTGCAGGTACCGTTTGACTTCGATTCTGTTGTTGAAGTAGGTCTCGAGGCAGTCCTCCAACGTAACCACACTGTCACCCTCTTGTTCCGGGATCGCGACTTCTAGTAACCGTTCGTTGACGAACTTGTGATCGTCTTCCTTGTCTTCACGCCCCGTATGGTAAATGTCCATCTTCAGAGTAAGTAGCGGCAGCTCAAGTACACCGGTGATGAAGGTAAAGGCTTCGGATGCGTCTTGTTGTCGAACCTGGGCCGCATCTTCCCATCCACACTTTGCGAGTGAATCTTGGAGGTGTTTGGTCAAGTCAACCTTGATGAGTTCTCCGCTCCGTAAAAGATTGACCCATAGTCGCAATACAGCCGCCAACTTTTTCCTTGGCTCATCTTCAAAATTGTCGTATAGCATCGCTTCAAAACTGTCTAGGCGGGCAAACATGGCGAACAGAAGTGCGTCGAGATAACAGGTAACCATGTTCCGGTTGATGGCGCCCAACATAGTTACGTTGGGATTGTATTCTTTTAATTCGCCCTCGAAGGATTCGTTTGCGAGTACTAGGAGGTCATAGGCGCGGTCGAGATCGTCGGGCTGCCATGCAAGCGCGTATTCGGCTTGTTGCTCCCCCATGCTGGTTATGCCAGCACCTTGAAGGCGGCTAAGGAGCATCTTGACCTGCACCTTGTTAACAAAAGCGCAGCATAGCCAGAGTCCCCCCATACCTTCTTGTCGGCTTCATTGTTTGCTGGTGGTCTTGGACCTTCGCTTGTGAATATTCTATATAGTTCTGGCGACGTATTGGCCGAGCGAGACTGGAGTAAGATATAGTCAGAAGAATTCGAAGAAGACGGTCGAATGTCGATTGGCGCAAGATAATTACGAGACGGCAGCTTTTGGTGTAGAAATAAAAGGCTATCTTCTACCGATGTTCGCAATACAAATGGAAGCTTGTGATACAACGTCTCGATACTACTGGACAGCCGTCGCTGGCGGACCGGAGAGCGTTCCGGTGCTGCAGTATCGGGCGACCATAGCAACGGACTGAGAGAGTTGACAGAAGCGAAAGAGCTCGGGCGTACTTGTTTGCTGGCGTGCTTGGATGCGCGCTTCTCATGATGCTTTTCGCGCCGGCTAAGGAAGCGCGACATGCCGTTCATGGTGAAGGTGGACAAAGACGGTACCCATCCAGTAGAGTGTCGACGATTGCGGGTGTAAAGAGGGCGGTCGTGAGTGAGTAGCGGGGTAGTAGGCAGCGAGCAGCGAGCAGCGAGGCGAGCTTAATGTATGAGGAAGGCGCAAACGAGCCGTGAGCCGGGTAGTCGGTGGGGGAAGTGCTTGGTGGTTGAATCCCGGTTGATCCAAGGTTGATACAAGACAAACAGGTCTGGGTTAGCCAAGCACAAACATGACCATGTCCTGTAAATGACACGTTCACGGGCGACGGCCAACATGGAGCCAGAGGCACGCGCAACAGATAAATGTCCCGATGCTCCATCAGCCGCATGTCCATGAACGGCGTTGGAGCATCCAGGCGCCGGTGGGCGGGGTGGTCCTATTGGCTAGGCGCGTGCCCTGATAGCAACACATCCCTGCAGGGCCTCGTATAGCGTATTCCGACGAAAAGTCCGCTCGGGTCGGAACTTGGGTTGGTGCGCGCGCTGTCTGGGCGCATAACCCACCATCAGTCAACATCAGACAGTCATGGCAATGCGAGAACTGCCGCTGCGGACGGCAAAGGCCTTCTGCAACACCACCAGACCAGCCATACGCTTGGTAGGACCCTTGTGTCGCCGCAATGCCTCGTCTGAGGCAGTCCGGGAAGTCGATGCCTCGTCATTCGAGGTCCCGCCGCCATCAGAGGATCTTGTAAAAAACTACGACCCAGTGGCACGGAGTAGGCTGCGGAGAAGGGGAAACAAGCAATTGCCTCCAAGCAGGTACGCACGTGCAGAGGCCAGCCAAAGCATCACGAGCTCATAGGTTATAGGTACCAATACCGCTCGCCCAAGTACTACCGCGGCCCTCTGCATCCCCACCAGCCTCCGCCACCCTCGGATCCCTCTTCACGACTTTTCCAGCCCGGACCATTCAGTCTTACTCGTCTCGAGCAAACGTATCAAAGCAAGATCGCCTCCGACCTCCTCACCCTCACATACCAGCACTATCCTCCGGGCTACCGAGCCCCGAAAACGGAACAGAGATTACGAGAATGGACAGGTGACTCGCCTTATTTCAAGAACCGTCCCCTCAGACCTCCACGAGGAAAGGGTGAGGTGCTGCGCTTACTCCAAGAGCCACGCACCTTCCGCAATGTGCCCAAGATCACAAGGGTCACTCTCCACTCTTTTGTGCCCGAAGCCCAGGAAAACAGCGCCAACCTCCATGTTGCCGGTATGATTGTCCAGGCCATCAGCAACGTGCGAGCCGTTTCGCACAAGGCGAGACACAATGTCGTTGGTTGGGGCCTGCGCAAGGGCCGCTACGTTTCCGTCACTTCCACTATGGAGCGAGAAGATGCTGAACATTTCTTGGCAAAACTCATCGATGTTGTCCTACCCAGAATCAAGGAGTGGAAGGGCGTACCGGGTTCATCTGGTGATGGACACGGAAACATGAGCTTTGGTCTCACACCAGACCAAGTTGCCCTCTTCCCCGAGATTGAGATCAACTATGACGCGTGCGTATTTTCTTCGACTTCAAATCATTCGCGCAATTCTAACTCGCTGCCAGCTACCCACCTAAAATGATCCCTGGTTGCTACATCACGATTCAAACAGACGCCACGAGCAACAAGGATGCGCGAGTACTTCTCCAGGCGATTGGCATTCCATTCTACGGAAAGCTCAATGACTAAGAATTTGCCTCGCCCGGCTATGTATAAACAATAGTAAATGTAACAAACATGTAGGGTGAAGTTGAATTACTTGCACCTCATTCCATCAACAGCTCTTACAAACTAATTCAAAGTTTGGTCTCATTCTAGATTCCTTGTGACTAATGTAGGCACTCTGAGAATGCTGAAGTGAAGCGACATGACCATCAGTCGCACCTTCTACAATGGCTCGCATATAACGGGTTAGCGTCTTGGCAAGCATAAGATGTTACCACCCGTTGGAGCGAATACACTGAAAAGTTCTTGATACTGCCAGTTAAATCACAGCCGACCACGCATCACCCAAAAGATAATGTCAGTGGTTCGAAGGCTCGCATCAGGCTGAATCTCACTTTCACAGCCACCACAATGTTGCCCCACTACCAAGGCTCCGCCACAAACCCGATAATACAGCCTCGCGCCTACAATGATTAGGCATCCTATTTCTACTTTTTCATTGACCATATCCTACCCGACAGTATATTCCCACATACTTGACACATAGGCCGACTTTCTTCTCTATTGTTACGTTCACTATGACCGCACTGGTATGTTTGTAAGGTGTAGTCTGTTTATTTGACCGCGATGTAGCTGACCTATCAAGACAACCGAATTCATACCAAACCATTTGGAAAATTTTCACGCGCCTGAACAACCAAAGAGATATTGCCATCAAGCTTTAGATACGTCATCGCAGCAAATCCGCCTCGTCAAACTGCCTCCACATCGGGATGGACCCCCGCAGCTTCATATCGAATCGTTCGAGCTGGAGAACGCACCAGAATTCATCGCTCTATCATAAATATGGGGTCCTGTGTCGCCAACATTCGACATACTCCTCAACGGACGACCCTTCAGCGTCAGAAAGAGCTTGTACCGTTTCCTGCAAGCTTCTTACGAAGACAAATACCTCTGGATATATCAAATCTGTATCGACCAGTTGAACGTGCTCGAAAGAAACCATCAAGTTGGTCTCATGGCTTCGATATACTCGCAGTGTTCTTCCGTCACTATATGGCTTGAAAGATTTCACAGACGACCAAGGGCGCCTGTCATCTTCAATGACATGAAGAGTGCCGAGGCGCTCGCTGTGATATTACAGCAACCCTATTTTCTGCGACTCTGGATTGTGCAGGAAGTTCTTCTCGCGCGCCGGATCGATATTCTTTGTAGTCATGCATCAATCGGCAATGTGTGGATTTGTTGGGATGACATGTGCAGGCTTGTCAAACAGTCGCAGCCAGCTCTCGAGATGCTCAATGTCCCTACGCCTGCTCTATCGCTACTCAATAATTACAGTATTGGAACCACATGGCCTCTGCTGGGTGCGTTCTTCTCTTTCGGTGCGGGCTACTGTCAGGATCCACGAGACAAGATCTATGGTTTAATGGGGCTCGTCAAGACTGAACACCGTTTGGAAGTCGATTACCGGAAGTCACTTTACGAAGTCCTCATAGATGTTGTGAAGCTGTGCGACAAAATTTACAAACACACCTTTGACGCCTCTGGAAAGCGGTTGTATTGGGAAGAATGCAATCCTCCCCTGTCACCAGCTCAAAACAGTTACACATATTCACCCTACGTCGAAAGCCTATATAACTTAAGCATAAAGATAGGAATTCCACCTCCTCATTCCGGAACCTTTCGACAATGCTTGGAACACATATGGTTGAGATTTGACACGTGGCACAAGTTTGAGTGGAGTCGTAGACACTTCAGCTATATAAGAGGAGATTACCCGCTTGTTGAAATGGAATTTTCCCTATCATCTTCGTCTGATAATAGTTCCGAGATCACCACGCCTGTACCGCACATGGATGAATCCCGCAGCTACTGGTGGTATATCGATGGCGGAAAGAAAATTAAGTTTCACTGTGATGGACTTACTGCTTCTGAGCCCTAGAGCGAGACGGCTACCTCGGACCAACGGGAGAACGAATGTTTCTATCTTGTACTCCGCCAAACAGCCATGCACTCCAAGTCGGCGGACACGCCGAATTAGAAATCGCCGTCCAGCAACATTCCATACACTACCTCAACATCTCAAGTTGTCACGTCCACCACTCGCTCACAAGATCCCAAATTCCTATTCCAAATGTACGACACACGAATAAACCCTACACCCCCACCGCGAATCGCAGCGCCCGCCCCCTTTCAAAAAAGCAGGGAAGCGTAAGAGAGTCTAGTAATTGTATCCGGCGTCTCCCCCCTCCACTTTCCCCCGTCCCACCTATCTACCCAAACCCAAACCCCAAACCCACACGCCCCTCCCACCCCCTCTAAAAACCCTCTGTACTTTACAAAATAAAGGAAGAATAGTTTTTTCATGATTTTTGGTTCTGCGCAACCAGAGTCTTCGCGGTGAAGATGGTTGTGCTAGCCTGGTTTGGAGTGAGGGGGTGTTTTTACGCAGATGCTCGGCCCGGTGGAGATGCTGCGTGGAAGAGGTGGGGTGGGCTGGGTCGCATAGGATAGTGGAGGAGGAGGTGTGTGAGGGGGGTCGGGTTGATATTGGCGGGGACGGAGGAGAGAAGCGTGGGTGGCTGGCTGGTCTCGGGATGTCTTTTGCCGGGGGTGGAGAACGATAGAGGGAAGATAGATAGGGGAAAGGGAATGGGAATGGGAAGGAAAGAAACATAGAATAGGTAGGGGAGGAAGAAAGTGTTACCATGCTATCACACATTTTCTACTTACGTCCCAACTGATTTACCACAAAACCAGCAGCACTCATATTTTCTCAGGGCTCTCAACAAACCAAATAGTTCTACAGTAAATCATCTCTGATATCCATGCGTAGATTGCTTCATCAAACCACAGGACAAATGTGCCGAGTAGAGAGGGAGGCAGCAATGTAGTGCGTGAACATGGCATGTATGATGGGGAAGTAGAAGAAAAGGGGTGAGTTTGCGAAAGCCGAATAATTTATAGCTCTGCAGAAACGGGGTGTATGATGTACGTATGATGTAAATTACAATCATGGTCCGGGGTGGTGGAGGTTAGGTACACTAAGGTGTAGAGGGCCGAATGGGAACCAGAAGAACTCAACAACCAAGCAGTTGAGGCAAGCGATTGAGATGAAAAATAACGACTTCGATTTCACAGGCTAAAGAAGCCATTCAAAGCCTATAGAGAATAGAGACTAATAATGTCCCTGGGATATGGTATGAGTACCCCATTCTACGCCAAACGCCCTGCAATGCCCCCCCCTTGTTTACCAAGTCGACGTTGCAACAAGCTACATCTCCGAAGTGTCAGCGCGCAGTGAAGGATACGTTGATGATACACTTCCTCAACCCATGCAGCACCTCCACCACCCTCCCAACTAACCCACTCCCAATCACGAGAACAGCGCCTCACCCCACCTCATCCGATGCACTCTAGAATCAAAGAGCGAGTAACACTACACCCTAACCCTCTGCTTCTTCTCAATCTCATCCTTCAACCCCACCAAATCCTGTTCCGTGGCCTCAAACTCCAAGCCCGTCTTAACCCACGCCTCAGCCTCATCCAACCTACCCATCTCAAGCAGACACTTGCCCCGCCTCCACCACGCCTTAGCATTCCCAACTTTCTTCATCTCAACACTCGCCTCCGCGTCCACAGACCCCTCGGCCCAATTCTGCATCGACATATTGGCCTGCGCGCGATTACTGAGCAGACCAGATAGTTCTTCGCGGACGAGACCCGAGGGCTCCCACGAGGGACGCGCGAGCGCCATGTCGATTGCGAGCGTGTAGAATTTGATAGCCGCGCCGTGTTGGCCTTTTTTGTATTCAGCGTTGCCGGATTCACGTAGTTTGCCGATCTGGGCGGAGCGCTTGGGGTTGACGGGCACGGGCGGTGGGGGCGTGCCTGTGGGGGTCTCCACGAGGAGGAGGTTGCGGTGCAGGGCGTTTAGGGCCGCGAGCTCGGTTTCTAGTGCGTTGCTGCTGGGGGGTGTGGCAGTTATGTTTGTGGCGTCGTCGATGGAGAGGGGGAGGAGGGTGAAGACGTCGGGGGATTCCATGGTTGTGGTTTGTGTGGTTTTGTGTGCGCGTGTGTGTTTGTTTCTGTGTAAGGTGTGTTTGGGTGGCTTTGTGAGCGTTTGTTGGGGAGAGAGTGTTGTTGCGCGAGTGGTGGGGAATTGGTGTGGTAGGTGATGAGGACAGTTTGGACAATTAATCGTGTTATCGATAAAGGACGCGCTAACACGTGGCTTCCAAAGTTGTCGCCGTCTCGTCTAGGTGATCGACCTAACAACTTCACTCTTCTATCATGATAATTGAAGTAGTGGTAATTGAAGCTCTTGTGGAATCTGATGGGAACCGTGAACACGATACTCTTAGCTGTTGGGTAAGCCCGGGTTACATATCATAGCTTCTTGGAGAACCCGCCTTCAAAATGTCCACCATGACTTCGCTGCCGCTCTATCATTGTTCAAAATGGAACCATCTGGCCTGTTTCCAGGACTGGAGATGGTGCATCAGATTTTCCAAATGATTAGTTCCACGAAAGGACGATATGAATCTTGGATCTATCACAGTGAGAGCGAGCATGGTCAAATGCACACGCTCAAATCACGAGTTGGGTTTCGCAAATCGAGGCAATTCAGGAAGGTAAAAAGCACCTTAGACCCTGGTAAAGCTTGTAAGCTGGATACCAAGTTTTTTGTTATGCCAACATGCAGTATGGTAAACAACTGGTATGTTCTTGTATCGTCCCTGCTCCTGTGTCTGGAGGTTCTTATCTGTCCTTGGTCAGTATGTCCTAGAAGCTTCAAAAACCTCGTTTGGTCTTTGCAAGGTTATCTCTCGCTTTCTGATGTGTGTATGTTGTTCCTGCAAACACGTGCGCGAGTTCTTAAAAAGGGTAACCCCCTCTTGTCCCACCAACTTCCTTCCTCTCCTCACTAAGAGCTTGAGCTCAATACTTTCATTGCTTTTAAACGTACAACATGGAGAGTTACACAGTCAGAGTCATAGCGGAAGGCCGTAGTCAAAGATTGCTCGTCGTGCTTTCCCCGTCCCAACTCTGCTCAGCCCTGGTCGACAGCGTCAGGTCGCAACTGCCGACTCTTACCACCAGTCTCCAACTCAGCGACACCAAAGATTATCAGATCAGCCTGCATTTCACAGCGGAAGATGGGCCAAGATTGAACATGGAGGATCTACTTTCTGATACCCTACCCGACCCAAGAGAGGTTGTGTACGCAGTCGTTGATGTGAGTTCCCCCAATTACAAGCTCAGAACGAGTTCCAGAAAAGCATGATGAGGTTTTTGCTGTTTCCACTGCGATGGTTCATGCTAATCATGTGATACACTTCTGAGCAGGTTTCTAGCCCCTTGGTTCTGACGCACCGGCCCAAATCTACTGGGAAGACATTGCACACTTAGGGCATCGCTCCTGAGCAGGTTTCTAGCCAATTGACTCTGACGCACCGGTCCAAATCCAGTGAAACGACATTGCGCATTCGGGTCGTCACTCCGGAGCTGGCTCAGTCCGACATTAATGCCATTGCTCCGCTACCGTCCCGCGTGCCAATTAGCTACACATTGAATCAGCTTAAAGGCCTTGTTGAAGAGCATCTTGGCAACTCCACAGAAGATGGTGAATGCCCTGATCTAGCGTGCAACTGCAGCCTTGCCCGAAAGATTGACAGCGACGCTGTTTTAAACGTACAGGACATCGGGGACTGGGATGTCCTTCAGAATGTCATCATAGTCCATTCCAACAACAATGTCGTCGCGATCCCGGTCAAGGATCTTGCACTCAGCACCATCCAACAGGCAACAAGAGATCATCTCCATGGAATGAACTTGGACAATAAATTCCTCAATGCCCTCGGGGGCGTTGAGGATACGAGTGTGCGACAAACTGGAGGAAAGCAATACATCAAGGCTCCAGTCATGGCCTTGTGCTCGAAACAATGTCGCACTCACCGCCAAGGCCAACAGTTCAGAGATACGCACAACCCACCGGCATGGCGAGCCAAAACCATCGATATTCACCTCTCAGAGTGTCCCCTCGAAATCACCGCACACAATTCTGATGTCACACTTGAAGCGGCCAAGCTGGACGATTGTGCCATGAACGGGATACTAGATATTTACGCTGTGCAGCGATGGACACAGGATCCGACAGATGGCGTCAATCAAGGCAAATCAGGCATATTCAGCTATTCAGCAGCTTGGAAGCATCCTTTTGATCAAACTGATCGCGGCATATCTGACCTGCTCTCAACACTACGCGTCTTTAGTGACCTGACTTCTAGTATCATTATGGATGATGAACGACAAGATGCGATCCTTCACATGATAGACCTACTTACGCATTTCCCTCCAGCAGTCAGGGCAGCATACATACTGATGCGTGGCGAGAACCCTCGGCTTTGTGAGCGGGCTGCTCTGGCACAGTGCCTTTACGAGGCCCTCAAGAAGATTGTTCCACTACAAATCATCAAGTCGGATCGTATGCGTTTGTTTGAAGGGTCTCGTATCCTGTTTGGTCTCATTCTTGAGAAGGCAAAAAACATGAAGCTTTCTAAACTTTCTAAGATTGGAGATTACTCAAAGCTTCTATATCTCAGTATGCCGGTATACGACATGCAGAACATGACTACGATGATGCCGGTACTTTCTCTTCCCGTGCAGACCACGACAGGCCTTGTTGCCATTGGGTACCATCACGCATTCGACGAAGGCGCACTTCTGAAGTGGACCAACAGCCAAAGTTCAGTGAAAGTGTCTATAGTGGATCAGAGATGGAATCGGGTTGCCACGCTTTCTGGTGGTACCACAATGCAAGTTGTTGCATTCAATGCCGATGCTGTCCGATCTGGTCAGCGCTACGCTGATGGTGGTAAGTTCAGAACGTGAAATTAACTTACTAGAGCTGTACTGACGTCGGGTCACATCAGGAGACATTAGCAAGATCATTTCCGTGGCTGAGTACTCCGACTTAACCTATCTAGCTAACCTGTGCAGCCGTAATGGACTAACAGTTGTTGCCCCTGCTGAATTGCCGTCCGCCGATGCTCCAGTACTGACTCTTGATCGAGAGGGTTCACTTGCGGTATACGTAGGCCGTGAAGGTTGTGGGTCCCCAGGGAGCAATATACTCATGTTCCGCCCTACCATGAAAAACGAAACCGAAGCCGTGGATGTTTCAATCATCACTGTATTACTGGAGCCTATCCTCACAGAACGAACTGCCAATGGAACGATTGTTTCGAAGCTTATGGAAGCCACTATCGAAGCATGACCACTCCCGACGAGATCACCGTGATTTGTGTCGACCTAAGTCGAAGCATGAATGAACGGTGTGGTTTCGAGGATTTTGAGCACAACGAAGATGCTTTCGCAGATATGCAATCGCATACAGGGGAAGATAAAGACATTTCGGAAGACCTGGATAATGATTCGGAAGATCCCGCTTTTCCACTACCAGAACCCGGTGAACTGAAAGGTATGTCTGCTGACGTCTTCACTTCCATACAGACATGCGAGATTATTTACCACCTGTCATCCGCTATTAGAAAGAGCCCACTCTTTTCTCTATTCATGTAGCATGTCAGCTGACTAATAACAGAATACCTTAACTAGAACACATGAGTCATATAGCGATTTTCTCGCCATTGTCGGTTCCGATAAAAACGACTTTGATCGCCGCAAGAATGCGGAAACGGTGTTGCAAATCCTCAAGCAACTCCATAAAACGCAGATTGCATCCAAACAAAAAGAACTGGAGAGTAGAAGGACCAATGCGACTCAGTATACTTACCGCACGGAGAGTGAAAGCTTCCGTCGCGACATCGGCACGCTGAAGAATCGATCTTTGCGCCTTCAGAAGTTTCGATCTCTCCTGTGTGCTTGGCTGATCAACTGTGCTGACAGAGAGCGTAAATCTGCCGAATCCACTAATTTGGAAGCCTGGCGACACCATGCCTACAGTTCGCAAGGTGGTCGGACAAACTGAAGGAGCCCGCCCAAGCTTTCAGATACCTCCTGAATATTGCTGCCACATCAGTAATGAGATCATGGAAAATACTGTAATCACTGTGGATAACTACACGTATGATCGTCGAAACATTGAGAGATGGCTCCGGAGCAACGAACGATCGCCACTCACAGATCTTATTTTGACCAGCAATGATCTGCGCCCCAACGTACAAATCAAGGAAAAGATCACTTCATACCTCAATTGCGCGGACATAATATCAGCTCATCAAAAATCCAGGGTGCACACCAGGGCATCGTCTGCTATGCTCCATGTGACTTTCCAGACGCCAGACGGGGCACATTCTTTTGATCTACCACGTACTCTTCAATCGAAAGTGCTGTGGGAAATCGCCTTCCGTTTAACTAAGGGGCGTCATGATGGATACAAGTTACAACACAGGAATGCCCCCGTTCCGGCTTCAGAACACGCAATCGAACTCATCGTGAATCCCGACCATGAGATCTTCATCAACGATGTTGTTTCTACCGCAGCGGTGCCAGCCGTTAACCAAAAGACAGAAGAATTGTGTCTAGTGAAAGTTTATGGGAAATATTACGCTAAGCCTGTCGTATCATACTGGGAACCGAAGAAAACAACAAAAACTATGGCCTCAGCTGTGCTCAGGTAGTATCGCCAGAAGTTCTCGACTCTGTCTCGTATACCATCTCAGGTCCCATTAAGGTTTTGGACGAAGCTGCGCAACGAGGGTGACGGTTACTGTACAGGAACAAATTACGATACACATTGGAAGACAATGTACTCTTGCTTCAACCGTGAATTCTGCACTGGAATATTGGATGAGGAGCCATGCGTCCACAAAGTACAAAATGCTCCCATCAATGCTAGTCAGCCTCTCGTCTTCAAGCTCTTGCTTGACACGCTTTCGACTCCTTCAAACGAGACCAACCACTTGACGCGCCTGGATGTCTTGAAACAGATGTTTGATGCGTATATCAATCGCGTACTAGCGTACAGCTTCCAACCCCACATTGGTCTAGTTACATTCAATACCAAGACTCAGGTGGCACAAAAGATTACGAACGCAGTGGAGAACTCCCGCCACAAGCTCAACAATTTGGCAGCCTATGGGGACACAGCTATCTGGGACAGTGTTGCTCTTGCACAGGACCAAATTCAACAGCACGCTAAACAGTACCCTAATGCAAAGCTACGAATCATTTGCATCTCAGACGGCGAAGACAATACATCCCTGAACACGGTAGAGGATGTGGCGAAGCGTCTAACGCGTTGTGGTATTGTTGTAGACTCCTTTTGTCTCGGCAATACCGGGAACCTGCGATTGCAGACACTTAGCTCTTTGACTGAGGGATATGTTTTTGCGCCCAAGACTCTCGATGAAGCCATGGCAATATGTGAGCTGGAGCCCGTTCTTTCCCTTCTAGAACGACCACCGTCAATAAGTCCTGCTAGGTCACGTTATCACCACAACAGGTTTCGCCAGTACCCCCACTCCAGCATTTCCACATTCTCGGGGGCGACCAGTGAAGCCCAGATACAGCGCGTTACTCCCGACTCTTTCCCCGCTCGTCGAGAATATCCCGAGCTCCAGCACATATTCGTTGAGCTCGGTCAATTCGCCAAGCAGGTATCACGAAACCGTACCAACAACAATATTTGGCAGACCAGGATGCACATCGAGATCCACAATTCGAGCGCCAATCCACATCCGCACTACGACATCTAAATCTGCGAGTCAAACATGGGACTTTGGAAAGTGGTCATGGAAGGCCCACCCGAGAGCACCTATGCCGGCGGTACATTCTTTCTATATGTCAAGATGGGCGACAACTATCCCATGTCAGCACCTGAGGCGCGTTTCATCACTCCCGTCTACCATCCGAACATCAACCGACATGGACGCATCTGCCACTCCATCTTGGATCGCAACTGGACGGCAGACACCACAAACAAGAACGTCATCGATACTATCTACTCGCTCTTGCTGGTCCCGGAGTTCAGCGATCCTATCAATACTGTCGTTACGCTCAACTACCATTGGGACGAGCAGACTCCGCAACAATCAATTAAGTGGGTCCAGAGAGGCCATATTTGATTTGATTGATTACCTATTTAGGCCTAGTAATTACCCGTAGAGGTTTAACCCCTACCTAGATAGGTAAGTGGGTCTTTATAAGAGGCATATTTGATTTGTTTGTTGCGGACTGTGGGGACGAGGTGCAGTTCAAGGAGGAGGTTCAGCAACATATTCAGAAGCATGCTAGTAAGAGCAGGAATACATGGCGCAAGGAGATTGTTGGCTAGTCGGGACTGGGAGTAAGTGGCACATGAGGGTAGCCCTCAGTGATGAGTGGGCTGGAGATATGTGCAGACTAGATCAACAAGTGTGATTTCAGGGCAACTACAAGGAGACAGGACTACTTAGATTTCAAAATGTCAAATGATTGTCTTTGCTAACCATAATGATGCCGTGCACAGTGATCACTACGTTATGCGAAGAATTTTACTGTGTATGTTCATACCGTGTTCATATTCCTTGTCAACGAGCAAGCATACTCGCATCTGTGATTATCTACGCGAATACATCTGTCCATCATTCGTCTGTCTCACAACTATACAGTTGTGACATCACCATATATGCATCCACAACATTTGTCCCCCGAAATCACACATCCCCTGTCCCCTCTACTCAAGAAGATCAAAGCGCCTACTACCACGGGGGGAAGGAACAACAAGCGGAATCTCCCGACCCTCATCCTCATCTTCATCCCAATCCTCCCCATCCTCACCAACAGCCTCCCCCCGCTGCTGCTCTCCTACCCCGGCCAAATATCCCACGGCCACACGACCCAAAAATCCCCCACTACGGCGCCTATACCGCGTCGGTAGCGACCGCGAGCGCTCTCTTCCATACTCCGTCACCGATTCTTGGTTCTCAGGCGTAGCTGGAACCGCAGACTCTGCAGAAGAGACTTCATCCAGTTCCGGGCTCATCAGGCGGAGTTCAGGCAGCGAGGAATCCTTGAATCCAGAGAAAACATCGTCGTAGTTTTGAGCCGAAGAAGCGGTGGACGAGTTACGCTTATGCGTGTATTTGTTCAGTGGAGGGGCGAGCGAAGAAGTGCTAGCTGTAGAGACTGCGCCAGCGAGAACGGAGCGGGGGCGTATGGTAGATGGTGCTGGGATAATCTGAAGATCCTGAGGTTCTTCTGAGACGGTGACTGTTGGGGCCGCGTGAGTTGGCAGTGTGGCGGATTGTGCATTGTAGAAGGGTGAGGAGGGAGAGGTGAAGCGGTAGTAATCTGCGGGCTGTCCACGGCCTAGTGTACCAATTTGCTGGCTTAGTTTCTCATTCGAATCGATCAGCTCTGCCTTGTCTTGCTCTAGGTCAGCGATCGTAGAGCGGAGCTTTTGATTCTCGGCCATAAGATGGATGGCATGTCGGCGAGCGCGCTCGGTCTCTTCGTCACCGCCTAGTGACCGTGACAGAGAAGGATTCACGTCTCGATCAGGAGAGCCTGGGTAGATACCGTAGCGATTTAGGGGGACCTCGCGCTCCTGATGCAGTGCCTCGTAGAAGTAGTATAGCTGAAAACCTTGCTGGACCTCCTTGGGCACATCCTGATTGGTCGTGGAAGTGATTATGGGACGCCCCGACCGGAGGGCTAAAATGCGTGGGCCGACAACGAGAGTGAGGAAGCCACGGATACGCTTCTGAATCATTGCATGCCACTCATCATATCGGGAGTTAGGCTCCGGGTGCAAGTTCAAAACCAGCTTCTTTAGCTCCCGCAGCTTGGCCTCCACTGCCTCGAGTACTTCAAGCTGTGTACAGCCTTGGAAAAGTGCGTTCTGAGTCGTCATGGCAACCATGCTGTACCGCATGCTATCTGGGTCTGCAAACTTGACCAAAAGCTCGTGAACCAAAGTACGTGAGATGCGGGTGCGGTCACAGATAGCGTTGAGAACGATCAAGTCGAATCCATAGCCAGTCTTGGTCTTGAGTGCTGCGGACAAAAAGTTACCCAAGGTCACCCAGCCACGCATCTCCATACCATCGATGGGCTTGTACCACGCTTCTGGGTCGTCTGCTAGCGCCACAATGTCATAGTACAGCATCCAAGTCAAGAAGTTGGAAAGCTGAGTAGCGTTCAAAGCATCGACGAACGCCTTGGTCAGATCGGAGAGAACCAGCGGGCGAGTAGGTGGTGTCAATGGCGCTGGTGATGGAGAAGATACCATCAGAGAGCTTGATCGGAGCCTATTGATCACTTTCTTGAGACTACCACGGTGGCTCGGAGTTCGTGATCTGGTAGAATCAGGTGTCGAAGAGCGGTTGTCCGTAGACGAGAGAACATGCTCAGACATGTTGGGCTTGGAGGACTTGCGGTTGGAAACGGGGCGGTTGAGCGCAACCACTGCCTGCATCGGGGGGTGGACTCCATTTGTTACCACACTCAGGTCGATGTGGGTTTAGCGTAGCTAAGGTGAATTGTCAAAGTTTTCTCCAAAGCGCAAGACCAAACTCGAAGTATTCTTTAGACAGAGCAATCAGCGGTTGATTGATCTGGTGGAGACTGGGGTTGTGGTGGTTGTGGTGAGGAAAGAAGTCTACTCCCAGGGGGGCCGGAAAAGTTTATAAACCTCCTGGGTTGACCGCGAAGCCTGGGGTGAAAGTCTCACGCCGCACCCAACAGCCCACTAATTCTGGCAATCTTCTAAGTGATTTTGATTACATTCGCCACGGGCCATATTCGAGGACATGTGCAACTTTCACCCTCTAGCTTCGCCTGTAGAGCTGCGCACAAATTATTAAAAGTCAGTGAAAGATGTGAGTGAAACGCCATAGTTTGTAGGCCACCCTCGTGACCATAATCTGGGGGTATGAGGACTTGAGATCTCGAAAAGAGAGTCAGGCTATAGTCATTTTGCTGTATTCAAGAGCAGAACCTCTAGGTCGCTTCTGTACTGCCCTCGAGCTCGTACTAAAACTGTCGAATGGGTCGTTGGAGACTATATCTTGAATACCGTAACCAAGGGGAGGTAGTCCTCAGCGTAGTTTACCTGGATTGTTTTACGTCCTACACATTGTCAGTGGTGGGGCATCGGTGGGTACCAGACAACTTACCAGCTCATTTAGTCACATCCAGCGCTTGACCTCATGTCTTCTTCTTATTTAGGTACATATAGACAACTGAATATTTCTATATATTTTGGGAACATATGAACAAGATGACATGTGATTCAACATGAATGTCGTACAGAGAAGTCTTCGTATTTTACCACTTGTATCTAATCTTCGTCATGGCTGTATTGCTCTTCATCCGAAAAGAGTTTTGGCAGATATAGTTTCGTGTTCTCGTAGACCAAGAAAGTAACCACTGTAGTTGGGATGACCCGAACCGTGTTAGGGATAACTCCCTTATAAAATGCGAGGAGGCCCTCGTTCTTGTAAGTCTTCCTCAGCACATCCAGTACTCCATTATACTGCTGTGCGGCATTGTACTGTTGCAGCCTTGCCCTTATGGGCTGATATGGGTACGTGATCGCACCAGCAAGGAGTTTACTTCCACCACTCATATACATGTATTCCCAGTTGCTTAAGTTGTCCTGACCACCAATGTGTGTACCCCTTCTCTTCTTCATGTTCTCGTAGATGCTGAACTGCACTGCGCCATGCAGAACACCCAGAGACGAGGGCAAGAAACCCGCCCAGAGGCCCTTCAATCCACGCGTTTCGTACACGTGGCGCAGGCCAAATGTCATTGATTTGTATGCCGAAGGGTGGTTTGAGCCACGCTCGAGCATGCGGGTTTTGACTACCCAGATGGGGTTTGTGCAAGCGCCAGTCAAAAGTCCTATGGTAAATAGTCAGAAAAGACCAACAATACACAAGCGAGCCAGACATACCAGCGATGATACTTGCCGAGAAGAACTCGGCGCTGCCAATGTGCTCGCCCTTCTGCCTCCTACTCTGGAAAATTTCTTTTAAATTCCCATAGAAAAGAAAGTATAGGCCCCAACCCAAACTATTGCCCAGCATATTCGGCCACAGCCCCCTATACAGTGCCTTCACGCCCCCTTCATCCTTGATAACATTTCGTAAGATCCTCAACGAGTCGCCTGGTCGAGACCTAGTCGTGGTGTTGAGCTGAAGACGATTCTTCAGTAGATCGAGTGGGTGCGCTGCGAGACAGGAGACAACCCCTGCGCTAAATCCTGCTACAGTCTCGATCAACGAGGCTGATAGTGTGCTCTTTGGCACATTGGATCGCTTGGGTTTAACATCTTGCTCTACGGGTGGAAATGCGCGGGGCATTGCGGGCTCGGATGATGGATAGTCGATGTCGGCAAGCACATCCTTGTGTTACAGAAACTGCAGCAAGAGGAGAACAGTGCGTTATATCATGTCGTTTACGTTTGGTAATCGTAATCGCGTCGGCGAGCATGGAGGGGAAAAAGACGTCGGAGGTCGGTGATCTTGGTAGGAGCTTGGACCCGGTATCGGAGATAGCGCGGAAATACGTTACGTCATAGCGTGGCTACGGTCTGTACCGCGATCGGATCGAATGAAGCTGTACTGTGAACTCTAGGCTGTAGAAGAATTCTTTCTAACGAGACATGAGCTATAGAATCAGTATGAAGACCGAGCTGCAGCTTTATGTGATGGTCATGCAGCATGAAGTACAGAGACTGAGTAGTTTGTCGAACAAAGGACTCATTAAGGCTACCTAGGTATCAAACTAACTATATAGTTATACAGACTAACATGGTTGGCAAGCGAGCGGCCCACGCAAGCGAGCGGCCCACCCCACCAACTTTTGCAACTTCAAAGCGATACATCTCAACAACGCGATAATATTATTGCTAGATATTAATACAGTAGATTACTCTATATTAATAGTATTAGTGTTGCATGTGCGTGAGTTGTGCCCAGTCTCCTTGCACCTGGTGCAGCGCCTTTGAGCCCGCTGGCTGACGCCTGATCGTGCTCCTCCTTGACGCTCTTTATGAGCAATCTGCTGGTCAGCCTTATTTTGAGCCAGTATATCCTCTCCAGCTCCTTTTGTAAGTACTCTATGCTTCTGTATACGCCTTTTAGAGCGCCGCCTACGCGCTGACGCTGCGCTGTTGGCTTTCTCAAGACTAGAGATCTAATCCCGCATTAGCTTAGAAGAGAGCATTATTACCTCAGCGCCTTTCTTTAGCTAGTCAATTGCTATAATAATTGAAGCTGGTGATGAGCTCTTGTGCTGGCGCACGCGCTCACGTATAAGGCTTGACTGAGCCTTAAGCTCACGCGCGTTGCTCGGCGTTTGAGCTACCTAGGGAGCCTCTGGTAGAGCTGCTGGAGGAGTAGGTGTACGCAGCTGTACATCTACCTTTGATAGAACAGCCTCTGGTTGTAGAGGAACAAGGCCTGCGCCGCGGAAGGCTGAGCAGATGTTGGCTGGCGTGAAGGCGCGATTGAATGCTATCTTAAATGCTGGCAGAAACTCTAGCTTAGTGATGTGGTTGATGTGGTTGCGCATAAGGCTCTCCACCTCACGGCTGTACGCGCGCTTCAATGGCGAGAAGCAGCTAACATTAAGCGGCTGGAGTAGGTGGGATGAGTGAGGTGGCATACAGAGCGTGTAGATGTTGTTCTCTTTGCAGAGCTCCTGGAACGCTAGAGATTGGTGGCTCTTATGGCCATCAACAATAAGCAGGCGACGCGCGCCTATGCTACGAGCCTGCGTGTGAGCGTTAAAGTGCTTTAGCCACTCAACTCTAAGCTCATTATTCGTCCAGCCATTGTCGGTGACTGCGATCGCCTAGTCGCGTGGGATCTCAGCTTCCTCGTACCAGGCTGATAGGTGGTACTGGCCAGCGAAGATGAGGAACGGTGGGACTGACCAGCCAGCAGCGCTGATAGCAGCGATCAGCGTTACCTACTCGCGATTGCCTAGCTAAAGAGTCTTCGGCCTACCTCTTCTTTCTGCTCCTGTTATAACTAGCTGCGTTGTAATCTTGCCTATTATAAAGCCAGCTTTATCAAAGTTGTAGACGTCCTCATCGCAGATGCTGTACTTAGCTTTTGTCTCCTCTACAAGCTTAAACCAGGTCCTAATTAGGGCTGGATCCTCACATAGAGCTCTCTGCCTATCGTACGCTTGGTTAAAACACGTCCAAAGACTGTCTGTACGCTTGACAAAGTTGGCTGGCTACTTCTGCCCAACCTGGCCAGCGCCGCGCGCAGCTAGCAGCTTATCAGCCATATCACGTATAGCTGCGTAGGTAGGCGCAAATCCACGCTGATCTAGCTGAAGTATATGGCTGATAATCACCTCCTCTTCTCTCTGGGTAAGCTTCCTTGAGTTGGGCTGGCAATCTGCGCGCGCAGGCTTACCAGCGCGTCGGCGTCGGAGCGTCGTTCGGGGGACTTCAAATGTCTGCGCAGCATCTCTTATAGACTGAATTTGGCTTCTATTAATAGCTGAGATTGCAAGGTGTATATTAACCTCAGAAGAGGTTGGTGGGGCTTGAATTGGGGGAGCCATGATAGGGAGGAGTTTACAAGGCGCAGAAAGTTGGTGGGGTGGGCCGCTCGCTTGCGTGGGCCGCTCGCTTGCCAACCATGTTAAGCTAGATCCCACCTCCAAATTTCTGATCCGAGCAACACGCTGCAGGTGCGGGTGCAGTCTTCTTCTTCTCATCCTCTCCAAAAGCCATGCGACTCAGCTTGTCAACAAGCGTGCCTCCCTGTTTGACACCACTTGGTACGCTGCAGTAGCTCGGCGGGACGTCTAAGCATGGGTTTCTGGTGAAGAAATTGCGAGGTCTTAGCAGCAGAGTCATTGGCTCAGCAGGCATAATAGGAAAATCCTCTGGTGATGGGAAATGTGTGATGCCGAATGTGTGCCAGAGGACGACATCTGTGTTGTCGAGGTTCTCGTTGGGGTTTGCTTCGATCCATGCGGGGATACCCTGGGAAGGCTCGCCAGAGGTTTGGGGTACGTGGCGACCTGCAGGGTGGAGTTGATTGTCTTCGTCTACAAGATGTCAGTTCTGTCTCGCCTGCATCTAAGTCGAACTTACACTTTGTGACGTGGACAGCATGTCTCGCGAAACCTGCTCTTTTCCATACCAAGCTGCCAGGCTTCGGCAGCAGCTCCGGGACTTCTCTGCTGACAAGTTTGTACGATACTGGCTTCTTGCTGTAAGGGTTGATTTTGTTGGTGTTGGCCATCTCCCACGTCCTACTTGTTGCTCCATTGTAATCCGTCTTGGCCTGCTCAGGGGTACTGAGCTTCGTCTTCTTCGCATAGAAGGCATTGCCGTACTTGTTCTCCTCGCTTCCGACCTCGCCCTCGCCCCGCGTAGCATCAACCATGAATACGGTGTTCTCCGGCCCATCGATATTCGGATCGATCCGCATGCAGAACAGATGTTGATGGTTGTGTGCGTTGACGCCTGGGTACACTTCAGTTCCCCAGCCCTTGAGATCCTCACCCGGAAGCATAGCATATGTGTTCAAGATACCAGTGAGCTTGATCTCGAGTTGAATGGTTCCGTCGAGGTGGAAGATCCAGTATACGCAGTATTCGTAGTTTGCGGCAGTAAAAACATGCGAGATTACGAGTTTGCGAGCGCGAGTCACGGTAACGCTATCGTCGCGGAAGTCGGTGTGTTTGAAAAGAATGCCAGCATCTTCTTCATGGATACAGATGGCGTTCTTGATTGTGGTTGCCTGGCCTGCTCGGTTGACAAAGGCAGCATCCATGTAGTGAATCGCACCTTTGCAGTCGCAGCCCAGGCTAAGTGAGTTAGTCATGTATCCACCACCGTATTCCCCCAGGTCGAAGGCATGTTTGCGCTGATGCGGGTGCTCTGGATTTCCATAAGGTACAACCATCTCGACAAGTGACAGGCGCCAAAATGTATCGCGGACAGTGCCCTTGTCGTTGAAAGTAATATTGGATAGTACCATTCCTTCGCGGTAGTTGAATCCGATGTGTAAATTCCAGTTCGCCCAGCTGATATATCTCCCATCCATCTTGAAAGATACACCTTCGGGCTGTGTGATGTTGATAGGTTTCAGGTCAGTCATGAAGCCACCTTCGGCCTCGATTGCCGCGGCATGGTAATTGTTGGGCGGCGCTTGGTTGAGTGGTCTCCGAACAGGCGGTACATCAATGTGAATGATCTCCTGGGTGTCGGAGTTGTAGATGGGGCAGAAATCAAGAGGGTAGGTGTACTGGCTATCATCGGGGTGTGGACGATAGTACATGAGAGCCTGCTGAAGACGAACTTTGGTACCAAAGCGCTCGTCATAGCCAATGGTCCATGCTGAGCCTTGTCAGCACAAAGATATTGGTTCAAAAACGACACACTTACGATCGCAATACACTTTGTGCATATCTTCGGGTGGAATACCGATGATACCACATTGCTCAATGACTCTCGAATCTTTGCGCACAATGGTCTCTACGATTTGCAAGTCTTCCATGGTGATCTGGGGTTGACATTACTACTCAATTTTCCATCCAAGTTCTCTCATTTACTTACCAGTGGCTGCACGTCATCAGTCAATGCCCAGCTGACGAGCTTGCCCTCATCCAAATCTGCATGTCCATCGTACACCTTGCTGCCGCGGCCAATGCATACAACATCAGCAACCCGATGGGGCCGAGGAGTATGCTCAGGGTCTTTGATCCATTTCATCATCTCAGCCTTACGAGGCTCCAATAGTGTGACAGCATTGAAGAATACATCGCTGTGCTCTTTGCGGATGATAGCGACAGCCCGTTCAATTTCCCTTTCGCTGAGCGGATCAAAAGGATGTGGTGAAGCGCCAATTCCCGTAACATGGGACGCTGCCTGTTTCAATCTATCGAGCGCCATGTTGTTGAAATTGAAATAGTAGTCGTTGGGTAACTTGACGGTGCGGAGTTCGACAGCATCCAGCGGGGTCTTATACCTCCCATGCAGACGCAGAGCGATCTCGGCAGTAGCACAACGATACGATGTCAACGGCTCACTATTCAATGACACAGACTATCCTACCAATCACACAAATCGTCGTTAAAACGAAATATTCCGATCTGTCAAAGCGATGGTTTAGGCCGTATCATCGATGCGATAAGAGGGATTCTCGCGCCATTCTCAGTTAGCGTGCCCCACTTCTCCACGCATGCCATCTTGGCTCTTTGCACCGCGTGTACTGCAGCAGCTATGTTCCGACGTTGCACATTCTTCTGATAGATATCTAGAGTGCAAGTGATAGCATGATGTTGCGGAACTATACCGCGGAGCGGAATCAGGTCGCGATACTGCCCGCAGTAGTAGTGGTAAAAGTAGGGGAAGAGTGACACTGGTTAGCGTGCCCCACTTCTCCACGCACGCCAGCTTCCAAACAATAGGCAGCGCTGCACCGAATGTACTGCAGCAACCTTTTTTGGACATTGCAAGTTCCTTGTTCAAAGAAACTTCAGACAGCAAGCAACAACGCGATATCGTGGCATCTCGGTAAGGTAGGTTCTAGCGAAAAGAGGATCAGGGATGTACACCGTCTAGACCGACGTCGTCGGGAAGAAGGTCCGACTTTTCGGTGTTCGAAGTCCGACATCGCCGATTCTCGATCATACCTAGCATGACTTTCACATGGAACTGTATGAGCAAGTGCGGAGGAGGAATTTTATCACGTATCTATCCTTTTTCATCACTCAAGAACGACCACTCATGCTACTACACAATATCGCGAATACAAGGTGCGTAGCTGGACAAACTCTTGTTTAGGACTGTCCGATAGTACAACACCATACCTTAGTAGAGGCTCATAGTCTCATACTCATTCTGCCAAGTTCCTCATCCTACTCGTCGGAAGATTCGTTATGCCGCTTTGGTCAGCCAAAAAGCTCTACGAAACTCCAAATACCGCATTGAGTCGTCATTTCTCTTATGATCTTGTGAGCGCCAGGCTCTACGAAGACGCTGTGGTCAGTACTTACTAAGCAAACTTGACATCAATAGGGATATGAGGAGTTGCATTCGTTGTCTATCTCATCAACTCATTTATTCGTCGGGTATTGGACTACATATATTCGCATCGGCCATCAACCATGACCAGTCACCGCCATGATTGAGATGGCACTCACGACGCATTGTGCACAAGGCGGTAAAGCGGGCATGTATAGTGTAATGGCTTGTGAAGTAACTATGCAACGTCATCTGACAAGACCCAAAATGTGCTAAAATTTTGATGTTGGGACCTCCTTGCGATCGTCCATTGGCCAGAGATCTCCCTGAAGTTGCTTCAAAATACTTTGTTCAAGGTTCACGAGAGCAACGCAGTTCTATGTTCGAGTACGTCGTGTCTGCAGATATCAGGTTTGGGATTGCGACTTCACTATCATCCCAAGCCAGCCCATCACCCAATACTATGGCTCATTCTATAGATCACCCAACTCTCAACTGCAACAGAACTAGAAGATCTTATCTTACACACCGACATTGGGAATCATATGATCAATCTCCTATGGAGACCTCGGACATCTCCACGTTTGACGGCAAATCCCAGGATCGTATCGTGACCTGTCTTCTGGTCAGCATCGTCATCAACAAAATAAATCTGTTGACAAAAGACAATAACGGTCAATAATCTCCAACCGCGCATTCATCTAGACGTAGCGCGGTCGAGCCCATGGCTTCAGAGCATCGGCGCTTAGCCAACACGATACACAAACAATCAAGACACTGTCATTAACTTTCAGAATGCCATAGGTACATTGCGATACCAAAAATCGACCCAGTTACTTTGCGATGCAATGTATGGCGACGTCACATACCCGCAGGTACGTCACAAGTACCAGTCGCACGAATAAGAGCCGCTCAAACAACAGTCCATCAAGTGTGCATGCATAGAACATTCTAGGTGAACGCTTAACTACTCTTTATTAGGTCAAACGCCATTTCTGTAGAAAAGTATAATGCTAAAACACTTAGTCCCAACGCCCAGGCCTGCAAGCGGAGCTAAGCATCATGGGATCGACAACTGGCGCCCACGAGACCCGAAATCTGCAATGAGCAACAAGGAAGATACTTATAATGAGATGTAACATCATGTAGGCCAAGAAATAAGGTACGCCTTTTCCCCAGGTTTCCCCAAGAACGCCGAGTAGAGGTAAGGTGGGTCTCCACATGACGCCACTCCGTGGCGGTAAGATTATGACTAGTAGGGAAGGTCGCCGAGTATGTTTAAGGAGAATTTTTTGAAACGATTGGCTATTACTATACGTTACACAGACTAGTCTACCGCATGTGACCCGAAAGCACCCATGATGGATCCTTTGAGGATGGTCAGCAAATCTCACCAGGCTCAGGAATTGGGAGTGAATTTTGAAATGCCAGCGCATCTTCCGTTGGAAGCGGTCATGCTCCCTCTTTGAAACTTTCAACTGTCGCTGATGACTGGCATTGTGCGCTGTGAACATGGTCCGGGTCGTGGTTCTGTATTACAGATGACCTAACAACTCACCCAGATATTGCTCCTAGACAAATTTGAGCAGTCATTGATGGCCCAAACCCGCCATCACAGGCCTGCTCACTCCCATTTCCCAATATGAAAGTTAAGCGAGAGACTATACCACCTGCCGGTGTAGGCTCAGCACTACGAGCCGTTCTGCGCGGAAAGGAAGTCGTATTGGGCTTTTTTAGTCTACTTACATACTTTGGCTAACAGCCGATGAACAAAGACTATACAGAACAACGTTCTTTATTCCCGTAACCACGACTCGCAGTACACATTCTCCTTGATTTTTTGGCACTTGTAGTATGCCGAAACACTAGCACACACCACCCGTTTTCTCAAACTATTGCAGTAGTGTAAGCCAATTTCCTTATACAATCACCTTCCCAATTCACTAGGTCAGCCGATATACGTCAACCAACAAGCGTACGTTCCCCGGTAAACTCACCGCCCGCCACACCCGCCTGATTGAACTAGTGGATGATATAGTATACTATTCTCCATATTAGGCGGCCATCATGTTGAAGAGGTCACAAGAGGGAGAAGCCGTGTGTCATTAGATCATACGTTGTAAAGCAACAACATGAACGCCACCTAATTTCCACTCCACTGAACGCTCGAAGGATCATCAAGACATGGGTACAGAGTGAGATTTAGCGACAAAAACATGTCCACGAGCTCCAAAGCCGAGTGGATCTAATGCTAGCAGACAGCTTGTAATTGGGTTTCCCACGTCAGCCACGGGCTGCCAGGATTACCCCCTTTGCAATTTCCACATGAATTCCTCGTCGATCGGTGGAGGGTTTTTCACTCTATATGTGTGAGAGGCACGTGAGTGAACTCCCACTTTGATTAAATACCCCGCGGAAGGTCGAGTGAAACACACATCACGCAGCTGGCTTTGCACTCCACTTATCCAAGTTCAACTCAACTCTCTTCCAGGTTACATCGTTGGTAAACAGAACTCGTTATGAAACATCCCGCGGTATTCACTGCGCTGCTAGCAGCCAGTGTCCATGCCTGGATGCCAGCAGAACGCGAACTTTCTGCCTTCAACCGAACAAGTGACTCTCTAACCACTCGTGCTCCCTCACTACCCAGCTACAAGATCCGAGGTGTCAACCTAGGCGGCTGGTTGATCTCGGAGCCATGGATGATGGGGGATGAGTGGAAGCTCATGGGATGCAGTGGCCAATGTTCGGAATTCGACTGTGTTAAAGCACTTGGACAGACAAAGGCCGACTCAGCATTCGATGCCCATTACGCTCGCTGGATCACACCGGACATGGTGACCTTGATGCACAATGCCGGACTCAACACCATCCGCATTCCAATCGGATACTGGAGTCTACACAGCCTGGTGACCTCAGGAGAGTACTTCCCCAACGTGAACCTCAAGTACCTCGACGCCGTCATCCAGCGCGCCGCCGACCTCGGTATGTTCGTCGTCATTGACCTCCACGGCGCCCCCGGAGCCCAAAAGATCGGCGATGCTTTCACAGGCCAGGTAAGACTTTCTCCAACACTGCCCTATTCTCACGTCAGTCCTAACAGACTACCCCCAGTGTCTCCAACAATCCGGCCTCCCAGCCTTCTACACGCAACAAAACTACGACCGCGCCACCAAATGGCTCACCTGGATGACCAAACGAATCCACACAACCCCCAGCTACGCCGCCACCGTCGGCATAATTCAAGTCGTCAATGAGCCCCAAACCAACCGTGACAGCGGCGGCATGCCCCAAGCCGAAAAGGACACCTTGACACAAATCTACTACCCATCCGCCCTCCGCGCCGTCCGCACTGCCGAAAACGACCTGGGCATAGCCTCCAACTCCCGCCTGCACGTGCAATTTATGGATACCCTCTGGGGCGCAGGATCCCCCTCCAGCTCTCTCCCATCTGACCCCTACATCATGTACGACGACCACAACTACGTGGGCGGGGCGGTAACAGCCACGCACCCCAACGCCAAGCAAGCCGACTACATGTACTACACATGCTACCTCGACGACCGCATGGCCGACGGCGACGTGCCCAAACTCGTCGGCGAATGGAGTCTAACCGTCAATGCCGAATACAGTACCGAGTTTGACTGGAAGAACGATGCCAATACGCCGTTTTACAAACAGTGGTTTATAGCTCAACAGCGGCTGTATGAAAGGACGAATGGATGGATCTTTTGGACGTGGAGGACGCAGCTTAATGATCCGAGGTGGGATTATAGTTATTTGGTTTATAAGGGGTGGGTTCCTACGACCGCCGCCGGGCTGGAGGCGAGTTCGAAGCAGGATGTTTGTAAGAGTTATTTCGGGTCGGCGAAGAGGAGGGTGAAGAAGTGGGTTTGAGGGGTTGTTTGGGGGTTTTGGGTTGTGATTGTGGCTTTCTTTCTTGGATATGCGGGTTGAGCTCGATGGAGATGTTGGCCGATGTGCTTTTCTGTGGCTACTGTACCCCAGGTTGATCTTACCTAAAGGTTCCACCTTTCTTGTTTTTTTTGGCTCAAGCCGGCTCTCCTTCTTTTTCTTTCTTTCGTCTCCACCACTTTCGTTCTCGCCAGGGGTAACACACCACCCCTTGTTTGTACATATATATTCTTTTCTTTGTGTTCGATATGCTAGTTCACATATTTCGCAGAATATACCCGTCGTTACTTCCAGCTTGATCTCAAACTAGACTGCTGAACTATTCGTCAAAGCGGAACGCCTCAATCATCATAACAGCCACTCCGCTGCGGCAACCGCCACCACCACCACAGACTTGAGGTCTAACTCACATTCAGTTCTAACCCCGGATACTACACGCCCCCGCCTCCACCCACACAAACAGGCCGGGTGAACGTTTCCCGTCCCATTCCAATAGTCCCATTAATCTAACCAACCAACGAGCGGTGCGCACGCCAGTTCAATCTCACAAGCGGCCATACATCTAGGTCCGTGCCTCGCCCTCAGAAGGGCTGACCGCGCGTCTGTGTCTCTTTCTGTGCTGATGCTACCTTTTGGTTTTGGTAAATAGGTAGATACATGTGGGTTGTCTTGGGGCGTAAGTGAGCACAGGTTTCTGTAGAGGAACGGTAGAAGGGGCGGCGCAGTGTTTTTCGCCGGAGTTGGCCGTTGGGGGATGTGGCTTTAGGATGTAGGATGTGAACAGGCTACGTCAGTGGTGGACGGCGTGTGGAAAGGAAGCTGCGGAGGAAATGTTGGCAGTGGTAGGGTATTTGGAGGTATGCAAGGGATTTGTTACAGTAAGACATCCCGATCATCTTCGTCAAGCTGGGTCCGAAGGGGAGAATCTCAGATCCGAACTCAGAGCCTGCTATCCTGCCGCTGTAAATCAACGGTGGTGACGGGTCCGAACATCAGATTGGGTCTCCGTCTGGCACGCAACCGTCCTTGCGTAGCTGCTGCCTCGTGTATAGTGGGTGATTTTGGAAAAACTCAAGTTGGAGCCATTAATCAACTCAGAACTATGAGGAATGAAACTCATTTCGGTATCGCTGTCCTTAAACTTGACAAGACTACCAGTCATATCGGCAGGACTGTCCTCCAGTGCGCAAGGTTGTACATGAACCTACATTTGCTTTTTCTGAGGATCCAAATTCTACATTCCTTAAACTCAGCACGTCCCACCGTGAAAATATTGCGACACCTCTTCTGAGCCAAATTTCATTATAAAGGAGACAAGATAAACATTGGAGAGATATGGACTTCAATTCAATCCGCGCAGAGCAAAAAGCGTCAAACGCAGCATCTAGCAAACCAAGCCGAGCCATAGAAGGCGGTATATCATCCCAATTGCGCCGTGCTAGTGCAAGCAAAATCCCCAAGAAAGCCAAAAAAACAGGACAAGGCAAAGAAAAAGCCTCGCAAAAACCAACCCCCATAAACACCGACCAACCAGACCAACCAACCTAGGTGGATCCTTTTCTCGAGATCCGCTAAAGTACAGGAATTACAAAGTATTTACAGGCCGTAATGCGGAACACGATTAATCGTGATTTCGTGACTTCAGAGACGTCATGAGGCGTGAACAAGGGATCAAAGAAGACTGAAAGGGACAAGAATGAAGCAGACTAGCTGACGCTCTGCGAGAGAGCTGAAGATAGGTGCGATGCAAACTTGGCGTCAATGCCGTCTTCCTGGACGCCGAGGCCAAGGCCGATACCACTGTCGTCGTGATTCACCTCTTGTTGAGAGGTGTTCATATCGTAATTGTATTCAAAACTCATATTGTATTGTGATTGTTGAGCAAATCTTCCAGAATTGACTGTTGGTCTTTGTTAGTCAACTACCATAGACGAGGGTGTTGTGAGCAGTACGACTTACCTTCCTGATTAGATCCGTTGTTTTGTATAGTAACATGGCTGTTAGTAGAGATAAAAGACTGATCTGGTCCAAAGTCGGCTTCCAGACTGCTATAACGACTGTCGTTGTTGCTTCCACTGCCTCCATTGGTCATGCCTGCATTAAGGGGATCCCCCATGACAGGCGAGTAGTTGGAAGTGCTCCAATCCGGGGGAGCATGTCCTAAAAAGCCACCTATCGATGCCAGCCATTGTGCCATCTCATCTACGAAAACCTTGGTGAGCCACCAACCTTGGAAGCTCACACCGTTTTCTACGGTGATCTCCCGCAGGGCAGCCGAGCCAAGTGCACTGATACAGTGCATGATGGTACGAGCATGGGCACCAGGGAAGCGGGACGGTAACCGGGTCAAGAACGCTGCGATACGGTCAATGACTGACTCTGAAGGATCAGCTGGCGGATCGGGATACGCTGCGTGGTGGATCGATCCAGAAGGCAATTGAATGTCTTGTGGCAGTGGTCCTAGCATGGAGCGGATTTCAGTCGACAGAATATTGTATACCTCCTCGTGAGCACAGGAGCCGGGTAGCTCATTTGCGATAATACGCTTGATGTTTACATGCTGGAGCCAGTCGGCGTACATGTGAGTGCGATGACTCTCAGCAGTGAGCATGACAGCTGCCGCATGGGCCGCGGAGTTGACACGGAGCATCTGGCGGAGAAGATGGGCGAACAGAGTAGCGGGTTCTAACTTCGCCTCGAGCACATGTACGGGGAGCGCCGAAAATTTGGCGGTGATGTGCGCATGGAGCGTCTTTGCGACGTTATCAAGAAACTTCAGGACCGGTGGCGGCGCTACTTGGAGCGTAAGCTGAGAGACATTACGGATCATCTTCTGGTACATCATCCAGTCGCATTCCTTTATCCATGGTGCCAGTTCGGGAGTTGCAAATAACTTCTGTACAGGCACAGTCAAAGTCCCATGGAAAGTCCCAAAGAGGCGGAAGAACTGCTTTTCTTTGCAGTATCGTACAGAGTCCACCAATGACACAACATGTGAACGATACATGGCGACAAGGTTATCTGCAGAATCGGGATCCGTACGTGCAGGAAGATATGGCTTGATATCTGGTAGCTCCACGACAAAACCATCCGGCGCCTCGAGGATATCAGGCGTAGGGAATTTGAGCTCGTGCTCATACGAGGTCTTTGTCCGGGTGTGAGAAGGCTGGAAGTGAGGCGAGTAGATATCGGTAAAGAGGACGCCGCGCGATGAAGTTGGAGTATAGTAATTGCCTTGAGCTTCCATCCGCGATTCTCGTGGAGGAAATTGTGCGCTATCGGCAGTTAACCGGGGGGTGGCGCTAGAGACTGTCAGCTTGTTCCGTATAGCAAGGGAAGTAGCATAGACATACTCAAGATTGAGTCTGGGAGTACCAGAAGCTTGACGCTTCAGAGCATGATGTGCGGCCGCGCCGTGACTGGGCCTACGCGCATCCTCTGCCTCGCTCTTGTCATCGATGAGCTCAAGGTCAACGTAGTGGTACTTGGACTCTCCGCGGACACCAAGACGCCTTGTCTGAATTCCGGGAAAGATGACGCGAACAAGTTTTCCGAACGAGGCCGGGTTGAGGGGGATGACGCGATCAGTACCGCAGCGCTCTGCGTACTTTGAATAGACACGGTTGCGCGGGACCGATGTCTTTGCAATGCGACAAACGCACTTCAGCCTAGGAAGATTAGCACGCGTCTGGCACGCGAATGTGGGCTGCCTACCATAGCATGGCGAAGAGCTGCTTAGACTTCTCCGCCTTGGATGTCCGATCGTTCTGGATGACCTCGGCTGCGACATCCTTCAGGTCACGGTTCTCGTTCTGGTTCAACAATTGGCGCAGTTCTTTGTCATTTGTTGCCGCTCCCGACGCCGAAGGTCTCTTCTTCTTCTCCTCATTGTCCAGCGACGGCGCCATGAAGTTGTGTTGCTGTGACGACTGGGAGTGTTGCGAGTGTTGTGAGAGTGAGTTGTGGTAAGCGTGGTGATGTTGTTGCGCCGGTAGCCCGCTGTGTTGGGGTTGGTTCGTGTTTGACTCTGCCGGGTAACCAAGATATTGCTGAACGCTCTCCAAGCTCATATTGATCAGGTGGTCCTGTGCGCTGACTTGTTGCGCAGCCTGGATGAGTGCAGGTTGTAGCGCCTCACTTGTAGTGAAAGGCGCATGGTATTGCGGCTGCTGAGGAAATTGGGCAGACCGGGGCTGTTGCGGTTGCTGAAATTGCTCGAATGAATGAACGCTCGTCGTTGATGCGCGAGAAGGAGGGCGGTTACTGCGAGTGGACATGGACGTGTTCGATCGTGACCGGCGGATGTCGGTCATAGTGCGGGTGCCGGCGTGGCAGTTTTTCGTCTGTTTACACCAAAACAATGCGACGGCAACGGCGCTGACAAGGTAACAACACGGTCGCGGGCGTATCCGGAGTGCAAGGACAGGCTGTCTGATACTGCTACAACACCGATGGGTCTTCGCGTCGTCGCTGCGGCCCAAGTAGCTCGCGTGCAGAAGGGGCTCCGGTCTGGTCGGGTTTGTTTGTTTTGTGCTTTAGGGACTGCTTCGACACGTTGTTCTTTGAAGTTGAGATGCCAGCAACGTGCATAAAATAATCCAAGAATAATGCTCAGCTGCAAGGGGCGTCGTCGGCGTCGTTAATGACCCGCAAGTGGGTTTGTTGTGGGATGGAGGTTGGATGTTTACTGCTTTCATCTGGACTCGGTCGCACCTGCAGCAACGGGGACTGGCCGGCCCGCATGGACCACTATGGTCACATGACCATCGTCATGAACCCTCATCAAATTTACCATTCACCTAATCGCCCAGGAATAGGAGTTAAAGCAGTAAAATCTACATTATATCAATGCAGGATCCTGGCACGCTACAGCGCTGGATGCATGCACTGGATTGTCTATCTACATACGCCTCGTCAGTCGGAGTGCCACGGCTGCATGCGGCTGGCTCGTGAAAGGCGGTGACGTATCCAGCCCACTCTTCCCTCCATCCCACAATCGCTCCGGGCTCCACACGTCCTACTCCTCCCACCTAAAGAACACTTTGCAGCCCCATCTGCCACGACAACACCCTTTCTCTACACCTCTGCTTTTGCACCAAAACAACCACACTCAACCCCAAATCAATCAACATGTCTGTCCAGGATAGAGCCCAGGCCCATCTGTCGCAGCTCGACAAGGAGGTAAGCGCCCTCGCTTCCGCATCTGACACAACTGTCAAAATACGACGTGCAGCCCAATGGAATTCGATGATTATCAACACCAGGAATCAATCTTGAGCAGTGTATGCTGACCATGTTGTGTTCCAGCTGTCCAAGTACCCCGCCCTCACCAACTTTGAGAAGCAAACCTCGGTCCCCAAGGTTTACATGGTCCTCGGTCTTGCCGGCCTCTACTTCTTCTTGATCTTCTTCAACATCGCCGGAGAGTTCCTTGTCAACATTGCCGGATTCATCATCCCCGGTTACTACTCTCTCAATGCCTTGTTCACCGCCAGCAAGGTTGACGACACTCAGTGGCTCACAGTACGTACCCCGCCATCTTCGGGTGTGGGGAGACACTCCCACACTACACATATTTTGCAGTAGTAGCAGAGCTAACGCGACCACGTAGTACTGGGTTACCTTTGCTTTTTTGACCGTCTTTGAGAGCGCTGTCAACGCCGTCTACTGGTTCCGTGAGTACACATAGACTATCACAGATTGCGCCCAACTGACTTTGACAGCATTCTACTACACCTTCAAGTTCGTCCTCATCCTGTGGATGTCCCTTCCTCAGACTTCGTACGTTGACTCATCGCCTGCATATCACAATCAACGCTAACAACTTGCAGCGGTGCCCAGATCGTCTTCCGATCTTTCCTCCAGCCCGTCTTCTCGCGCTACTTCTCACAGTCGGGCTCCACTGCTGCCAACCTCCGTGCTTCGGCCGACTCAGCTGGCAAGCCTCATGTCTCTTAGAACGGTTGCAGCCATTGTGCCTCCTTGGTAGCCGCAGAACCAGGCCAGAATTAGGACAACGAAGTTCAAGATATACCTTCTGCTGTGCGAGAGGTGCAGGATCGAACGGCTTGCGGTTACTGAGGCACGGAGATGCTGCGTGAATGCAAGATGCACAGGTTACGGGTAGTTTTATGACGGGGTTGACACGAGGAAAAGCAGAGGCAGGAATCCTTACGTTTCACAACGACTTACCCATGGAGCGTTGGATTGGGTATTGTGCTTTCTTAATGACTGAAGTTCCAAGTTGCTTGCTAGCCATGATATCATGTATTCGAGACAGCCTTGCCGTCTGGCAATTATCAATCACACACATATCCCTGATGAACTAGTCTAGTGCACTTGGTGTTTGCGCTCTTGAGTGACTTGTCAATTGACAGCGCATACATGTCATAGCGATGTAGATCCTCCTGAGACCCTGCTGCGCTAAAATGTGTAATCGTACCTGGCGTGGTCCATGCTCTCACATGCATAATTGACATGAACAATTCCTTTTATGGTGTACTATACAAGATGAAAAGGTCAGACCTCCTCGGTACCATAGTAACGCCCAGCGGTGAGACTCGACCACTCTTTTTGGCTTACATGCCTCCACACCGCCTTACCAGTACCGGTAATCATTCCTCAAATAAACTTGCAACAGCTGGAGTTTCTTCTCCCGGGTTGAATAACACATTCAACTGCGATCACGCAAATACCTCATCCAATCCCTCGTACCCGCAATCCAATGCTTTACACCCCCGTCCCCTGCCCGCTTCTCCAACATCTCCGCCTGCTCCAAACACCCTCTCATCGCATCTATCCTCATTAAACACCTCAACGTATCCGCCATAGACAGCAAAATCATATGCGTAGTCCACCCATTCGTCAACACAAATCTCGCAACCGCCCTCCTCGCCTCCCCCCAACATGCCACCGCTTCCTCTAACCTATCCTGCACATGCCGTATCTTCGCCAAGATAATCCACAAACGCAATTCCTCAAATTTCCTCAGCGGCAAAGTTTGACATCTAGCATCCAGGCACATCGCCTGCGCCTCTACGAGACGGGTCTGTGCGAAGAGCGATTCCGCTAGCAATAGTAAGATGGAAGGAGATGGGCGTTGACTCCTGAGATACCCTTCCCCAATTCCAGGGCGATGTAGTTCACGAAATGTATCTGCTATCTCACACGCCAAACCCCGCATATCCTTTTCGAAAACAATGGACCCTTGATGCTGCTTTACCATCTCCCACGCCTGTTTTAGCTCCGTGCATGATCTGTGTAGGTGTCCGGCGTACCGCAAGAGCCGGCCCAGAATCATTTTTTTACTGAATACGACGATTTCTTCCAGTGGGGACGGCGGATAGCAGAGCGGTTCCCATTGTTCTAGTACTGTTTCGGCAGCGGGTAGGTTTTCGGTTTGTAGCGTGTTTAGGGCGTGTTGGAGGGCTGTTTGGCCGTGTGCGGAGTGGAATTTTCGCGGTAGGGAGGATAGGTGGGGACGGGCGGCGAGGGTAGTATGAGCTTGGGGCATGTTTCCGGTTATTCGGAAGAGAAGACTACGGAATTGGGCGATGAGGGTGTGGAGATAGGGGTTTTGTAGGTCATGGGCTATTTCTTCTGCTTAGTAGATTGCGAAATGCTTCCAGTGGATGTTTAGGAAGCGGGATGCTTCGAGGAGAGTTTGTGCGAGATCAGTTATGGTGGGTGGGGTTAAAGTTAGGAAGTTGTTGCTGAGAGTGCGGAAGGTGTGAGTGAGGCGTGTGAGGAATAGGGGAGTGTTTGGTGTACTACTCCAGGATCAGAACTTATGCCTGCTTCTGGGGTGAACTCGAGCTTACAGAGATTCAAGATATTTCCAGGGAAAAGCTCTATATGTGGCAATCAATGCCTGGTATTTCCAAAACGTCCTAGATTCCACAGATAGAGATGCACGAAGTTGAGATGCGACTTCTTCGTCAGCTGTATACATCTGTTCAGACTCCGTGACAACAGAGCGTCGCTTTAATTCAGCAATAGCATCGCATATTCTTGAATCATCAGACAATAGACTCGACAACTCTGGAGAAAGACCGCTTTTCTCCGCACTGAACTCTTCGATTTCTCCATAAGCTGTCCAACGTTTCCGGGGCGTTGCCCCGCGAGATAGAAGGTCTAGAGGCACTGGATCGTTGGGCGAGAGGAATGATAGGAGTAATAGGAGAGTATTGGCGTCTGCAGAAATGATAGTGCTGGATCCTAGGATGGTTTGGGAGAATACTGGGGCTTGAGACATTGGCGAGGATGGTCCTGATGTAGCGTCTGGGAAGCTACTATGGTTAATTTGATGATTTATATCGAGATCTGAACATTCATCTCATCGACAACGGACGGGTGTGCTACGAGACATTCAGCAGGTTTCCAAAAGTCCTAAGGGTTTATAAGGTTGCATACTGTACATAGTCTTTTAAGATACGGTCAATAGCTATCGTAAGGCGTTAGGCACCCATATTCTATGAAGTCTAGTCAGGGCCGATGAGCGAGGGTTTCTACTTGAGGTTTAGCGGATGACAGGGGTTTCATACACCCCGCTTTCTGGATTTCTATGTAACAGTAGTCGCTTTATCTGCTTTGATCCAACAGTAATTACAGAGTCTGGTCCCTTGAGTCTGCCCTGTTCGCATGTTGTTAACGATGATAACCAATATGTTATTGTCCTCTCATATTGGAGCCTTGAGCTTGATTAGTGACTCTCAGGTAACATTTGGTGCAAGTACCGCTTGGTCAGTTATCTTAACACTCCCGAGCTGGGTGAGAAGTGAGATCAAGAAAAAGGATCCTGACAGCCATAATCACAGAACCTGTCTGTGGAGTACATTTTTGAAGCATACAATGGAATTTTCCCATACAGAACGTGCATGCAGAGTTAATACGCGGTAACAACAACCCTTTCCAAATCCTACAACCCCAACATAACCCGAACGAAACAGTACTCTCATAGTACCACATCCAGAAGTACTACGCGGCTGGACATTGCCGGAATGATCAAGGAGTCAGTCCAAGTAGTGACGACCAAGCTCTTCCATAATCGGAGATTCGAATGAATACCCGGTAAACTCCATGTCCGGCGGCACTACTTCAGGCAATCGCGATACGGATTATGTAAGGAGATGCGGAGACTACCGGGCTTATGAACGTACCTAAATACTTGACATTCACATCGGTTACCATGAGTGCCACCATCCAGCATCTTTCTTATATCTCGCTATATCGTCGCCATATTCCGATCTCAAAATTCAGCCCTGAAATTCCATCAAGAACTGGTATTCATCTTGAACTACCATGGCTCATCTTCCGTACTGCAGCTACCCAGGCTTCGGCGAGACCAAGCGCGAGGAGCAGTGGTACAACCAAGCAGTCCACGTTGGCGACTACATTGAAATAGCTAGCCAAGGTATGTCCAACTTTGCATCCGCGTATAACTCCCACAATTAAGCCAAACACCAAGATTGACGATTATTTGAAGGTGGTTGGGACCCAGAGACTAGCAAGATCCCCATCGATCTCAATGAAGAAATAGACCAAGCTTTTGCCAAAGTCGACTACACCCTGAAGCATGCTGGAGGAAATGGCTGGTCTCCAGTTTACAAGATAATACTTTACCTCACTGCTGTTGGCGAGCTGTCGGTGGTGGCTGTCATTCGGAACCTGAAGATGTGGCTGCCTGATCACCGCCCCATTTTGACATGCATCGCTGTGAACCAGCTTGGCCTTCCGGGATGCGAGTGAAGATGGAGGTCATCACTCATAACAAGGAGGGTGCAAAGGTTGCATAGGGGAGCTCTATAGACCCCTGTATTCATAGTAGACTATAGTAGTAGGTATTGTTCTGTGTAGATGACGTATCTATTACCACTAGCAGTGTGTCCAATAACCAAGTAACTTGGCTTGGTTGGTTGACTTTGGTTGATTACGTAACAACCAACCACGAGTAAACGTCTGTCCGAGCAACCACAAGTAAGGGTTCTCGCATTACTCGAGTCAACTCGAAGTTGGTTGACGACCTTACCGCATTAGGCATTTTTGTAGAGGAGGTGGGCGACCCAGAGTTTTTTGGGGCATTGGGATAGGAAAAACTATTAGTCTGAATGTTCTGATTGGCTGGAAATTGCCGCTCTTGAGATTTGCTGTCGAAAACTCTAACGCCTGCAGCCTCAATGTACGAAACCGCCAGACTCTAGGCCAAACATGCCTACCCACCCATTTTTTCAGCCTCGTGGAGGATCCACGGGTTCCCCTCTACCTAAGACTCCCTCCGAATCCCTTAGCTATACCCTAGAAAGCATAGAGACCCCAAGTTCCGTTTCAACCAACACTGCTGCCACCTTCGAAAGAGAGCTGCCGACATCTACTCAATGCCCTTTCCCTATTGACTGGGACAAAATTCGCTATGAAAGGAAGGTGTTGCCGTCGATTCGATATCGTCAGCCTCATAAGCGGGCCCTTAACTCTAAAACCCAGCCCTCGCCAATCTACAAACACGGTGCGCAGCTCACAACCGATGGAGAGAACAAGTTCTGGCTCTGCAAATACTGCCATCTTAGCGGCCAGCATGATTCTGCGCTGTACAGTAGTGAGAGTACTACTAGTATCATGTATCACCTAAAGAATCAACACAAACTTGAAGAATTTGGTTACAAAGTAATGGCATTAAACCCGTTCGATATAGCTAAGAGGGCAACAGGCTCTATACTATACCTTAGAGGCTAGCGCTTGATCTTTAATAACTCTTAGTTCAAGAATAAGTTTATTAACTAGGTTATTAATCTTGACTTTACTTTTCGACAAGCGACACATCAACGCACTCGTAACATGTTTGCTAGCTGCTTAGAGGATATTGATAGGATTCTACCTAAGAGCCCATCAACTCTTAGCACCTGGACAAAAGAGATGTGGGACGGTGATACTAGGAGACGTGCTTGGCTAAAGGAAAGGCTTTATCTTGCGAAAAGCAAGATCTATATCTCGACTAATGCCTAGACGTCTGAGGAAGGAACAAACTATGTAGCAGTTGTTGCTTACTTCCTAGACGAGAAGCATAAGTTGCAAATAGCTCTTCTTGACCTCCCGCCTCTCAAAGGCCCCCATTCTAGAGAGAACATTGCGAAAGTGCTGTTAACGGTTATCGACTTGTACGATATATCCGCTATTATTAGCTTCTTCATGATAGACAATGCTAGGAATAACGATACCTGTATTGAAGAACTAGCAAAGCAGTACCTCACAATCACACAGCAGAGTCGCCTTCGGTGCGTTGGCTATATACTAAATCTTATCGTTAAAGCTCTTCTCTTTAGGACGGGTGTTAGCAAGTTAGAGAAAGAGCTCTGTGGCGCATCTAATAACGAGCGGTTTAAGATATAGAGGAAGCAGAGCTTTATCGGCAAGCTCTATAATTTCTATGTGTGGATTAACTAGAGTAATCAGCGGCGGGAGCTTCTAAGAGAGTATATCTTGCAGGCATACGATAGAGGCAGCATCGAAAACCTTTACACTAGGGTACTGGCTGACGGTGGCGTCCGCTGGAACTCTGTGTACGCCATGATCGAGAGAGCTCTTAAGCTCCGTAACGCAATTGATTTGTTCTTTCTCCACTATAATTATAGTGGTGAAGGATACGATATCTCACAGGACGCTATTACTCAGCGCGATTGGACTGATTTGGAGCACTTCTTTAACATCTTAAAGCCGTTTAAAGATCTGACCAAACGCATGGAAGGCCGGGCCAATAAAGCTGGCCTTGAAGGATCACATGGCTCACTCTATGAGACACTCGAGTCACTTGACGTTCTCTTTAAGAAGCTCCAAGAGGCCGGAAAGTTCGCAGACGATCACCCCGAGCAGGTTTCGGAATACTATTCCTGTGCTATTGATACTGCCCGCCTCAAGCTTGAAGAATACTACGGCCTTACGGACGCTACGCCAGCCTACCGATGCGCTGTCGCCCTCCATCCTGCGAATAAATTTACCTATTTCGATATCGAATGGCAGCATGAGAAGAAATGGATCACTGAGGCGAAGCGGGTGGTGCATGATGAGTATGTACAATACGAGGAAGCAGCTGCGGAAGCAGAGATAGCAGAAGCAACACAAGAGGAGGATAATGAGGTTAGTACTGATAGCGATACGACGCTTGATCTTCTCCAGCAAGCTCGTAAGCGTCGCCAGCGGGTCGCCGCTAGTACGGCGTCTACGCGAGGAAAGAAGCGCGCAAGAGTCACCTCTGACCTTGATCAATTTATATCTAGGACTAATAAGGCTGATGGAGATGTTGAAGACCCTCTAGAGTGGTGGGTTCGCCATGCACCTGACTATCCTGTGCTCTCTAAGATGGCGTTTGATCTGTTTAGTTGTCCTGCAATGAGTGCTGAGTGTGAGAGGATATTCTCTCAGACGAAGAAGGTCATCACGGATGAACGAAATCGGCTCGATTCGGGGACTGTAGCGGCAATTGAGTGTCAAAAGCACCTTCTTCGAACTAGTATGCTCCTGTAGATTAGTATAGATATCAAATCGGGAAATTCTATCGAGTAATGTCAACCAACCAAGCAAAGTAAGGGCTTCTCGTCAACCAACCAAGCAAGGTAAAGGACTCTTGTCAGTCAAGTCAAGTAAGAGGGGCGATTTTTGGTTTACTTGGTTGATGGACACACTGACCACTAGAGGCGCGAATAAAGCTGTTCCATAGCCGCATCCATACATGCTTACTTTCGACTTACACTTCTACTTATCGGATGTGATTTGCATGTGAGATTCTGGTCTGCTGGCGCGAATGTGCCGGTATGGGGAGATGGACTTGCGCACTTGCTCTTCGCGTGGCGTCGCTCCCTCACATAGCGTCTGGGAGGAACGCTTCGCCTGTAGTGTGCGGATAGGAAAATTTCGCTCGTTCGAGGGTCTTTCTTTTGGTTTTCGTTTCGGTGCCGGTAGCAGTGGGTCACTCGCTGCTCGCTACCGAAATATGGGTTGTGGAGGCCAAATACTTAAAACCAAGCCCAAATTCTTCCATCGTCTTCTCATCAAATCCAAATATACGATATCGGCGGAACCCCTCGTACGATGTACGTATTTGAGTGTAATAATTTGGAATCTCGTGTCATGTCGCAGAATGATAACGGGTATTCAACGGCGGCCTCTAAATCTGAGGATGAGACTGATTTGGGCTTGCAACGGATGCTCGATTTGCCGACTGAGCTGCGATGCTACATTTTGGAGCTTCTCATCGTCGACAAACCCTTCGATGCTTACTTCACGCTGCTCGAACATCCTGAAATTGGCGAATTAGTGTGCTGCAATTTCAATGCGCAATTCAAAGCGATCAAGCGGCACCGCAATCTCGCTAGTCAGCTTCAGCAGATCTTAACCACCACGGCTTTGTTATCAACGCATACGAACAATCTTCACACCCGCCGGCAGCTAGCCGAGTTCTTGAAAAGCAACCTTCTTGGCGAGCGAGTATACATGTCCGTGAAAACCTCCACTCAGGCCATTGCCGTCCTCAAGAAGTATCGTACATGCTTGGACCATACGGACATCCTGACGGATCAGTTCACTAAAATGACAATTGGAAATGCTGTAGCTCGCTATCAACCACCTCCTCAGCCTCGCTTTGGTACCAATACTTTATGCAAAGTCGAACATCATCGCATATTCCGTGCTTTTCTCCGGCTGCAACTCTACACCGAGATCAGGAAGCTGTACGGGGCAAGAAAAGGGTTTGAGCGCAATCTCAGGAGCTTAATCTCATCATGGAAAACCTGGGAATTTGATGAGGTCAGAAGCGTAGCAGAATGGATCAAACTCGAACATCCAAATCTACCGCAGCATTACCCCCCAAGTATCCGCACGTTATTTGCCTCGGTCAACGTAAACTTTTACAACGACATGACTCCGTATGTCAGAATCCTTCCAGCCCCCTCTCGCGACCGTAATCGACGTTCCGAATTTGCGAGAAGGTCGAAGAGATGGACCGACACACCTGCAACATCTAAGGAAGGTAAAGCGGACAGGCGTAACAAGGACTGGAGACCGCTCGGCTATGAGTACGGATATTACGTGAATTACACGCAACGCGTATATCGAGAGCATTTCCTTGCCGAAGGCTACCCATTCTGGTCTCGGCATACAACACCAATGGCTAGGTGGTGGCGTTATCGCAATCGCGAGGACCATCTAGGACCGCGATTTGGGACAGTCTATGACAGCAAAGTTTAGTAGTAAATAGTGTTTTACAGCTTTTATAACATGCTTTTAGTCCTCTAAAGTCTGAAGTTAGATTTGGGTTGTGGAAGGAAACACGATGTAAATGTTCCATACTCAAAGTTCAGATAGGACGCACGCAGCTTCTTGGATTGCTTACACAATCACACCAAGTGCACTTAACTGTGTCATCCTTCCCGTGTGTTCGATCTTTCGCACTTTCCCATCAACACTTTATTTCAAACCGCGCTTTAGTGAACCGGAGACTGTGATTTAAGGACGGACGTTATCGGTCGTCAAAGAAAGACCCTGAGTCATGACCTCTTCCTGCTCCAGGCTAGTTTGAGTTCTATTTTCCCAGTCATGCCACCGTGAAACGATTCAATCGCCGCGTTGCTCAACGGCCCGACTTTGAACAGCGCAACAGGAAGGCACAATTTACATGTTATGATATCCCGGTCATAACGTGATTAATATCTTTCGAATGCGTCCCTGAAGATCCGAAAGTGTATTTTAATACGACTACATAGGGAGGCGGCAGTAGATGCAACAGCCATTCGCCTCTGTTCTCTGCGCACGTATCCATTCTCTATCAGAGCATCGCTCCTCTGCGTTCATTTCTATCTGGCCGGTGATCACCTTAAAGATGAAGCGATTGCACCAGCTGTTCGCCGCCGGAGTGGGTTTGTCTTCGGTTGCGCACGCCGTCAACACTCTCGTTCACGTCGGTTACGCGAAGTACCAAGGTGCCGTCGTCGACTCCAAGCTCGGAGTTTCTGCCTGGAAAGGTATACAGTATGCCGCGCCACCAACTGGCGACCGACGGTTCGCAGCACCGCAGGACCCTATCGTCTCCGGTCTCATCAACGCCACTAAACATGGAGCAACGTGTCCTCCCAGTCGTCCGGATGATTGGACTGTATCTGGGACCAACCATCGCTTTACCATTGCGGAAGACTGTCTCTACTTGAGCGTATATGCGCCTTCGGAGGCCCGCGTCGACTCGAAGCTGCCAGTCGTGGTGTTCTTCCAAGGAGGTGGCTTCACGTCCCAGTCGAGTGCAAACTGGGATCCTACAGAGATCGTAGCAGATGGTCAGGTCGTTTTTGTTCAGTTCAGCTACCGCGTTGGCTTGTATGGTTTTCTCAGCAGCAAAGCGGTCAAAGCAGGGGGTGGCGATGTCAATGCTGGACTACGTGACCAGATCAAGCTGCTCGAATGGGTTAAGGAGCACATTGATCGGTTCGGCGGTGACCCAAACCACGTTGTTCTCGATGGTGTCAGCGCTGGCGGGTCTTCTGTTGCGCTCATGATGGCAGCAAACACAGGCAAGAAGCTGTTCGCTGGTGCCATCATGGAATCGGGCGGCTGGGTCACAATGCGTACTCCGGAGCTGGGCGAGGAGCAATACCAGTGCCTGCTCAAAGACAAGGGTTGCGCCAACGCGACGGACGGCCTCTCGTGCCTACGCGCACTCAACGAGTCGGCCATTCGCTCTTCCAATTGCTGGTTTAACCCCAACATCGATGGCGACCTTTACACCGACTCGCTCGTAAATCTCTTCAACCAGGGAAAGTACGCCAAGGTACCGACAATTATGGGCACTTGCGCTCAAGAAGGCACCAAGTACAATGCGCCAGAGAATCTTAACACCACAGCGGATGCAGTCAAATGGGTAGCAAATCAGGACCCAAGTCTCAGCAATTCTTCCATCTCCATCATCGACGATCTCTACATGAAGCCGACGAAGCCCTCATTTTCCGGCAAGGGACTCTACTGGCGCAACGCCGCCGACGCCATCGGCGATATTGGAACCCACTGCCCAACTCGCAACATGCAGAATGCAATCGCACGCGACGATGTACCAACATACAACTACAAGTATGCCGTTCAGGACCCTACCGATGAGGCAGCCGGTTATGGCGCCTGGCATACCGTCAACGTATACGCTTTCTGGGGCGTGGACCGCACCGACGGTGGCGAGCCACGCAGCTACTTCACCACCAACGCGCCCATCATTTCCCAGGTGCGCAGCTACTGGACCAGTTTTATCCGGAACTTGGATCCCAATACTGACTGTGCCAGCCGTACGGTTGAATGGAAGCCGTACACCGGTCCGGACTCTCGTGAAAGGCTCTTCATCCAGACGAACAACACCAAGATGGAGCGTATGAGCCCTGCGCAAGCATTGAGGTGTGATGTTGTTAGACCCATGAGCGATAACCTCGGTAAACCAATTGGGAAAGGTGTAGTCACGGAGTTTGATGTGAAGTTGGCGAAACAGGTCAACGGGACAAGTGAGAGTACTGCATGGAAGAAGGAGAAGAAGTAGACCACAAATTTCAAGGTTCACTACTGAACAGGTGCTGGTGTTTAGGCAGACACTGGGCACATTGTTCTATCTTTAAAGCACGTTTCAAAGCACGCGGTGTCTTGTTTCATTCCATGTTGTTGTTCAACTTGTAGTTGACTTACTCTTCTAAAGCCCACAGCCGGCGTGTATCCTTTTTTCTTCATCATCCAACACGACTCAGTCAATACGAGTGGCCCATAAGCCCTAGCATACAGGTCTTGTATGGTGTCCACAAGTCGTTGTTCTGTATTCAAGCGGAGGCATCTAACCTGTACTGTGTTGGTGTGGTTGCGGTGAGAGAGAATGATGGTCCGACCGCTGACTAGAGAAGGGACGCCAACCCAATTTCTAGGTCAGAATTCGGGATTCGGGATTACGTGACTGAACGGTCGGAGCAAGAATTTTCGGGCTAAACGAAAGCCTGGAATCTTTGATGCTTAAGTAGATGCAACCCTGGCTTTTTGGTCGGCCCGTTCGTTGCCGCTGACCCAACTTCGCTTGTCGTTACATTGTGGCATTTCACCGCCACGTCTTGCCATTCGGTATCGATTATAGCACGGAAACAAACCGCCGCGACAATTTGCATCCGTCCAGTACCGAAGGAAAACGTTACTGCCGTCATTCGGCATATAGTTCGTCGCCGTTTGAAAATGCTTGAGAGCATCTTTGTAGGATTTATGAGGATTGTCGCTTTCCAAGCACAGTGACATTCTGTTCGTTTGATGTCATTTCGCGGGTGTCGTGTCAGTTTTGGGATTGGTTTTGTTGACAGTGATACGGCTTAGAGGAAGAGCTACTTATGTTTACGCCAAACTATGCACTCTGCACCTTTTCAATGATCAGTCCCGAGATTCCCCCATCAACAATCGTACCTACCACCTTGATAATGAGACATGCGGTTTCCTCGTCTAATAGCCCCTGGCATACCTCCGATAGTATGATGCGAGGTATGCCGTCTGTGGTAGTAGTCCCTGCCATACTTCAATAGCGAGGAACGAGGTTTCCCCCTCAACAATGATAGTGCCTGCCACACTTCAATCATTTCTGGATGGCTAAGAGGTTCAACAAATACGTCCCGCAATGGCTGAAAGACCGATAAAGTGGAAAAATAGAAGCGGTTTTGTAACTAGCCACTTTATGACATGGTAATTTTGAGCTGAGGTTTAAGATCACTAGCCGAAGATTCCAAGTGAGGACCAAGCGACAACACACCATTCAGAAAAATACGAGTATGTGACACTGCTCATACAGAGAATGACGAAGGGCCCAGGAGCATACAGGCCAATCTACTCGTTGATACCATCCCAGAAAGCACCACGAAGCACATTTGTAAAGTAGGTTGAGAATGAGATAACCGCATCGGGTATGCGAAGGAACTCTTTAGTATTGAATACAACGTAAAATATCTCTCGGATAATACTTGAGTTGTTCCATATAATGCAACGTACCTCATTGCTGACGGCAGTTACGCCACTCAAGAGTGTCGGCTCATTCCAGCATATACAAATCATCGTGAAATAGCATCCTAAAGATATACAATACTCCAAGCCACATGTTACACGAGAAGAGAAACTTAACATCTGTAACAGAGCAACGGTATGTATGGAATAAGTGCGGAAAATGAATAATGGAAATCTGCGTTCACATCGTTGTGCCCTTCCGCATGCAAGACATATTTGGTGGAATTAATCTAACTATCGCGCGGTCGTTCCAAGCTACAGCTGCTTTCACGCAGTCGCTCTGGGGCCTACACATCTGGTGGTATGCTCCACACCGATTAACTGGATCACACTCTCCATGAATCATAGGCAGTCTGGATATCATATATTTAAAATATCGTGATCGCAGGAGTCGGCGGTGCAGTTTCAATGCATGCAATTATGATTTTATCTTCGCTTGCAACTGGCGCCAAAGAAAACGCCAAAAACACCCACCATCGACGGTTAACCATTTTCCAAATATTGCGCCTTTCGCATCCATTCTCTTTTGCAGAGGATACAACAATGTATTTTGAACGGCAGCGTTGCTGACCACTGTTGCAAAGTTCAGGCTGGAGCAGACGCAGTAGGAGACCACAGTGATAAAACCCACATTAGAAAACAAACACATAGTTGACCATAGTCGGCAATTCTGATTCGGTACGTGGGGCCGAGACCGTTTACTAGACGTAATGCGGCTAGAGACTGCAGCTAAGATGTTGCGTTTCGTATTTTCTGGTAGGCTAATTGGGCGGCGCCATGAGCTAAAATGACCCATGCCAACAGAACCCACTTAGCTGCAAAACTGTTTTACTTGCCTACGAATCTCATATTCCTTGGTCAGATCATCAGCTGTCAAATATTTAGTAAGATATAGATTACAGGGCGGCTACTTCTTCCATCAATCAAGAGCAGCAGCAATTGATCGGGCTTGTGGTTTAGTGGTATAATACTCCCTTAGCATGGGAGTGGTCCAGGGTTCGATTCCCTGCAAGTCCATCCTTTTTGCGTGTGCCCGCGTCGTCGTCATCAATCTTTTTGGGTGCAGACATGTTGTTTTTTTGCTTGGTCACTGCACTATAACGACGCAGACTTACACGGGAAAAATGTGTGGGCTTCGGAAACGGTTTTCTATGCTTTGATTATGGCTGTAAGTCCATCCTTTTTGCCTATAGTCATCTCGTCGTCGCCGCACATTTCTTGCCTGTGAGTGCAAATTTTTCTTTTTGCGTCACTGTACTATGATAATGGGGTACAACGCAGACAAATTGCGCGAGCTTAGAGGAAGGTTCTTGTCGGAACATGCGCGTACAGCCAGCCCGGCGAGTTTTTCCGGGCCGGAAGCTTGGACCACTAGTTAGACCAAGCTTCCCGCTTAGCTCGCAACCGTACATATGGAGATCTCTCCATCCAGCTCTTGCTCACTACTAATCAAATACTATACACTTTGTTCGTTGCAACGACTGCTAGTATTCGACACCTTTGCCGTGTCATCACTGATCAGTGGTTGATATGACCACAGATCGGCAAGACATCTGTGTACAGAGGGCCCATCAGCATTGCGTCTGTGTAGCCTAGGTAAAGAAGCGACTCTTAGTACGACCTTGTATCGTATTAAGCAGTGCGAAGAACAGATCCGCCCACGAGCGTTCGTTTCGGCTGACGGAGTCTGAAAGAGATCCAGAACTAGGGATCTGCGTCAACTACGCACCAAAACCCGACAAAATCACCGGCGAGCAACCCCGCCACAGTCAACCCCGCGACGAGCGACCTACGGGCAATCTACAAGCGACCCACAGGCAACCCCGCGACTCACAAGCAACCCACCGGAATCATGCCTACAAGCATTACTACCCGGCAATGGTACCCAAAGGTGTACGCGGACGAGTACACCAATACCCAACTCGACATTGCAACCGATGCTATTATCCCTGGTCAGATAAGCACTATTGCTATCGACTGGATGATACAGGCCGAAGAGAACGGAGACTTTGACATCATGCTTATTCAAGACTTCCAAGAGACATTTGCAGGATGGTCTCTCAATCATTTCAATGCAATGGACATGCGAGTCCGTACAGCAGTCAAGAACATACTCCGCGACCGAGGTGTCTACATCGAGAAGAACAGCCGCAACACCATCGCACAACAGCTAGTCAATCTCCTTAGCCTTACACGCTCTCCCGACTGGCCCATTGACGAGCTCAACGTTATGCGACTCAACCCAGACTTCAAATGCCGACAGATAGCAGAAGAGGCACAACACGCTAGAACAACTCAACAAAGCAGCAACCCGCCAACTCAAAGCGCCAGTATAAACTATGCGCCATCTCCTGCTCAGGCAAACGTAACAGCCCTCACCAACCTCGCAAAGGTATACAGTGAGGAGGAGAAGTTCAGTGGCGACAAGTATGACGTCCTCGACAACAAGATAGTCATCTTTAAAGACCATTGCGAAAAGGTTGGCATTACGACACCAGCACAGTACAAACTTGCAGTCTCTACTATGCTTAGAGGCAAGGCCTCAGCATACTACTACAACTACATTGCTCCACTCAACCTAGACTACGACAGCATTATCAAGAAACTAGGGGAGTACTTTCACACGAGCGAGAACTACCAAATGTTCTTAAGTGAGTGGCGCACCATTATGCTGAAAGACGTCATCGCCAACAACCCCGACAAGACACTCACCCAGTGTCTCGACATAGTCATCGACAAGCTCCAGCTGCTGCACCAGGCAATGACTCAACAGAATGGACCAAGCGAGCTCGCTCTTACAAGCCAACTTATTGCTGCCTGTCAAGGCGTCGAAGCATGTAGCGCAGTCCTTATCCGCCCAGCTTCAACCTTTGAAGCCGTTGCCTCAGAACTCCGCAACGCTGTCGGCAACTGGACGCGCTGCCATCCGCGCTCACAGTTCAACTGCGAGGAGTCCGATCCGAGCGAAGACGCGTTCTACACAAACCGCCGATACAACCGCAACGATAGCGGACAACGCGACAAACCGCGCAACTATAGCGCACAAGGCCAAGGCGAAGGATCCCGCAACTACAACCGCGGAGGATCCCGCTTCCAACGCAGCTTACCCCGATCGCAGTACAACGATGATACACAGCGCCGCAATAACAGGAAGTGCTACGTCTGTAGCAAGCCAGGCTGCTGGTCAACTCGTCACTCTAGAGAAGAGCGAAAGGAAGCGCAACAACGTTTCCGGACGTACGTGCAGACCCGCAACGTCGATATAGACTACGAAGCTTTCCTTGCCCAGTTTGAGGGCATTGACCTTAATGACGACGACGATAACGGCGGCACGGACGAAGAACTCGACGCGTTCTTCAACAACGACCAGTTTGATACAAAGCACCAGTTTCTCACTGCTACCTGCGGTGCAGTTGATGGAGGAACAATGGTACGCAACCTCAACAACGCCGCCGCTCTACACGCGATCACGAAGATCGACCCATACGCCGGCAACGACATTGCCAAAGAGGCAAGCCACCTCTTCACACTCGATCACCGGTACGGGCGCGAGCAGTTCCAAGGCATCATGCCAGACACCGGCGCGGCCGGAGTGTCTACAGCAGGCAAGCAACAGGTTACAGCGTTACACCGCATCCAACCGTTATGGATTGACAAGTCAACTGCTGGCCGACACCGGATCCGATTTGGGGATAACCCGGAGTGTGTTTCTATCGGCGACGTCAACGTCCAGACACCCGTTGGAGTGATTAGGTTCGCTGTAATGCCTACTAACACACCGTTCTTACTCTGTCTTGATGACATGGACCGCCATGGCATCTACTTCAACAACGTCGACAATACGCTAGTTCATCAGTCCAAGGAGTACCCAATTGTCCGCAAGTGGGGGCATCCATGGCTTCTTCTCAACAAGCAGGAGACTGCCACCCACTATCTCACCGAAGGAGAACTCCAGCAACTCCACCGACGTTTTGGGCATCCAGCCGCCGCACGCCTCTACAAAGTCCTAGTAAAGGCAGGCCACGACGACATTGACAAGACGCTAATTGATGAGATTAACAAGTTCTGTCATCAGTGCCAGATAACTGCTAAAGCACCAGGCCGATTCCGCTTTACTCTACGCGATGACAACCTCGACTTCAACTCCCGCGTCATCGTCGACATTATGTACATTGACAGTAAACCAGTCCTCCACGCCGTTGACGAAGCAACTGCTTTTCAAGCCGCCCGCTTTCTTATAGACATAAAAGCAAGCACAACATGGGACACGCTGCGCGCTATGTGGATTGACATGTACGTTGGACCGCCCGACACTATCGCGACCGACGCTGGCACAAACTTTGCGAGCAAAGAGTTTGTTGATAATGCCAACGCGATGATGATAGAAGTCCACGAAGTACCAGTTGAGGCCCATCACTCGATTGGCAAAATTGAACGCTACCATGCTGCCATCCGACGAGCGTTCGAAGTCATCTCCGCCGACATCGGTGCATCTACGACGACGAAGGATGACATCCTCCAGATGGCTGTCAAGGCTGTCAACGACACCGCCGGACCTGAAGGACTTGTACCAACGCTGCTGGTATTCGGCACCTATCCACGTCTCTCCAAGACATCACCGCCATCTCCCTCAATCACCGCGCGCGCAACGGCAATACGCAAAGCGATGGCAGAAGTCCGGAAGATTAAGGCAAAGCGACAAGTCAATGAAGCTTTAGGTACCCGTAACGGGCCAAACAACATCGTCACGCAAGTACTAGAACTACCGCTGCAGAGCAACGTCAAGGTGTGGCGTGAAGGCCTCGGATGGACTGGCCCGCACACTCTCCTCGCCCTGAACGACGATCAGACTGCTGCTATCGTCGACGCTCATGGGAAACAAGCAAGTTTCCGCATCACCTCTGTCCAGCCGTATCATCAAGACAACACTACAAATCTCCCGCGACCTGACGAGGAACAGCACGGCGATGAGGAACAGCACAGCGAGCATCAGCGCGACAATGACGACTTTATTCCCCCAGAAGAGCCACCGCAACGCCGAGGACGCGGCCGTCCCAAAGGCTCCAAGAACAAGCCGAAGACACACGCTGCTAACCTCGCACAGCGCGAGAAAGACGACATAGTGCTAGCCAGGACACTGCGCACTACCGGTAAGATCACGACACCTGGAGAACCTTTTGAGCTGTCAACCAAGACAGAGATTGACGCTCTCATTACCCGCGGCGTCTTCCGCTTTGAGCCATTCAATCTAGCCAAGCATGGCGGGATCCGGATCTTCAAGTCCCGCATTGTCAATGAAGTGAAAGGCAAGACCACCGATAAGCCGTACGAGAAATCTAGACTAGTTGTACAAGGCTACGCCGATGATGGCAAGAAGATTGTACTCACCCAGAGCCCCACGATACAACGCGCAAGCCAGAGGATCATTATTGCTCTTGCACCGGTATTGATCCAAATGGGCATGAAGTTATGGCTCCGAGACATCACGCAGGCGTACACGCAGTCCGACGACCGCCTCCAGCGCACTATCATTGCAGACCTGCCTGTACAACTCCGCAAAGTGTACCCACAAGGAACCATCATGGTCGTGGTGAAACCACTGTATGGCATCGCCGAAGCAGGTGCCTACTGGTGGTCAACATACTTCAAACACCACACGACGACACTCAACATGGAGACGTCTACGTACGACCCATGCCTCCTCATCTCCAAGGCCACCGACGCTGGAACAACCACAGGTTTCGGCATTGTTGGCATGCAAACCGACGACACTCTTGGTCTCTCAGACAACGCATTCGCTGATAGAGAGGACAAGGAGCTCCGTTTCAAAGCTAAGGACAAAAAGTACCTCACAGACACTGACCCTATCGAGTTTAATGGCTGTATGGTACATCTTGGCAGTGGCAACGTCATTACTTTACGGCAGAAGAAGCAAGGTGAGAAACTTGAGAACGCTGTTGATGCAAAGTCCTACATACAACAACGAGCACGAGGAGCATATATCGCGACTATCTGTCAACCAGAGGCAAGCTTTGATCTCGCCGCTGCAGCGCAAGCGACTGAACCGACAAAAGAAGAAATATCCAGATTGAATAAGCGCATTAACTGGCAGAAGAAAAACGTCTCTCGCGGACTTAGCTACGTGCCTATTGAGATGAAAGATCTCAAGCTATACACGATGGTGGACGCCTCGTTTGCCAACAACAAGGACATGAGCTCTCAAATGGGATACGTTATTATTCTTGGTAACGAGACTGCATCTTCAGACGGCAGCTTTAAGATACGTGGCAACATTATTCACTGGTCCTCCACTAAATGCAAACGCGTCACAAGGAGCGTTCTAGCATCGGAGATCTATGCAATGGCACATGGCGTTGACATTGCACTGGCCATCGGCACCACGATTGACATGATTATGGACCGACTGTCTTTCCCTAAGGTCTCTATTGTCGCATGCACGGATTCACGATCCTTGTACGACTGTCTCGTCAAACTCGGCACTACTAAGGAGAAACGTCTCATGATAGACATCATGGCATTGCGCGAGGCATACGAGCGCAACGATCTCATGGATATCCGCTGGATTGACGGCAGAGACAACCCAGCAGATGCGATGACAAAGGCAGCGAGCAACTCTGCTTTAGAGCATCTCATTGACACCAACGAGCTCGAACTTCGTGTACAGGGATGGGTGAATCGCGACACCACAGGCATCGAGCCTACGAACAAGCCAGGCACCAAGCCTACGAACAAGACAGGCACCGAGCCTACAGACAAGACAGGCACCGAGCCTACAAACAAGACAGGCACCGAGCCTACGAGCGATGGCACCGAGCCCACGATTGATTGTGGTGAGAACTGAGACGGACACACATGCACACACACACAAGGGATGAATGGGTTGCATGTATTTGCGTTAGCCGGAATAGGAAACTAGATACTTTTCTAGGAGCAGGATATTGTAGCAGATTCGGGGTACTTGGGAGCTGACTGTACGCCGTCACAAAAAGAAGAAAAGCCAGTGTCGGAACATGCGCGTACAGCCAGCCCGGCGAGTTTTTCCGGGCCGGAAGCTTGGACCACTAGTTAGACCAAGCTTCCCGCTTAGCTCGCAACCGTACATATGGAGATCTCTCCATCCAGCTCTTGCTCACTACTAATCAAATACTATACACTTTGTTCGTTGCAACGACTGCTAGTATTCGACACCTTTGCCGTGTCAACAGTTCTCTATAAATTCTCTCTATTCATAGATGTCTCTCTGGTATGTTAACATTCCCGGGAGATTTTTTTCTTTTTGCAAAGTTCACACAGCTCTGATTTTGTCGCTACGTCTCTGCGACAACACCACGCTGCGCTTTGGCTCTACATAGCCCTATAGTATTGACTGATTTGCTCGTCGATCCTTTTATCTACATATCTTTTCTGTATCTTCGCATTGTCATGTAAAGATTTTTTCGATTCTTTTTCTGTTACTGAGGCTGTTGGTAGGGCTGTAGCACTAGTGTTGAAAGGAAATAACGATAACTAGGAATGCATTCTGTTCGGTGATAGTTCTTACTACGTGAGGGTGCTATAGAGGTGTATCTGATCTGAGACGAGTAGAGCCGAAGTAGGATCGAGTCGGCTGTTTGGGCATCGTTGAGCAGCTGACGCACCTACCGATACTCACGATCCGACAGAGGCATCACTAGTGTGTATGCTATCCTACCCCAGCGTGGGGATCTTTCAGTCCAAATTGGTCTAATACTTTTCTATAAACCCTGATGTAGTCTTACTGTATCACTATCGTAGCTCCCATATAACTATTGACATCGTGATATGCGACAACAGTGATAACTTCTCTATCTACATGCTCAATATATATCGCCTAATTTCTTCCGAGATCTGAGAGACGCTGCAACACTCTCAAGTAGTAAATTTATCGCCCTATTTCGACACCGCAGCATCTATCTACATGATTGCGTACACATTACATCGCCGGATATATGACCTCATCATCGCGCCAAAGCGTCTGACAGCACCCCTTGTGGTCCCTCAAATTCACGAGCTTCATGTTACATCAACCATATCCTGGCATGATGTTATGAAGTGTGAGCTAGCTCATTACTATTAGAAGACGTTTGTAGAACATGATGCGGACCGCTGACTGGAGATTTAGAGAGTGAGCTAGTCGCTGTCCTCCGTACATGATCACGAACTATTCAAGCTGGCAAATACTCAGGATCAATAGTATTGGATGAACTTATATGTTGTTAACGCAGATGCACAAAGCTCGTGTGTGAAAACTCGCTCAGAAAGTTTGCGATACGACTTGTTAATATCGAAAGCACTCAAATTATCGCTAAAGGTATGTGAATCGAGTATGGGGACAGCTACGATCTACTTTGGAGTTTGCGTGGCTGGCCTTTAGGCTTGGTTGTTGTCGCATCGCCATCTGATTTCGCCCTCAAAGACTCTTCACGTTCTGCCAATGCCTTCTCCCTTTCATCCAGTTCGGCCTCTCTACGATCTAAGTCTGCTTTCTTGCGATCCAACTCCTCGTTCTTCTTAGAGTCATCTCCTCTATTATCCTTAGTGGAATCACCGGCTGCTTCACCATCGCCAGCGATCTCTTTGGTCGCTTGATCACTATTAGATGGCTTTGCATTCAGCTTGCGTGGCTTCTTACGCCCTTGATTGTTACTCTTCTGCGCCGTACTACCATTCGATTGCTGGTCGGATTGGGCTTCGTCGGTCTTTGAGTCTGCCTCTCCACCACCCGCTTGTGCACCTGCTTTGGCTGCATCTGATATCTCTTTCTGATCTGGCATCATCCCCTTCACGGTCTTCATCCAACCTTCATCCAGCTTTCCGCCACCTTCACTCTTGAACTTCTCAAGCTCTTCGGCCCCAGGCATTTCTTGTTTATTGACCTGGTCGACCATTTTCTCTAGCGTTCTTTTCTGCTCCTCGCTTACTGCCCATTCTGGAAGGAAACTTGTAAGTTTCTTCATTCCTTTTCCTGCTACTTTGCCAATGTTCAAGAACGGGCCATGCAATGCACCCGTGGCAGCTCCTATCCCAGCGCCTAGACCACCAAGAATTGTGGACGATACGCCTCCAACTAAAGTGCCCGTGATGGCTCCCAGACTGGCTCCAGGAGCGACACCAAGTCCTGTACCCATAGCCATTCCTTGGAAGGTACCTGAGCGGAGGTATTTTGCAGTTTTCCCAAAAGACTCAGCTTCGATATGCGCGTTCGTAGCTTCTTCGGTCAATCTCTGGCGTTCTTCTGGATCTCCGGCTGCTGCTGCCGCATCTTGCAGCTCTTTGGCTTTCTTCTGTGCGGCAAGGGAAGCGTCGGCAGCTTTCCCCGCCTCCTGGCGTACGTCTTCGTCTGAAACGGCAGGCTTGTCGGACTTCGAATCATCTTGCGTCCCCTGATCGCCATCTTTGTTCGATTCGTTCGAAGGCATGATGTTGTTTGTTCCTAGGAAATTATGTTTCTTGCCAAAGATGCATTGTTGACATACGTCATTGACGCTAGCACGACGCTAGACCCCTGAGAACCCACAAGCTGCCCAGGTGAAAAGCAACCGTTCTTCATCATGCATGCTGCATGAAACCGATGAGATCACAAAACGTTTCTACCATGGCGATCAGCGGAGTGTACAAAATGCTCATGTCAAGCGCGAGCGTGGCATCATTCTGATTTGTAGGTACTACATCGATCTTGTGCGACACATGCGGCCATCCGTCTGAACTGTCCAGGCCTCGCTACCAACCCCAACCGTGGCATAGAACAGACCAGAAGAATCCCATTTTTTCTTGATATCCAGCAGCTTATCATAATTCTCGCCCCAAAAGGTCGACTGAAAGTTTGGTTGACGAAAATCAGCCTCGTTGACGTACGAACCACTACCAGGTGTTGCAGCCTCCACGAGAGGCATGATTTCGTTTGTCATCTTCTCCTGCGTGACGAACGCTTCAGACCAGGGCGCAGTAAAATCCCAAGGAAGCGTAAGAGTCGCATGCACGATAGCCTTGCGCCATGCCGGGTGAACGGAAGTTGTCTTCTGTGAACCAAAAGATTTGACGTCGGTACCGACGCCGATCCATGTCACTCCCTTCTCTACGATCGCTTTCCAGGTTTCGGTGATGTTACTTACGACATCTCGCGGGATCAATCGAGTCCCGTACTGCGCGATGCCTACTTTAATGTTGCCAAGGGGAAGAGGACCGAAATATTTGTCGTAGTGCTCGTAGTATGTCTCGAATTCGCTGTATTCGACGGCGTACTTGATGCCTTTGGAATCCAGCTTGGCAACAAATGGTGCAAGAATGGCTTTTACCTCAGCTTCGGTCTTGTTGTACGCGTTGAGCGGGGCGATCATAAAGAACGAGCTTGTGAAGTAGTGCACTACCATGGCTCCGGCATCTACCATGGCAGGCAGCTCCTCGTGGAATGCTTGGATACCGTCGTAAAAGACATCCTGTTCGTTGTCCTTTGTAAGGAATGACAAGGCAGCGCCGCCAAACACAGCTTCCTTGAAGGCCTTGACGGTCATCGATACGACGACGCCATATGTGCTACCACCACCGCCGTTCAACGCCCAGAATAGATCCGAGTTCTCTGTCGGGCTGGCATTTACGAGACTTCCACTCGCAGTTACAACTTGCCAATCCAATACGTTGTCGGCTGCAAGACCAAAGCTGGTACTGACAGCGGAATGCCCACCCCCCTGGGTATAACCGCCAGCAATGCCGACAGTGGGACATTCACCTCCGACCGTGACCAGACTATGATCTCGTGCAGCAGCCATCAACTCGAAACCCTGGACACCAGCGCCGATCTTGAAGGCCGGCCCATCATACCCTGAACCGTCATACTGGGAAACATGGGTGATGTCCTTGAGGTGGTGTGTCCATACCGCCAACGACCCCGCACCCGTGGAGCGACCGAGATAATCATGACCAGTATTGCGAATGACAAGGCGAATATTCTTCAGTGCCGCAAATTCAATAGTCGCTTGGACATCAGAAGGCCCCGAGGCATCTACGGCATATCTAACGTAGTTTCCGAGCTCACATGGGCTATCTCGTGGCTGAAAGGGATCGCAGCTTTGATTGGCAAAGAAAGGGGCCATGACAGACGAAGAGGAATCATAGCTGCAGATGAGTAAGCTGGTAATCGTGCAATCAGGTCATCAGCACACACTGGATCTCCTCAGTCTGCCATTGGCTCTTCAGGCTCTCGCAGGTAGCATTGTTGAAACTCGATCCGTGACATGGCGAACCAAGCGGTACGGTTGCAATCAGTCGCCCACTGACTGTCTTGTTGAATCCGTCCCATTCTGCTGTTGAAGGCCATGAATCATCGCCGGGGAAGGTCTTGCACTGATTGGGCGTTTGTCTGCTGGCAAGTACGAAGCCAAAAATCATGCATTGAACAACCAAAAAACGCATGATGAGGGTGCCAAGAGCAAGAGAAATTGTCGGCCTGTAAGCCTCGGTATGCAGGGTATCTGGCTCATTATAACAGACGTCGGACGCCTTGCAGTTTCGCGCCTACGTGTGGCGACGAGACTAAGTCATCTCGGTAGTGCTATGGAGAGTTTAGTCTCCGGTGAGTGGTCTGTTCCCGCTACCGTACCATCAAATATGCGCCTCAGCCGTTACGTCTTCCTGTCTGCGATACTGATATCAGTGTTGCCAGATGACATGCAGTCTATTTTGGTGTATTCAGAATGCCAACTCTTGCTTGATGATGCAAATGGCAGAGCTGGCTCAGACGTGTTTCAATTTGCCACGATGTGACAACGCGACGGCGTGTTTGACGCAGGACGATCCATCGGAAGCCAAGGCGAGTACACTCAGCCTAATATCAGGTAATCAGGGATGCTCCCTGGCGCTTCTACTTCGAGAAACATCCGCATTAGGCGAGCGGAGTGTGCACCGCAAGCGTGATTTGGTCTGATTTTGCAAGCGAGCCAGCGGTGATCGTCTTTGTGCCAGACCCTGGGCATCATCTCTCGACGTGCCCCGTACCAGCCTAATCCTTCGCCGCACTACTTTCCCCGTGTCAAGGCTTTACTGAAGTGCCGCCGTGCCATTGTTCCGCGCGAACCACGACCAAAGGATCTTCTAGTTCCGCCGTTGCTTGGAACCATCCGTTTGTAACGGCGTGCAATCGCATCCCGAGGTACAATCGCAAATCCAAGACTAAGCGACATGCATCGGTTTATCTGCTAGCAACAGCACAAGATCTCGGTATGACTTCGTAAATGATGACATTGAGGAATTCAACTGGCTGAAAGGCCGAAATGGTTGAAAATTAGATCTGCGCACGTGCCGCAGTCCCGGAGGCTGAGGTCCTGTCTCGAACAAATTCCAAGGTTCGCCTGTCCTGTTGAAGCAAGACATGCCTTCTCAAGGAGGAAGTTCTAACACGCGCAGATTCAATGCGGAGCTTCTACGGAACCTACCGACCGGCCCGGCGTTGTCATCCTGGAGATGACTTGGGAGGTATGCATGCTGAGTGTTGATACTTACATCGCGGGAGCAACGTGTCTTCCGAATGTCCATGTAAAAACTTTTTGTTGATTTTTGTTTCTCGGGCGATTGTATAGTTTTCTAACTCAGAAGCCATGGCTTGGGCTTATAATACATCGGACCAGGCGGACAGCCTTGGTCTAGAGATAACTGCTATCGCAATCATGTTCACAACGATGTCTCTTTTGATTTTGTTGCTGCGTTTCTATGTACGTGGATGCATGATCAAGGCAATTGGCGCTGGTACGTGTAGCGAAAGTTCTCTCACCTTCGATTTGAGACTGACTGGCTGCGCTTAATAGATGACTGGATATTAATAGTGACTTGGGTATGTTCTCACGCTGCTTCTATGCCGGAGAATCATTGTTGACCTTGTGTAGATTGCTTCTTGCGGGTTCGCTGTGGTGACGATTATACGTATGCCATTCTACCAGCACGGCCTTTCGATACTACAACTAACCCTGCGCCAAAAGAGACTAAATGGGGCCTTGGATTGACGCACCTGGAAGACATGCCAACAGAGGATATCTACAACTTCGGACTGGTAAGATCTATCCAAACCTGTGCACCTGACGTGCTAACCAGCATTAGATTCAGTACATAGGGGCACCGTTGTAAGTGGCAGCATACAAGCACATATTCGGTCGCTTGCTAATAGCTATCGCAGCTACATCACAAGTATTCTGGGCTTCAAGCTCAGTCTGTTGCTTTCGTATCTGCGTTTCATGCCCAAAGGTGCTGCACGCAATACTACGATTATGTTGATCGTCGCGTGCATACTCTTTCATATCAGCTTCCTCGTTGTTCAGGTCAATCTATGTCAGCCGGTAAGTCACTCTCTCAGACTGTGCCAGTTCACCATGTAACGTGTACAGATATCCAAACAATGGAATCCTGCCATCACCGATGGCCAGTGCTTACAGGCAGTTCCATTCTACCTCAGCATGGCATCACTGACCATCTTTTTCGACGTGGCTGTGTATGTATGCGCCACTTGACGATCAACATACGCTTACACAAATAGCATGGTCTTACCCTTTCCTGTTTTACTCAAAAGCCGCATACAGAAGCGGAAGAAGGTCGCACTACTAGGTCTCCTCGCACTAGGCATCTTCATAACCGTCATCCAAATCCTCCGCATCCAAACCGTCCGTAACCTCTCCAACTACCTAGACTCGAGCAGCCTCATCATGTGGTCCACCATCGAAAACAACCTAGGCATCATCGTTGCCTCGATACCAACACTTGCACCGCTCTTCAAGTATTTTGTGGAAAAGACGCAGAAGAGCTCTTCGGGGAACTCGGGGAATAGATCTAGGACGGTGTACACTGCAAAGTCAAAACGGAGTATGAGACACCAGTCTATCAGGCTTGATAGTGTTGCCCGTGCTGCTTCGCGCCTTAGTACCACGTTTGATATGGGGGAGAGCCGGGAGCATATTTTGGATCAGGCTGCTAGAACGTCAAGCAAGGATGTGGAAGCTATTTTGTCTACCCGAAATCATCAGGTCTTCTCTCAGGGAAGATATTATGCTAATCTGTAATGATAATATAATCAAACGTTAGTATTAGAGGATGGCAGAGGCGTGAAAATAAAGTTCTTAGAGTACAGTGTTGTCAGATTTGTCCTACAATCAAATGACAGCCGCACTGTATATTGAAATCTTCACGTTGATCACTTTCGTACGTAAAATCGAGTCACTATTTGGCACGACTTAGGTATAGACATTATAAAGAGGGGGGATCTTAGGTGGGTGTATGAGACAGGGTGGATTATGTCAGCCGCCCGCCCGACTCGCTTAAGTTAGGTGCGCAACTAGCTTCTTTCTCACCGAACCATCCTACATCTTTCCTCCGCCATCACTTGCCCCGAACCACTCCTCCTGCGCAACGTTACTGCCATCACAAATAATCCTACATACCCTGTCGCGCATGCCGCTGCAAGAGGTTGCATTCATGCACTTTCCATTCTGCACACCCACCAGCTGGATTACCTCATCGGGCGATTGGACACGCCATTGGTTTCCACACAATCAAGATGCGCTTATGGCCGGCGTGACATCTACGATTCCACCTCGATCTCTAACGAAATGGTCGCTCTTTGATACAGCATAACCAGAACGGCATTTAGGCTGAAGGACACGTGACTCACCTACCTCCGCGTCCTCTATACATATGCCAAGATCAACATCTACATGTCATCGTGCAGGCTGAACTTCATCAAGTCAGCCAGTTTTTGGAAGGGATAACTGTATGTCGCGAAGAAAAGTCGTAACGAGGTGAACATTCTCGAGCTGGGCAATGATATAGGTTGCACGATGACAGTGACGCCAGATGTTACCACGGTTCCTTGCTGCTCCGATATGGAACCGTCGGTTGTCTGAGCTCATATATTCTGTCACTTGGTAAGCAGAAGGAGTATGTGATTGTTGGACCAAGTGCTAGCTATCTCGAGTTTCCACCGTTTGCTGAGTCTATAGGTAGTTTTCCGACCAGCTTTTGAAGCGCAGTCCAAACTATACTACTTTTTCGGGAGCTTTTCAATAAAGCCCAGAATACGTGCGATGAAAGCTTCTGGATCTTCTTCGGCAACCCAATGCGCAGCATTCGAAATCATGACTATCTCTGCAGTCTCATGATACTCGCTCGCCATACTCTTTGCCGCTTGCGCCAACAAACACTTTTCTCCCATCAACAACAATGTAGGAACTTTCACCTTTCCGTGCCGAGCAAGCCAAGTCCTGTTCTCCTCGGCGTCTTTCTCAAAAGCACGGTAAAGCTCAAGACCTGCCCTGATTGCGCCAGGCTGCGAATATGCAAGCGCATAGTGGTCCAAATCGGCGGGTGTGATAGCCAAACTATTATACTGCAGTTTGTCGAAGAAGTGCTTAAGATATTCGCGCTCTTTGCCAGCTATGAGGAATTCGGGTAGGTCGGGCACTTGGTGGAAAACGAAATGGAAGAGCTCTGGGCTTCCCTTGACGCTCTCGTAGAACGATGTTCCGGGCAAGGGACATTCTCCCCATACCACACTGGCGACGTCGTCCGGGTAACGCGATGCATATGCGAACGCGATCATGCCACCAATGTCGTGTCCAACGATGTGAATTTTCGACTGGATTTTGAGATGGTTTTTTATCAGGATACACAGGTCCTCGGCCATCTGAGTCTTGTGATAGCCGGTTAGGGGCTTCGAGGAATTTCCGGCACCACGATAGTCTGGTGCTACAACTCGATATCCGGCTTTTGCAAACTCTGTGATAACATGGCGGAACTGATATGATGTTTGAGGAAAGCCGTGGATAAGTAAGATCACGCCCTGGCATGGCTTATTTCCGTAGTCAGGGGAATAGATATAATTCAAGCGTATCTCTTCGCCAGAGTAGGTAGTGATGGAAGCGATGCGCTGTTGCCAATCGTCGGCATCGCACGACTTGGGAAAGATGCTCATAGTAAATAAGAAATAGTTCGGAGTTTCTTTCGGGATAAAGAGATGAAGTGATACATGGGCTCGGGTCTTATTTGTACATGCATCGATTTCTGATCATGACGTTCCTGCAGCGTCATGTGTAGCGTCACTGCGCATGCAGCACGGCCGCAACTGTGCTGATCTGGAAGCAGCAGAAATTTATGAACTTTCAGAGATGTTGCCTACAATAAGTGGTTCTCGGGCAATGAAGAATAAAAGCATTCCTTGTGCAGCGATACATTATCATTATTTGTGTAATCTAATTGGAGCGACTGTTAGCCCCGCACCATATCAACAACTGTGCTCTAGGCTATAATTATAATAGACTCGACTCTTCCAACCAATTAACTTTTGCAGAAATACTCTTATATTGACTTCTATTGTGAGCTTTAGCATAGTATTTATTCGTTGCATTAGCACGGTTCGTGGTGACGAAACATTTTTGGAAGGAAGATACTGTCGGATCGTGAGTATCGGTAGAGACGTCGGCTGCTTGACACTTCGGCCCGACTTCGGCCCACCTTGCGCAGAGCTTAGGTGTACCTTCGTAGCAGCTATGTTCGTAGACAACCAATACCAATACCAGTCACCAGAAGAACCTCGTTGTTGTTATTCACCCGTACGATCGTACAAGGCCTACCAACAGATACAATAATACATGACCTCGAATCTTGCCTACGGGCAGCTCCTGCCTTTAGCATCATAGCGGGGCGTCGCAGCATACTGTCTCAATAAAAGGCAGTGTCGGATCGTGAGTATCGGTAGAGACGTCGGCTGCTGGACACTTCGGCCCGACTTCGGCCCACCTTGCGCAAGAGCTTAGGTATACCTTCGTAGCACCTATGTTCGTAGATATCAATTAGAACCACCGAACAGAATGCATTCCTAGTTATCGTTATTTCCCTTTACGCACTTAGTGCAAAGCCAACCAACACTGATCAGTGATTGCTTGAGGCGATCACAGACAGCAAGGAAGAAGAGACAGACCGCATCTTTGACAGCCTCCCTAACGCACGACGTTATACTCCTGAGAGAAGATTCTGTGCTAAGAACAGAGCGAGGCAGAGATAACGCATAGCGATCAAAACCTCCCTCTAAGCTGCTAATCCAGGCCGAAGCTCGATTACAGCGCGTCAGCAACGCACAAAGACACACTGTTGAAATCCCGACGCGAGAAGTCTTGGGACGACTACAGCACGTCAGCAGCGCAGAGCGACAGACTATTGATATCCCGACGCGAGAAGTCTCGGGACGACTATAGTGCGTCAGCAACGCGTAGCGATTCCGTACGAGCGTCCCCGGACGATCCTATCACGTACAACCACAAGCGCTGGAACCGACCAACCAGCTAGACAAGACAAGGCAACGCGTCAATATACACCGGCACGATGGCAGGCAGCCAGAGCAACTCTGGCGATACAGACGCTGATGTTCAAGAGCAACTACTCAACTATCCATCCGAACGCAATACAAGCAAGCGCGCAGAAACTATATCCCCAGGAGCGAAGTTTACTGCTGAACACCTTATGCGACACTGTCCATACACAGTCACGTTTGACTATATCAACCCATCTCTCTGGGGTGTACCCGCACCAGAGGATGCAGACGAGACGCACGCAACAACCTGGGTCGCGAAGGCTATCCACGACTACCATGTAGGAATGGAATGGGATGAGAGACTATACTTCGACTACCAATGGGACTTTGAAGGATGGACACGAGAGCTATTCCAGAAGGTTGAGCGCACTACGCTAAGATCTCTGAAGACTGTGCTCCGGTATAGGGGAGTCTATACAGGCAAATTTCGGGCTAGAGTAGCTGATTCCCTCTTCAACTTACTAGGAGGAGAAAACGCTCCCGAATGGGACCCTGCAGAGTTCAAGGCCGAGAAGTTTGACGAACGTTCTGAGGCGTACCAGCGTCAGCAGAACGCACATCTAGCAGCCCCTATAGATAGACAAGCGCAGCAGCCACTGCAACAGACGCAGCCACTGGAACCGCTACAGCCGCAGCCACAACGTCCGTCACAGGGCGAGCAGTATAGAGTGAGACAAGGCGTTCGAAGCCACCCGCAATATCAAGAGCTACAACAACCGCCCTACGCGATCAATGCCTATGCAGGACCACAGCCTCGACAAACGGAGCAGGCTATGCAACCACAACAATGGTACCCGCAGACACAGACACGACCCCCAGCGACCGCATACCGCGAGGTGACACCTTTCCCTCAGCAACCTACAAACCGAGTACCTGACAGACCCCTTGGCCTACCACATGACCCGTACAAGACGCTACCGCCGCGATGGTCTCGCAACGATCGGCTCGAAGCCAATACGATCACGCAGTTCTCTAAGCTATGGGACAATAGCAACAAGTATACAGGGAATGCGTACGATCTCCTAGACGATAAGATTAAGATCTTCTTCAGCATCTGCTGGCAGGTAGATATCCAGGAGGAGCAGTTTCACGCAGTGTTTCCCCGTATCCTTACCGGGCGTGCAGAGACGTTCTACATACAGGTTGTAGAGAGAGATGATAGCTTTGCTGATGCGTACATGGCAATCAAAAACCACTTCGACCATGACGTCCATCACCAGCACTACTACACAGACTGGACGACTACAACCTTCGCTCGCACCCGCGCAGAGAACCCTGATAAGGGACTACACGAGGTTCTGCAGATCCTGCTTGACAAGCTGCAGCTATGCCAGCGTGCCCTTGGCAAGAACTTTGAGGGTGAGGATGCCCTCCGCACTACGGTCATCAATGCCTGCCGAGGAGTACCAGAACTTGAGATGGCACTGTTCAAGCCAGCCACAATCTGTGAAGGACTCTTCTCAGATCTACGATCCGCAGTGGAAACACACCTAGCACGGCAACACACCGCCCAGTTGGTCACAGAAGATCAATACTACCTAGACCGCCGATACAACGGCAATGGAAGGATCCGAGGTGGATCTCGAGGTGGAGGAGGATTCAGAGGCGGATCCAGAGGAGCATACCGAGGAGGCGAGCAGCGCGACGACAACGGACGAGGATTCAAGCCACGTTGGAGGAAGAAATGCTTTGTTTGCCGGAAGGAAGGATGCTGGTCTACCAACCACACAGATAAAGAGCGCAAAGATGCCCGTGCGCAGTTCTTCTCTACGCTATACTTTACAGGTGCACAGCCCCCTGAGGACTTCTCCGTACATCTTGCAGAATACGAAGGGATCGAGCACACCAGCCAGTACAATCAGAGAGGCTGGAGAGAGGAGGAAGACTGCGAGGATGACGAGGATGACGACGTCGCGGAAGCACATTCTGAACACCAGTTCTTCAAGGAGCAATGCCTTGCAGACCAGGCGTTCTTGCATCATATCTCGGGCGACGACATATACAGCCGAGACGCGCCGTCAGCACCAGCATCGCAGTTCCTGCTTGAGGACCGCTACACACGATCTGTGTACCAAGGAATCCTACCAGATACAGGCGCTGCAAACGTATCCACGGTCGGCAAGGAGCAATACCTCGCACTTACGAGAGAAGATCCGACGGTTAAGTTAGACACATCTACAGCAGGGAAAGCGTCTATTAAATTCGGAAAAGGCGAGGCTACAGCGTCGATTGGCACCGTGCAGGTCTCTACGGAGATCGGAAAAATCAACTTCGAAGTGCTCGAGGCGCCTACGCCGTTCTTGCTATGCCTTGCAGACATGGACCGCTTAAAGGTATACTTCAACAATACGACAGACGAGCTGGTTCAGGATGACGTACACATCCCGGTGATTCGCAAATGGGGACATCCTTGGTTCCATCTAAACAAGAGAGAGAGAGCAACTATGTTCCTAACGGAGACAGAATTGCGACGGCTCCATCGACGGTTTGGACACCCAGCTGTTACGCGACTAGTCAAACTCTTAAAGGATGCTGGCCATAACGACTTCGAAGAAAGAACCCTAGAAGAAGTCACTAAGTTCTGCCACCACTGCCAGCTCCACAGCTCCGCGCCGCGCCGATTCAAATTCACTCTTAAGGATGATCACCACTTCAACTATGAGATCCTGGTGGACGTAATGTACCTAAGCAACAAACCTGTACTGCATGTGGTCGATTCCTCAACAGCGTTTCAAGGCGCGAGGTTCCTCAGCGCTATCTCAGCTAAAGAAACATGGCAAGCACTGCGGATACTATGGATCGACACCTACCAGGGACCACCCGACATCATCACGCATGATGCAGGTACTAACTTCGCGAGCGCAGAGTTCCGCGCAGAAGCAAAGATCATGGGAGTCACATGCAAGCAAGTACCTACGGAGGCGCACTGGTCTATCGGCAAAACTGAGAGGTACCATGCCCCTCTACGCCGGGCATGGGACATACTCCATGCAGAACTCACTGACACTATGTCCGACGACGCGATTCTCCAGATGGCTGTGAAGGCTGTTAACGATACTGCTGGCCCTGATGGACTAGTCCCGACGTTACTAGTCTTTGGAGCGTACCCACGAATGACTGCAGAGTCACCGCCATCACCATCAATGGTCAAACGCAGCGAGGCTATTCAAAAGGCGACGAAAGCCCTGCGCAAGCTCACTGCAGAGCGCCAAGTTGCAGACGCCTTGAACACCCGCAATGGACCAGCCACTGCAGACATGCTCGCGCTCCCACTCCAGAGCGAAGTCTTAGTATGGAGAGAGAGTGATGGCTGGAATGGCCCGTACAAGATCGCCAGTACAGATGGCCACAACATCACTGTCGACATGGTTAATGGTCCAGCGACATTCAGATCAACTGTCGTTAAGCCATACTACAGACCAGACCACCTGTGGAGCGACCCTGATGCGCCACACGCGCCGAATGAGCCGAATGAGCCGCACGAGCCGATAGCAGTACCTCCGGCAGCGCAACCACGTAGAAGAGGCCGCCCTCCAGGGTCAAAGAACAAGCGGAAGGCGCACGCGTACATCACCAAGAAGGAGCAGGACGATCTTGAGCTAGCTATCAAGCTACGGAACGATGGCGTGATCACACCTCAGCGCCCCCTTTGAGCGTCTGATGACCAAGAGATCAGCGACCTAGTAGGTCGTGGAGTCTTCAAGTTTGAGCAATACGACGAGAGGCTACACAGCAAGATCCGGATCTTTAAGTCACGCCTAGTACGTGAGGTCAAGGGAAAGACAACTAAGCCTTATGAGAAATCCCGTCTGGTTATCCAAGGCTACCAAGACTATGGCAAGGAGGCTATCTTAACGCAGTCGCCAACCATCCAGCGATGTAGCCAGCGCCTGATTATGTCGCTGGCGCCTGGGCTAGTACAAAGCGGCATGAGCGTTGAGCTACGTGATATTACGCAGGCATACCCACAGGCTCAGACAACACTGAAGAGGACGATACTCGCACACCTCCCTACCGAGCTGGTACATCGATATCCAGAAGGCACGATACTCCACGTGATCAAGCCACTATATGGGATCGCGGAGGCAGGAGTCCACTGGTGGACAACATATCACGGACACCACTGCAAGGAACTAGATATGTCAACATCTACGTACGACCCATGCCTGTTGATCACGAACAGCGACGACGCAGACGTCTTCGGCATCGTCGGTATGCAGACAGACGACACCCTCATGCTCGGAACGACCGCGTTCTTATCACGCGAAGAGAAAAAGATCCAGAAGGCGCAGTTTAGATCAAAACCAAAGGCTATGCTGACACCAGAGGTGCAGTTAGACTTTAATGGATGTACACTTACGATGGACGCCAGCAGAGTCTTAATCCTCAGGCAGAAAGGACAAGGAGGAAGGATCAGGCTTGTTGATATTAGGGCACCCGACCGCGCGCAACAGTACACCGAGCAACGCGCCCGCGGAGCGTACATCGCATCAACATGCCAACCAGAGGCATCATTTGATCTGTCCGTAGCTGCTCAAGCGCAGCAACCATCAGACGAGGACATTAAGGCACTCAACAAGCGCCTGAAATGGCAGATGGAGAATCTCACTCGTGGCCTACGCTACGTCACTGTCAACCTTACGGAGGCTAAGTTGATAGTCTTTGTAGACGGCTCCTTTGCCAACAACAAGGACCTCAGCTCACAGCTAGGCTTTGTCCTCATGCTCGTCAACGAGTCCATTGGCGCCAACACCTTCACAATACAAGGCAACGTGATCCACTACAGCTCTACAAAGTGCAAGCGCATCACACGGAGCGTACTGGCCTCAGAGATCTACGGCATGGTCAACGGCTTTGACATAGGCATCGCGGTTGCAACCACGCTAAGGATAGTTACAGAACGACTTGGACTACCTGCAATTCCCTTGGTTATCTGTACAGACTCGTACTCCTTGTACGAGTGCCTAGTAAAGCTTGGGACAACGAAGGAGAAGCGCCTCATGATCGATATTATGGCGCTGCGCCAATCATATGAGCGTCGCGAGATCACGGAGATCCGCTGGATCAATGGCGAAGACAATCCTGCAGACGCCTTCACGAAGGCATCGCCAAACCGCGCTCTTGAACGCTTTATTGACGGCAATAAGCTGACAGTCCGAGTAGATGGATGGGTGCAGAGGCCAACAAGCTTTGATGTTTAATGCTATACACTGTCACTACCGATACAAGCAGAGTTACTAGCTATCCAGAAAGAAAAGACTTCCAGTGTCGGATCGTGAGTATCGGTAGAGACGTCGGCTGCTGGACACTTCGGCCCGACTTCGGCCCACCTTGCGCAAGAGCTTAGGTATACCTTCGTAGCACCTATGTTCGTAGATATCAATTAGAACCACCGAACAGAATGCATTCCTAGTTATCGTTATTTCCCTTTACGCACTTAGTGCAAAGCCAACCAACAGGCAGCCACATTATCATTTTCTTTAAGGCACATAGAAAGACGATTACTACGGCCCACCTTGTCAAGATTTATCCCAATTCGTAGATACATACCATCTGATAGTCCAAAATTCTATCGCTCCTTCTTCGCTCCCCATCCCACTCCCACCCCACTACCTCCCCCCTCATCTCCCTCTCGTGCCACTCCCTTACCCTCTCCCTCACCGCCACCACAACAACCCCCCCCAAAAAAGATTCTCCCCCACTCCGCCCTCTTCTCCTCCGCCTTCTCCTTCCTAAACCCAATTCCCCAAATCCTATCCCTCGGGCTCGCCTCCGCCAACTCCCTCTCCCCGGTCATCAATAACACGCTCTTCATCGCCTCATTCCGCGGATCTGTATACTTGTACCAATTCACCACGCGTGCGACGCGCTCCTTGACGCGATCCCAATGCCATTGCGAGAAGTTCGGGACGGAGGAACCGAGCTTCTTGCAGACCTTAGGATCGTCGGTGCTTAGGATGCGCGTGCAGGTGAAGGATTCCGAGAAGAAGAGGGATTTTAGGTACATGTAGGACTGTTCCGCGGTGGTGAATGGGATACTGGTTGTGTGGGTGGAAAGGATTTGTCCGGCGGTTAGGGGGGGTTGGGGGACTTGAGGGATCGCTTGTTTTCCTTTGTTTGATGCTGGTGTCGGCGTTGGTTCTGGAGGAGGTGATGGTGGTGATACCGGCGCTGGCGCTGTGTCGATGAGCCATTGGAGCGAGGAGGTGGGTATGCTGAAGGGGCTTGCGTGCCACTGACAGGATACTCCGTATGGTGGCTCGTCGGGCATGTAGAAGTAGATTATACCGTTTGCTTGGTCTGCCTCTGTGGTCGGAAGATTCTTTTGGGGTCGTCCGGCGCGGTGGGGCTTGCGTTTTCCCATGTTGATAGCGATGATTTTGAGATGGTAGGAATTTTCTTTTATTTCGGCTCAAAGGGGGACTGGAGAAGTTGAGAGATATTGATTTTTATAACAGGGACTTATTACTATAATATGACTCCAAAGAAGAGTTTGGGTTGACTTCATGCTAGTGTACCATAGTTCGACAAGGGCGCAAGGGCTGAACGTAGGGCTGAGCTAGAGTACATTACATGTTGCCCAACCTGATTTTAGTTTGCGTTTCCAATGGCATCCAGGTAGTCTATCTGGGCGTGACAAACGCCCTGCAGAAGTCGTTACGCGCACACATATCGTTTGCCTCATTGCATAGTCATATATTGCGGATCCACAAAGTCGTTGAAACAATACCTTCTAATTACAACCAAACTACCAACCCCTACTTCACAAAAAACGTCAACTCTACCACTTCAACTCTTCTTCCCCCTAAAGTCCTGACTAATTTTCCTAACCAGCATCGCAAACGTCCCCCTCGTCTCCCAAATCGGCAATATACAACTAATCGCACTACTAGCAAAAACCCACATGAAACTTATGATGACCCAGCCAGTGAAAAAGCCCTTGGAAAAGATGTAGTGCGAGAAGAACATTGGCATCGGTAGCAAGAAGTCGAGGATGAATGTTAGCAGGAACGCGGAGATGCAGGCGAGTTTAAAGGCGCGACGGAGTGTCGATGGGTCGTCCGGTTCTTCGAGAGTAGGTGCGAGGTGCGGTGGGAGTTCTGCTACAGCGGCTGGTTGCGTGGTGGGTTCTGCTACGGAGCTCTTCTCGCAGGAGTCGGAGAGCTCGGGTATTGGAGAATCTTCGTGGGAGAGACCGTCTGTGACGACGGCGTTGATGGAGCGGGTAATTTCCCAATCGAAGTTGTCGGGTTTAATCAGTGTGATTGTGGTTGTTACGATCAGTCCAGTCATGATTGCTGCTAGGTTACCGGCGAGCGTAGGGTATGATAGTCCAGTCGTGTGAATGTTGATCGCTCCGTAGTAGACCTTTGCTGTTGATAGCCAAGCTGTGAGTCCGGCGGCGAGACCAGAAAGACACCCAGAGATTGCGGCTACGCGAGTTTGCTTGCGCCATGTAATAGCGAATGCGGTGGGGAAGACAGCGCCGCCGATAAGTAGACCCATCACACTTTAAAATGTTAGTATAGCATCGCACAGGAAAGGTAGAGATAGATGCTTACAGGAAAAGCCAGCCAAGGTCAATAGAGGCTGCGTGCCAAATGCAAGCGAAAACGGACATTGTCAGTCCGAATACGCAGATCATGATATGCGAAACAAAGACAAGCTGCTTTGGCTCAGCCTTTGGCGATATGTACTCTTTGTACACGTCAAACGTAAGCAACGAAGACACAGCAATGAGCTCCGCACTCGCGCATGATGTGACTGCCATGAAAAGCACTACTAAAAGTGCGACAGCACCTCCCTGTCCGAGCAAGGTCTCAGCGGCAAAGGCAGCGGCGAGACCAGATGAGATCTGGCCAGTCGTTGGTACATTTGGGTACGTAGGAAATCGCGGGTTGTCTGTGAGTGCAACTGCAGCAAGACCGAGTGTCGTCGAAAAGCCGAATGGGATCGCGAACCAAGCGAGGCCTCCGAGAAGATAGGCGCGTACAGCGGTTGATGGTTTAGAAGCAATCGCTCGCTGCCAGTATGCTTGGTCAAGGAAGACGGTTCCAGATCCAGAGCACAGTTGGATGACACCGAAAACCAGACCGAAGTTCGACTTTAAGGTGACATACGAGCCCTCGTGGTTTCCAGCAATGGGACGCTGGGTTCTGGCTTTCTTGAGGAGCTCGTACATCTCACCAGGTGAGCCGATTAATGGACTGACTGCGTATGCGTTGAACATGAAGTAGAGGATGATGATCATCAGAATCAACGTGTGGCTGTAATCGCAGATGAATGTCGCTCTCAAGCCACCGAGGATAACATAGGCGCACACACCTGTCGGTGTTAGCATTTCTCCAACACATTGTCACAGGTTTGACATACCAACTGGGATCAGAAAGACGGCCGCGTAAACTGGCATTCCGGTCAAACTGGTTACAACCGCACTTCCACCCAGCAAAAGCTGGCTGCCAACAAGGATATTGGTGACAAAAGCGAACACCATAAAGACAAGATGTGCCAGAGTGCCATATCTGGCTTTGATGATTTCCAGGTATGTATGGCACCTTGGCGCGTTTTGCTTGACTTTACATGCCAGGATAGAGAACATGAGGATCTGTACCGTGGCACCGGCAGCATACCAGAATGGCCCGGCTACACCGTACTGGTAAGCCACCGTGGACGATTGCAGCAAAGTAGCAGCCCAAGTCCAAGCTGACACGATTCCAGAAGCGATGAGGCCTGGTTTCACTGATCGAGAGGCGGTATTGAACTCCTCAGATTGGTAGGTCGAGTAACGGGTGTATCTGTTCTGTAGATAGGAGATGCCCATCATAATGAACGCAAAGAAGAACCCAATTCCAACAACGACACCTAAATCTGTCAGCCACGATACCTAGATGTCGACAAATACAACATACCATATCCGGCCCCCACTGGGAGCGGTGTTTTCGTTGCGTCAGCCATGGTGAAGGCCAAACAGAATCTGACAAGAGAGCGCGGAAAACTTCCAAGTCTTCCTCACCAGGAGTCTCGAGAGCTTAACATATAGTTTTAGTCCCGTTCGACTCCAACTACCGGCTAGGATACGTCAAGATGCGGCCGTGTGCTCATGGGTGAAGGTGGTTGTTTACGGAGTTTCCGCGGCGATTGCATCTACAGATAGCAAGCATTCATTGGTATGATTGCTCAACGTACTGCAAAGTGGTAAGCGTAGCGTCGATCGAGCGGCACGACATGGGGACCTCGTGCGATAAGCCGGGGTTTAGAACTCTATGTGTGTACCGCAAGTTAACATTGTTGATGCGTGCTGATTGTTTGAAGACCAGCAGACTTTCAGTACTTGAAACCTGGATATTCTGAACCACATTATTGCTGTTCCCGCAGCTTCACAATGAGATGGGGATCTTATGTTGATATTCGTGGGTATGCCGCTTAACAACGCTTGCTACCAAACACAGTGATGTCATCTTCAAGGTATGGACGCAGCTGCCGATAGCGGAAGAGAATAGACATTGAGTCGTGATAAACACCCCTGTCCGGCTAGCAATCTACCCCGCGAACGACGAATCAACGCAGATGGGGTTTTTGGAGACACGGAACTGCTCCAATTGGGGTCGCGATAAGTAGACTTGGAGATCACCAAGTTATGGTTTGTAGACTCATAAGAGCACACCCGGATGTCATAAGATACCTGACATACTAGTGTACAAAGGCCACTGTAGTCGCCAAATACGCCTATTAGGTGCTTGACTACACTGTCAAGTATTTTATGACACCCAGGTGCTCTCGAGTCAAATCCAGACTATGTCGCGAATCTATCGGATTGACATGAACATGCTGATCTGCCGTCGGCCGGGCCGTCGCTTTGATAGGAATATCAGTAACCATATTCCTTTCGATAAAAATATTCTACACCCAAATGTTATATCACATACCATTCTGTCTTAATGTAACATAGGGCTTGCGAGCTTTCATATATCATTTCTCTCTCTAGGCATCTGATGCAAACAACCCGCGACACCAATTCTCCCCAGAATCCGCGGAGTTGGTAGAACCGGAAGCAGTCGATACCTGAATATCATTTTGATCACCTTATCAGTAAGCCGTCGATCATTCTTCGGTATATACCAGCCATTCAGTCTCGGATTGAAGTCTCTCCGGGAAACCCTTGTAGAAGCCCGTGTGAAACATCAATCTGATGATCTTTTAGCCATATCCTGGTCGTATTCACCAAGGAGATGAGTGAGGATGTTAGATTAGAGTTGTCGCGCTGTGGTATGCGGCAGAGTAGTCCTTCTGTTGACGCTTCACGTTACACCCGCAAGTCGTGACATGCTTCAGGACATTAACGGATCGTCGGAATTGTTTGATAGTAGAAATGTTCGGAAAAAAAGGTCAAAGTATCTCGGCCATAGATTTGAACCATTTGCACACTATCGTCGTTGTAGGGAAATGGTGTTGTGAGGATCCGAAACAAACGTCTGCCGAGCCATGACATCGTGAACCCTTGCCCTGCCTGCCAAAAGCCGATCCTACCGCGGCTCAACCCAATTCCACACCTGCATCCTCCCACAACACCACCACAACCCACAAATCGCCGGCCCCCAAAGCGACACTTTCTCCAGAAACCCGCGACCACAGCTTCTGGAAAACCACCACAGCGCGCGCATCACCACAAGCACACCCACACACCCACGCACAATGACATCGCAACCCCCCCTCCCCCCAACCGACCCCCAACAACCCACCTACACCGACCCCACCTACTCTTTGATAAACACATCCTGCCTGGATCTCCTCCTCATAGAACTAGTCCCCATGGCCTACCGCATAACCGCCGACCTGGCGCAACGCGAGGAAGAATGGATACGCGGATCTAGTGTTGGGGAAAAAGGGCGGTTGAGTTCTTCTGGGGGAATGAGCGGACCTGGTGGAGGAATGGGAGGAGTAGGAGGAGATGCAGCAAGTACAACAGCAGGAACAGCACGAGGAACAGATGGTGGGCCGGTGGGGGGACTAGGCGCGGGAACAGCGACTGTAGATGATGAGGAGGCGAGGGAAGCTGTGTTTCATCGGTTGGAAAGTTTGGGGTATAGGGTTGGTCTTGGTGTTGTTGAGAGGTAATGTTCTTCCTATCTTTCCCCTCTCCCCATCTTCCTCGCATCTCGCATCCCTCCCTTCACCCCCCAACACACGCCCTCTTTTCACACCCGCTAACACCCACCAGAGTATCCCGACAAACACCCCGCCCAACAACCCCATTAGACTGCATAAAATTCCTCTGCAAAGACCTCTGGACCCTCCTCTTCCGCAAGCAAATCGACAACCTAAAAACAAACCACCGCGGCATCTACGTGTTGACGGACAATACTTTCAAACCACTCGGTCGCATGTCGTTTGATACGAAGAAATACGATGCTGCCATGCAGGCGGCGTTGGTGGCGCAGACGGGTGATGTGGCGCTGGGTCGGGATGCGAATTCTCAGGCGAGGGTACAGCCATTTCTGTATTTTCCTGCGGGCTTGATAAGGGGGTGTCTGGCTAGTTTGGGGATTCAGGCCACGGTTACGGCAGAGAGTGCGGCGTTGCCGGGAGCGACTTTTCAGATACGGACGGCGGGGGCGAAGAATTGAGGGGCTGGTGCGTTGTGGGCGGGAGCATGACTTTATTCAGCGGCATTGCAAGGCGTTTGGGGGTAAAGAAAGCTTGTGGGGAGATGTGTTTTGTGATTTACAGGATTCAAGAACATTCAAACACAAGGGACTTGGACCTGACATGATGTCTTATTTGCACAGAGATAATGATAATCGTCACACACGTCTTGTTGTCACTGGTACATTCATCAAACGTGTTCGAGTACATATTGGTATTGTTCATCACTTCCAGATCATGTCTCGTATGGTGTCATATCTCATCCATCATGGCGGCTCGTAGCCTGCCCGCGGATACCCGTTACACAAGAGGTACTGAGCTGCACTATTTCGCAGGAGGGTTTGCGACGAACTCGACACCCTTCGTGATGTTTCCTGACAGATCGTTGTAGCATGCCTTGAGGAGAGCCTTCTCTTGGTCGTTGGCACTGCTGACGACGTCGATGGCCTTCTCGGCACCGTTTGGCTGTTACGAATGTCAGTGAAAATACTAAAAGTCTTGAGAATGGATTCTTCACTTACACCAAGCTCAATGGGTACAGAAAAGTAGTCAGTGCCTGTGGCCTTGGCAATGGCGTCTCCGCCTTCTACACCAGGAAGGTAGACGTAGCTGGGCTCGACAATACCCTTCTCGCCCTTGGAGGCCTTGATGATCTTCTCGGCGAAGCTACTCATAGTTAGCAGGTGTATTGTATTTACAATGGACCGAACTCACCGGTATCCAGCGTAAGCCATAGAAAGAGTGGCTGAACCAGCGCCATCCTTTGCCTTGACAACTTCGTCACCACCAAACTGGACGCGGTTGACTAGAGCCTCCATCTTGTCGGCCGGGATTTCAACACTTGGCTTGGCCTGGCTGAAAAGGGGAACAATTGTGGCGCCAGAGTGACCGCCGATGACAGGAATGTACAGCTTGCCGGGGTTCTTCTCGCCAGTGATCTCGGCAACAAAGGTCTCGGCACGGACAACATCGAGGGTTGTGACACCAAAGAGCTTCTTGGGGTCAAAGACACCAGCCTTCTTCAGCACCTCGGCGGCAATGGGAACTGTGGAGTTGACGGGGTTGGAGATGACAAGAACAAAGGCCTTGGGGCAGAACTTGGAAACGCCTTCGATGAGATCCTTGACGATGCCAGCGTTGATCTTGAAGAGATCATCACGGGTCATACCAGGCTTGCCTAGACTCGTCAGCTTCACTTCTACAGCAATCAACTTGGTCTGTCTTACGAGGAATACCGGCGGGGATGACAACGATGTCGGCGCCAGTCAGAGCATCCTTGAGGCCATCATCCTTGGGAAGGTAGCCTTTTACAGTCTATTGATGTTCAGTATATCACTTTGTAGGCGGGGTTTGTGTAGCTATACCGCTGGTGTGGAGATGTGTGACAGATCGGCAGCGACACCGGGTGTGTTGACGACATCGTAGAGGGCAAGCTCATCGACGAGCTGGCAGTTCTTGAGGAGCAATGAGAGGGGCTATTGAGGGTCAGTCTGAAGTCCCTTGCAGGTAAACATGGAGCAGTCTAGAGCTCGTACCTGTCCAATGCCTCCAGACGCTCCTGCTACTACGGCCTTGACCATTTTGATATGATTTTGGGGTGGGAAGGTGATGTGAAAGAGGGAGTTTGAGATGAAGCAATTGAAGAGTCGGTGAGAGAATGAGAGGAGAGAAGAGCAGAATTGGTGGCTTGAAGTAGTGAGCTGCACACCACGCGCCTGTTCTGTTGGTCCTAGGAAGGTGGGGTGAAGCACAGGCCACTAGCGGGGTACCGGGAGTATGTCTGGGATGCTGCCTCAGACTACTGGAAGTCTAATGCTTTAGACCGTAGTCTGGCTGTTTCCGTAACACGATTAGTTTCGGCTGCGGGCTTGGTGAGCTTGGTGGGGGTTTCAGGCACTCTTTGAGGCTGATATGTTGACCCAAATTACCATATCAGATGCCTCGGTGTTTCCATTGACCGGAGCAGGTCGGATGTCCGCTCGTGAAGATGCAGGTACGGATACTCCGACGGGAATACCGCCCATTGTCCCGCGTACGGAAACACAGTCTGACGTGCGGGTTAGTTAGGTACATGGATTGCTTTTGGCCGAACCAACGCAATCAATGCTTGGCCAACTCCGGTGAGTTGATTTCAATTTGACTTGTGCAGTCGACAGCAAGCTTCAATAATGCTCGAAGCTCGTCGAATGCAGTGCCCCGTGGGGTTCAGGCTATGGCGATCATGGTGTAGGAAGATCCCGGTGAGGGATCCCGGTGAGGGTCAACCTTGTTTAGTTGCCGGAGCGGATCGGAACTTTGGTGGCAATGACATAGCGGACACATACTGTACATGACTGGCGAAGAAACGGGAAGTAGCTGTATACAAGGTATCTGCCATTGAATTATTCTGATAACCGTCTCGTGACGCCTCATGATATCTAGCCGTTCCGCGGCCGTGCCCAATACCGTCCCTAAACGCCGTATTCAACTTGACAACAGCGATTCTAAGCCTAATCAAAATACTGTATCATGTCCAAGAGCCTAGTTGTCGGCGTCCACTCGCTCGCCTTGAGCGTCGTCGTCGGGGTCGGCCTCGTAGCGACCAAAAGCCTGCGGGTCGCCGGCGATAGGGTCGGGTCCGCGCTGGCCGCCAACTGCATACATCTGTGGTTGCTGGTTCATTTGGTTGTATCCGCTGTACACGTTGGGATCAAACATGGGCTGCTGGGCATATGCTCTGGGGTCGCCCTGCACCTGGCCTGGGTACATGGCCGGCTGTTGATAGTCCTCTTGCTGGGCAAGATGCTGGTTCATACCATAGTCTGCGTGAGCCATGGGGTGCTGGGCATGTACGGGCTGCGCCATTCCACCAGGCGGAACTACTGCAGCCGATGACTGAACCGCGGCATTCTGCCCAGCGCTTCTCTTGTGAGGATGGGCCTCTTCGCGAGGGACAATGTCGATAAGGAAGTCGAACATGTCCGACTTTGAGAGTGCAGAGGCGATGTCGGATCGTTGCAGAGTGCGACGCTTGTTCTCCTCGGCGTGGATCCAGGCTCGCATGGTGAGCTCGGTGATGAAGATGTCGCAGCCCTTGGCGAAGAGGATGGGAGCTTCGGCCGAGATCATCTTAACTTCTGGATCTGCCTTCATCACCTTCTTGATGCGAGCGAGCGGGAGCTGGTGCAGCTTGTAGTCGTGTTCGTCCGTCTCGAGCTTGGTGACTTGCTGCTGCCAGTACGTGTTGAGAATGTCACGGTAGTTGCCCGTGAGACCTTGGTTCACCTGCCGTCGTCAGTCTGTACAGTCACAAGGGCGGTGAGGTTGGGCGCATACATTTTGCCAGGATCCGGTGAAGAGCTGCGGATCGGGAGCTTGGTTTTGCGCGGCAATCTGGACTAAATATCAGTGGCTGCATAGTAGCAACAGACGCGGGCGCGCACGGAGAACATACCGAAGCAGATGCGCCTGGAGTCTATCGTCAGCATATGGTCCCATGGCAAGCGCGACAGAGGATGAGGTGAGGGTGAGGGGAGGCGCGACTGACCATAGTGACCGCCATTGGCAGAGTCGTAGAGCGGATTGCCCTGCTGACCATCATATTTGCGGGGTGCGGCCGTCGACTGGCGCATCTTCTGCTGGCCGTGGCCCTGGAGGTTGACTTGGTCCATGGCTTGCTCTGGGTTGCGCAAGTGTTACGCGATGGGCAGGGTTCGCGTCTATCGGCAGCGTGTCTGGATGAGGCGGGTGGGTGCAGGAGTTGATGCGCGATACCCAATGGCTGCTCGGGGGGTTGCTGTGGGCGCGTTGTGGAAGGAGAGCGCAGTCGTGATTGCGTCCGAGGTGCGGTCTGAGTGCTGAGTGGCCGGGAAAGGTGCAGAGCGAGGGAGCGGGGAAGGCGCAGGTACCTGTCTTTTGGGGCGAAGAGTCGGAAACGTGTGCGCCTGCCATGCTGGATGAGCTTTACTTTATTCTATTGCACAAACTCTCCATGAGGTTGACCCCGAGATGCAACTGACCTTTGCTTGGTTCCGACGAATCAAATTCCAGCTCAAGTATATATTCGCGGACTTGGTGCTTGGTTGGTGGGTTTCCAACGACGTCGGCGAACCACAAACCACAACTAAGCCAGGGCCCCAACGTTACTCAGGTACGCAAAAGACGGCGGGGACGGGCTGCAGTATAAGACGCTTTCTTCTTTGCTCGACGTAGTCGGCCTCTTTTCCAGGTCACTCAGGCCATGCTTATATGCCTGCTATACTCGTCGCACCAAGGCCGACAAGCCAGGGCTGCTATGTAGAGTGACAGCACAGTAGCGACGCCGTGGTTTCTGCCGCCTCCGTCACATCTCGTCGCAAGACTCGAGCACTCGAGCCCATGCCGACCACAACTAGGAAGCACCACACTAGATAGACGAACCTCAACCCGCCTCGCCCACTTGATTGGCCAGAATACCGCCTCCTAATTGGCCGTGCAAGCCAGAAGCCATGCCAGCGATGAGTTGTTCAAACACCCTTTCTCTTGACCGCGCCGGGACATGCAAGCACGCGTCATAGGCCAATAACGCATCGAAAATGAAGCGAGTGCGGGCTTCAACTCAACGTGGCGGACCTGATTGCGAGATGCGTCGAGCGCCACCATAGCATAACTTCCATTCAAGGCCTCCGCCGTCATGCAACACGTCCTGAACAGCCTGATCGCGAACGAATGTCGGCAACAGAGGGCTAGTTTTGCCGATGCGGCCCGTGCGTCCGCTTCTCTCAAAAAAGTTCCTTCCCCAAATTTTCCTACCTCTTCCCTGTCAACGCCAACATGGAGTTGCCAACGCACCAGCCGCCCGTCGACGACGACACCGATGAAGAGCTTTCTGATGAGCAAATTCGGGACCTGCTCAATGAGGCGGCCGTCCGCATGCGCGCAGAGGCAGCTCAACCTGCCGTCAAAACGGACGCTCCGTTTAGGTTGCCGAAGCTGCAGCCTGGTCAAATCGCCAATACTTACGAAAAGACTGACGGCAATATCACGCGTCTAGATCATTCCAAGCTTGTCGACAAGACGCAACAGGCTCTGGCTAATGGCATCAAGAAGATTGAGGATCCGCTCCAAATCAAGAAGCAGGAGCAAGAGGTACGTCTGGACACTGCACTTTTCACTCGCCCGTGATGATATCTATCCCAAATCTTTTTACTGAGCAGATTGGGGCACCGTCTTGGTTGCCCTCCTGCACCACTGAGGTTCCATTAGTTCATAGTTACACTGAGGCATCATTCCACTCAAGCTTGCTTTCACAACTTTACAGTTGCACAGCGCTAACAGCTTTGATAGGAGAAGAAAGCAAACGCTGGCGCACAATGGTTCAACATGCCCAAGACCGATCTCACCCCAGAATTGCGCCGAGACCTGCAGCTCTTGAAGATGAGGAGTGTCCTTGACCCGAAGCGTCACTACAAAAAGGATAACTCGAAGAACGACGTTCCCGCATTTTCTCAAGTTGGCACCGTTATCGAAGGCCCAACAGAGTTCTTCAGCAGTCGTCTAAAGAACAAGGAGCGCAAACAGACTATGCTAGAGGAGGTTATCGCCCAGGAGCAAGACAGTGGCCGCTTCAACCGCAAGTACCAGGATATTCAGACGACCAAGTCAAGCGGAAAGAAGGCCTATTACAATGCGCTCAAAGCCAAGCGAAGCAAAGGCAAGGTGGTAAAACCTTGAAGATCTGCATGGCGCTCGGTCCATATCCAAGGCACTCCTTCTCATTCAAGGTTAGAGCTTACGGGCTCCTGCCTGTTTCGATGATGCAGTCTGTTTTAGTCTGTATTCGTTGTGCTATGGTGCTCTATCAGCCCAGACTACTCTCGGACCATGGTCGCTCCAGCTGTTGCTGTCAACCATTTGGTCGGAACCACGCCTATTCGTCCTGAAGATCAGACAGGATCTGCTTGACCAACGCCTGCATATCCTTGGCTGCCTCTCGTCCTGCCTCCAAGACCTCCTCATGGTTCGCCTTGCCTTTGCTCATGTGCTCAGTCAGTTCTCTCCTGTTCATCGTTTGGATCTCTGCATCGTCTCCACGAGCGCCTGCATCCAATACAGCGACATTTGTCACCAGACTGAAAGCAAGAACACGCATGCCAGCGTGTCGTGCGACGATGATTTCAGGTACAGTCGACATGCCCACGACGTCAGCCCCAAGCATGTTTAGCATTCGGCACTCTACACGAGTCTCGTAGCTTGAAAGGTCAGCGTCCGTTGATACGTGGTGGGATGAATGACATACGTTGGTCCACCAACAAACGCATACACGCCCTCGTGTAACTTCCGCTTCTGCTGGTCGAGGCCCAGCTTCTTCCACGCCTTGTGAGTACGTCTCCTGAGATCCAGGTCATACGCATCCGATAGAGGCGGGAAACGTGTGCCAAACTCCTCGATATTGGGGCCACGCAGAGGATGCATACCAACGAGACCGGCAATGTTCAAGTGCTGAACTTGTTAGTCGCCATCAACGGTAGAAGGGAACCACATACATCGTTCAGGCAAACTATGTCTCCCACGTGGTAAGTCTGGTTGAGACCACCAGCTGCGTTTGTGACTACCATTTGTTAGACAATAGACTTGATGTAGTACTTGGTACTCTGAGCTCACCGATCATGGTCTCAATGCCGAGTATCTTGCACACGCGGGTAGCGAACGTGACCAAGTCCATCGTGTGTCCTTCATAGAAACTATTAAAAAAAGTCAATATCCCAAGTTTCCTCTCTCGCAACCTTCCTCGTTACACGGTGTGACTCACTGTGCTCGTCCTACAAGCAGCGCTACAGGCGTCTTCTGGGGCCCAATCTGCCCAAACACAAACTTGCCCGCATGTCCCACGACTAAAAATCCCCAACATCATCAGCCCTCAACTTTCTCATCCAAGGTTTCGCACGTTACACACACACACAACTAACTACTCACTCACCTGTACTCTGGGGGAAGTTCAGTATCGTGCCATATGCCAATTCGACTTTTGGCTCAGCCTCGATTGTGTCGGCGAGGCCGCCTAGACCAGAGCCGCATACGATGCCTACGCGTGGGTTTTGCAGTGCGGGGGGGAGTTGCGAGCGGATGTATGCTGCTGTTGCTGTTGCGCGGGCGTAGGCGTTGGGGGAGGCGAGGGGGTCTTGCATTTTGGTAGATGTTTGGGAAATGGGGTGGGAAAGTGTGGACGTGGGGATGTTAGAAGATGGTTTGGTTTGGTGTTAGATAGATAGGTGGAGGCAGTTAGATAGCTACAAACGACACCACCACATGTGACTTTTCAATCAGACAAAAGCGTGAGGGGCTTGCTATCCCATCATCATCACGCCGCAACATGAGATCCACAAGCGGGCAGCCGCGAGAAAGGAAGGCGCGGCGTATTCCGACAATGCCAAGCCCCGTTGTCGAACTAGCGCGTTAATCGGGCGGGAGGGAAGAAAGTTCCTAGGCTGTGCGGTTGGCCCGTGTGTGTATCGATTGACGGTTTGCTGCTGTCTGTAATTGAACAATGGCCGCGCCACGATGTATGCGCTCTTTTCTGGGGCCGGGGAAGAGGGTCAAGGTACGCAATCATTTGTTTTTCGACGACCTCAATTGAGGATGTGGGATCTGTGAACGAGAGAGGGGTGAAGTACTAATGCGACAAAAAGATTACACAACAACCCGCCTTTACCACACGACCGTGCTTTTCACGGAACAAGAGCACGCGCGCAGAAGAAGACAATGAGCGCGATTCGAGAGAGGATCGGGATGCGACACTGATTGAGAAGTTGAGGGTGGGTTTGGAGAGTGGGGAGATGCCGTTGGATCAGCGGTTGGAGGATCTGGGGATTGATCCTGTTGAGTATAAGACGTATGTTGGACCTCTTTCTCTCTTCTCTGGGGAAGCTGGGAGTTGGAAGTTTGGAAAGGTGGTGGTGGTGATAGAATGGAAAGGCTAACAAGAAACCAGACTCTACGCCAGCCAACAAAAAGTCAACAAACGCCAACAAAAGTTTGAGCCTCAGACGCGCAAGGAAGCAGAACGACGATGGAAGGAACTACAAAACACACCCGATCATCTCGGCTTGTTGAAACTGTATAAACGTGCTGGTATCGAGCCGATTAAACTGGCAAAGTACGTCTCTCCTCTCTCCCTCACAACCCACCTAACACCCGTTCCAGAGAAAACGACATAACACTCCCCACCGACCCTCCCCCCCTAGACCCGCAAACCGCCCAGGCCCTGGAATCCCTCCGCACCCCCCTCAACGTCCGCGCTATCCACCTCCGCCCCCTCCGCCGCACACCTACCCACGGCGTCCCCACCTGCGACCTTCAACTCCGCACCTACAGCGTCCGCGGCCTCATCCTCTTCGCCGACTTCGCCGTACGCGCCGCCTACTACATGGGTCTCTGCGCACGAGGCCCCATCCCCCTCCCCCGCATAACCGAGCGCTGGACCGTCCCACGCTCAAATTTCATCTTCAAAAAGTCCCAAGAGAACTTCGAGCGTGTGACTATGCGACGGTTAATTCAGATACAAGATGGTCACCCGGATGTTGTGAAGGCTTGGCTGGCGTTTTTGGTCAAACATCAGTATCATGGGGTGGGTATGAAGGCGAATGTTTGGGAGTTTGAGGGCTTGGAGAGTGCGAGGAGGAGGGTTGTGGAGGAGACAGAGGAGCAGGTTTTGGAGAGGAGGAGGGAGGGGGCTGTGTTGAGGAAGGTGGAGGAGATTTTGGGGAGGGATGGGTTTAGAGAGAGTATGGTAGGGTTTAAGGGGAAGGAAGGGGTGGTATTGAGACCGTAGAGGGGGAGTGTGGTGGATGAGAAAATTCTGTGTGAAAAGGTCTTTCCTGTTATGGTCGTTGGAGGTGGACCAGTCGATAGGTGTATGATGAGATATCTGTACAAATACATGCACATACCACGCCAGAGAAGTTTATTCAAACAAACCAAACCTCATATATTCATCATCATTTCTACTTTCTACTCTCTTGCAATCTACATTCTGGATTTCCAATTTCTTCAGCCTCTACTCCATTTCCCATCCCGTCCCAGCTCCCATCACCCTCTAAAACTCCATCTCCCCATCCGCAGCCCCCTCCCCCGCATATCTCTCATCCGCAAGCAACAACTCCAGCATCGCATCCAACAAATCCGGCTCCACGCCTCTCCCCTGTAGCGCCCTTACTTTATTCAGCACAGGCTCGTTGTTATCAAGACAGAACCAGATATCGCGTTTCTTCTCGTTGTCCAACCATGCTTTATCGAGTATGTTCCAGATGTGGGGGTTGGGGTTTATGATGTCTAGGGTGGGGCCGCTTCCACAATTGGAGGACGGGGAGGTAGGGGAAGAAGGGCATAACTCGATGATGATGGTGTGAGAAACAGGCACTGCGTCGATGGAAATCACGGTCCCGTTGTCCGCTTTTTCGAGGGTGAAAGGGAGGGATTTGGCGTTTCGGCGGGTAGCTGGCGCGGTGGTGATGACGCGGATTTCCGTCCCTTTAGGTGGAGTGTGCGCCAGAAGACGGATTTTCCAAGACCGGTGTTTGGGGATTGCTGGGTCGGAGGTTGATGGGTCGGGGGATGCAGGACCGATTTTCAAGACGCCGGTGGATTGTTTGTAGGTGATTGGTGTGGAGATGAACGTTACGGTGTCGTCGCCGTTGTCATCACTATTGGAGGTGGCGATGTCGTCGTGGGAGATGAGGCTAAACCCACAGTCGTCGACGAGATGACCAGTCCCATCGTCTTCGATGAGGGTGAATGCCCCGTCTGCGCCTACCACAAGGAGGATTTCCAAACCAGGCGGGTTGGGCGAGCCAGATACGGGGCGGTAGGCGGCGTCGAGGGGGATGATGGAGCCTTGTTTTGCGAAGACAGGGACGGTGTTCAAGGGTCTATGGACGGTGAGTTCGCCGGATCGGTTGTATACGATGCCTGTGAAGATGTCGACGTAGCGACCAGCTGGGAGCCAGATTTTCTCTGCACCGAAATGCGTGACGGTGGAGCGGGCCGAGGTGATTGGCGCGACGATGAGTTCGGTGCCGAAGCGGTATTGGTTGGGCACGTTGTAGGCTTCGTCTGCTTCGGGGTTGTCCCAGTACATGGGTTGGATGAGGGGTTCGTCGTAGCTGGCGCTGCGGGCGTTCATCGTGTAGAGATAGGGGATGAGGCGGTGGCGGAAGCGCAAAGTGTCTTCGACTATAGTGCGGGCTTCTTCGTTGTAGCGCCACGGCTCACGCGTGTTGAAGGGGTTGTTGTCGGAGTGGAGACGTAGGATGGGTGACCAGCAACCTAGCTGTACCCAGCGTGTGTAGAGCTCGTCATTCTTGTAGCCGTGCGTGTGGCCGCCAATGTCGTTGCTCCACCATCCATACCCGATGTTTGAGGCGGTTGCTGTGAACTCGGGCTGGTAGTTTAGACTCTCCCAGGTGATGATGGTATCGCCAGAAAAGCCAATCTGGTACCGCTGGGCTCCTGGTCCACCAAATCGCGACAGAATCAGTGGACGCTGGGAGCCGCGTCCAGAGTCGAGGAAATGGAAGTGGTTGAGTACCCAAAGCGGGTCTACGCCAGGAATCTTGGACGTGTTGCCCTGCTGCCAGTCCACCCACCAAAAGTCAACACCTCGCTTTTCATGGTCGTGGTGTACAACGTCAAAGTAGGCATCCATAAACTTCTTGTCCGTACAATCAAACGGAATCGTCTGCTTGGACGCTGGATCGATACCGAGGTATTTGGCAACTTCGGGATATTGGTCCTCGAATGGCCTGAAACCGTCCGCGGGATGGAGGTTCAATGTTAATCTCATACCCCGATCGTGCAGCTTCTTCATAAAAGCATCAGGGTCGGGGAAGAGCTTCTTGTTCCACGTGTATCCGGTCCAGCCATTGTAACCACCCGGTATGTCCCATACAAGATGCCAGTCCATATCCACAACTGCGACATTCATCGGTACATCGTCTTTTTCGAAATGATCGTGCAAGGCGAGGTACTCCTTCTCGTCGTAAGCATGGTATCGGCTCCACCAGTTGCCCAAGGCATATCGTGGCAGTAGAGGCTGGCTTCCCGAGACTGCGTAGAATGCGCGCATGGCTTCCCGGTAGTCGCGACCGTACATGAAGATGTAGTGATCGCTCCTGTCTCCACCTCGGCGTCCCGCGATCCAGCCGTTGTCCTCGAAGAGCATGGATTTGGTGTCATCCAAAGGAGTCATACCCTCTCTCGACAGTATACCGGGTCCAATGTTGGCCCGGCCGTTCACTCCATCCAGTGTGCGTGTGGTTCCACCCAGATTGGAGACTTGCTGGCCATATGTCCATGTACCCGTCACATTCCCCTTGAGATGTATCTTCAGGCCCTCGGCGCTAAACTTCTTCTTGTCGTACACAACGTGGAAGCGCTTGGTTACAATCTCGATGCCGTGACCGCGATCCCAGACATAGAAGTCGGGAACAGCCAGCTTGCGGTTGATGGCAAAAGTACTTGCGCGGTCCTCGAAGCGGCCGTCCTCGGCCCACTCAAAGCGCAACAAGCCATCGGTGAGGATGGTAAAGCGGTACTTGTCGCCCGCGACAATGGCGTCTGGGTGCGCAACCGGGCGCGTCTTGAAGTTGTAGCGTGCCTTTGACATTGCTCTTCAATATCAAGACCTCTCAGTGTCAAGTAAGACCTCTGGTACACGTCCGTGAAGAGGCCGTGGCATAGCGGGGCGCAACCAACAACCGGCGGTCAATCATCTTAAGCATGTCTGGGGAAAGGGAGCTCGGACGGTGTGTCTGACTAAAGCCAGCTACCATGGCGCCACGCGCGTGACCTCGGTTTAGTGGAAACACACCTGTCAGGCAAAAGTAGCCCCAAAGAATCCATGCAGGGCATGTCAGGCGACAGGTCGAAATCGCCTCGCCTGCCTCATCGACGACGCTACGTCCATGGCGAACGACTGGGGAAATGCGGCACACCGGAATCGTGTTACGAGATGGAGTCTAAGATGAGTCTAGGAATGGGCACGCGACGCCATCACTCGAGGCCGGAGAAATGTTTCGTCGCTGCACCTCTGCTGCAGGGTGGCTGCAACCTGTGGTGCACCGGCCGCGCCATCGCACTGCATCCACGAATATCGTGAGGATGTTGGCGCATGATGGTCTTCTAGATCGGCATGTTAATCGGTGTGAAGCTGAGCATGCCGGGTATGTGCCTGGTAGAGTCGTATTGTACTGAGGGGTAGACGACATCTCCGCACCGGCGATTACCGAGCATATGAATGTATTGTCGACATGACCAGCGTGTCTTGGCCGCGAATACCAGGGTACTATGTCTTCTACAACCTTTGAAAGTAGTGTTTAGTAAAGTCAATGTCATGGGAACATGGTGGAGCGCTTACTATTCTCGTTCAAACACAGCATGGACGTCAAAACGTAAGAGAAACTAGTTGTAGCTCTACAATTAAATCTGCTAAGAAGAAGCTACTGCAAACGCCAAACCACCATCGACACTCAGCTCAAATGAACCAGACCTCAGCATACCCACAGAAACTGGCTCCAGCCGCAAACTCTCAGTCATCTAGATTCGCACTCAGTTGGCCGTCAGATCTACGTTGCGCACCAAGATATCCTCGTTCTTCTCGTAAGGAATGCCCGCCTTCTTCCTTGCCATATCATTGATCCATTGACCATTGGGCACAAGCTTCTCGCCCTTGGCAAGCTCATCTGCCAGGTATAACCACGACAATGCATTGCCCACGGTGCTGACCTCGTCACTGACATGCTTGCCGGCGTACTCTGACATGGTCGAATGAAGCTCCGTATCGGTAAAAAGATCGTACAGGTGCTTCGCAACTGCATCGTGGTCGCCAGGCTTGACAAGGAAGCCAGATTTGCCTTCGCGGACCTGGAGTGGAATACCACCAGCGCGAGTCGCGATGATTGGAGTGCCTTTGCGGAGCGCCTCACTGACTTTGATTTCGAAGCCCTCGCGCGTGGACAACTGAAGGGCAACATGAGCACACGACATCAGTGCGTTGAGCATTTGGTCAGACGGGCCGATACGCATGATGACCACGTCGTCTTTGAACTCCGCATACTCGCCCTTGAGAGCATCTTCAGTTTCCTTGAAGATCTTCGTGGCGTCCGGATCGTCGACGGCGCCATGGCCTGCAATGACAAGCTGTGGAATGTCCAATAGAGGAGTGTCCTTCATGTACACCTTGCGTAGTCGGGCGTATGATGCGAGAACATCCGGGATACCTTTGGCCGGATCGAAACGAGCGATTTGGACAATGAATTTCCGGTCTGGGAGAAGAATCTGACGCTGACCAGCTCCAAAGCACTGCACCTTGAATTCGTGGATGTAGTACTGTTCATCCCAGGGATCCATGTGTTTGTTCAGACCATCCAGCCAGTCGGTAGTCGCGGGCATATATCCTACCTTCTTTGCATCAACCGACTTGGGAACGAAGGCGCGCACGGGGTGGCTGATGAAGACGTCGCAGCCCTTGACGTGGTTCCAAATCCAGTTCCATACTTCAGAGGTCGCGGTGCCCTCTTTGTCAGCGAGATCGGCTCGGACCTGAATGTGGCTGCGGAAGATGACGGGGCGATCTGGATCATTCTCTTTGGCAATTTTGACAAGACTCGGCATTTGTGGGTCGTCGACAACGATAACGTCAGCACCACCGTCCGTCCGAGCGGCGAGCGGGCCGCCGGTTTCTGTCCAGTGACACTTGTCAGCCTCTTCTGCGACCCAGGCGTCGAGTTTCTTGATCTTGTCATCAGTGAGACGCTCGCCAGCTTTGGCAACACCCTGAAGAATGTTGTGGTTGTCCTTGGTGATCCTGAAGATGTTACTCTTTCCATATGGCACGTACCTGGCGCTGTTAGAACGGGCTTTCTTTGGTAGATGATCAAGCTTACCATTTGCAATCAACATCGACCAGACGCAAATATCGCATGAGAGCGTGCCTCATCAGGGCTACGCCACCACCCTGTGCGGTACTATTGAAGAAAGCAATCTTGGTGCTGTTCTTCTTCAGTGAATCGACGTAGTGCATGGTTGCAGCCCCAGTTGTCTCGACTTTGGTGGTGGAATTGTAACTCTCCAATTCCGATATGCGTACCTTGCCGTCGAGGTCGACCAGCACCTGGCGGCGGGGTCCTATCTGGACGGGCAACTCGCCCTTGACGTTGAATTGCTTGACAGTCTTCCTGGCCATGTACTCGGCTTGTTGATCCAATGACATGGACGTGTGTTCCTCATTCTTCTCAACTGGGAAGATGAATGGGAGAATGTCCAACTCAGCCCACAAGCGTACGGCCAGATGGGGGCTCAATTGATCGAGTTCGGCTGTCAAAGATGCGCCCATGGGTTTGGAGAGTTTCGCCTCTCGGTAACTACGGAGGTAGTCGATGAATGCCTCTTCTACAGCTTCTGGGGTCTCAGCCACCGACACCACCGACATGGGCGTGGAGATTCCCGATCCGGCCTCGGAAGAGTCATCAGACAAACGGATACTCCTGGTGACACTCCTGGAGAAGCCAAGGGCCTTGTCTTGGCAGTCGACTGGATAGGTGCCGTCGTGGAGGGCAACACAATAGAACAACTCGCCGTCGTCGGATTGCGTGGCAGATAAGCCGGCGTATATAGCCTATCACATGACATCAGTATTGAAAATCAACACCAAAAAGGTATGCTGACCTCGACAGTTGCATTGAGAGTGCCAGCCTGTTCCTTGAGCTTTTGAAGTGATTCAGATGATTTGAATGCAGTCAGACTCTTCTGGCGCCGCTCTTGCGTTGTTTGGCGACGCAACATTGGCCGCTGCGTGGGCACTTGGAGATGTGACATGCTGAACGATGGTTTGGCTCTTGTGCAGCAGATTCAAGGTTAAAGTACGGGGGATGAATAGACGAAGATTAGACACTTGCTGGCAGATAGCGATGTGTAGCAAGCTGTGGTGGAGGAAGATGTTTTTGGTGGGTGAGAACTGCAGGCAGAAGCGGCTTTTATGGTATGCGTGGGTACTTCACAGGCAGTCACCCGTGACAGCTGACATGGTAGCAACCCGAATTCACAGCAGTGGCGATTGGTAGTATTCGGCAGGCCAAGAGGCAGTGCAGACGGCATGTGTGCCCATTGAAGAGTCAGTGTTGCGTGATGTAAGCGGTGTATGGAGAGGACATGATGGCAGGGTACATTCACGGAATCAGGGTGACGCGACGATATCTCAGTCGGTGGGTCGAGAATATGGTACTTGGTAATAATGATCGTAGCTCGGAAAGGGCTTACGCGATGACGCCAGACGCTCCCACGCGGGACTACAAAAGGCAGGAACAGCTGGTGAGTGGTGGCATATGCAGCGGAAGCGGGAACAACCATGGTACTGGTATGGTGTGTTGGGCCGACGCCGTGCATAAAAGTATCGTTTGACCTGAACGAGTTTTCAAAGGCTAGATGCGGGCCGGACACGGTGCAACCAAAGGTACGCGGGGGTGGAAGGCTGCGTGCCGTGGGTGGCGTGTTGAGTTCAGCCGCCGACGCAGCGTGTAACCATCGTGATTGTGAGTGCAACGGAGAAGCGGACGAGTTGGCTAGCGGACATGTTATAAATGGCTGTGTGACGTGGTAAGCGGGAACTACGGTCAAGTTTGCGAAGTAGTCTCGAGCTATTCTGTATAATATATCAGATGTTCCAACAAGTCTCGCCATGATAAGCACAGTGTGCTCGTTCAGACTTGGCCATCCGACTGCAGACGTGACGGGGGTCCGTAATATACGGTAAGACGGTGGGGGACATGATTAACCTTGCACTGCCTTTGGTGGCGTTACTAGATGCCTGAGTAGCATTGGGACATGTCGAATATGTTGGCACTTTTCAACTTCTAAAGAAAGCTCACCAACACGTGATGATGATGAGAACATGTGACATAAGGTTTCGTGACAGCAAGACATGTCGTGAATACGAGCCTCGGGCACAATCAGCCAGGCACGTGTGATGGGCAACTTGGCTCGTTAGCGTGCGACGGGCAGCGGAAAGACTAGCCAGGGTCCGATGGACGGGGTGGAGAAGAGCGACTGGCGCGGGTGGGAGAGGGAGACGCGCGGAGCCTGGGGGGTGCACGCGTATGGGTGCGGGGAGGTGTGCAGAGCCATGGAACGCCTCTACTGCATACTGAAAGCAGTAGGCAGACAGTTTAGTGGTTGTTTGGCCCGCGGTTGACGGCGATATTGTCTTCGTTGCATCCCCTCCCGCCTGCCGGATTTGAAACGCACCTTCCTCCGTGCAAGCCAAGCAAAAGCACCAACCACCGACCCACCCATCTTCCGCTCAAACCTCAGCCTTTCGCTGTTACCACCAACCTCACTTGCCTGCACCTGAGCCGAGCCGATTCAGACTTCATCTATCCGATACCTGTCGCGCCCACCAGAGGGCCGGCCCTGCTAAATTATTTTTGCACTGACAGCCTCTGCGACGATTGCGACAGCAGCCTTGCGACAGGCAGGCATCCATCGACTTCACCGTCGCATACCGCGTTTTCACCCACGCCACGCAGTAGCCCGCGACGCGAGGCATACCGACGCTCCATCCTCTTCACCCTGACCACGAGCGCATACACTTCGCCGCCATGAACCACTACCCTCCCCGTGTCATGGGCGGTCCTCAGGCCGGCCCAGCCCAGCGCCTCAACGAGCTGCTCGACAGCATCAAGACGGAATTCGAGACTGAATCTCAGCGCAGCGTCGAATATGAAGGCCAGAGTGAGTCTTCCCATACTGTCACCGCGTAATAGACAGTCATGCTTCGGAGACGGCGAAACTACCTCATGTCGTATTTCGCACCACTTCACCAAACCTCATCATTGCCATTGTACACGTGCTAATCTCTTCCTCGTAGTCAGCCGGCACATCCAGGAGATAGAACTCATCCGGGGAAAAGTCTACTCACTCGAGCAGTCGCACAACCAGATGAAATCAAAGTAAGCTTCACATGTTTGCTCCACACCGCATCCTTGCGATGCTGGCGCTAAGAGGAATATTCCGTCGCATACACACAAACTGAAATGGCAATGCTAACCTCGTCCGCAGATATGAAGAGCGCATTGCCCAGCTGGAACGTGAGCTCGAGGCTCGCGGCGGCCCCAGCCAGAACTCGCAGCACCACGGCCCCTCTCAACCCCAGCCGCCCCAGATCGGCCACGGTCCTAGCAACTTGTTTGGCGGTATAATGGCAGGCAGCGCTGCTCAGGGTGGTCCGGGCCTAGCCCCTCCTCCACAGGAGCCACCCCAGGGTCATGGCATGCCACCACAGTTGGGAGGTCCCCAGGGCCCGCCAGGCCCCCCTGGTCCCCCACAGCACTTTGGTGGCTACCAGCCCGGCCCTCCATCTGTGAATGGTGAGATCGAATACTTGCTTGGTAGTCAATCATGTTACTAATGACCCCTAGGCTACGGTCAGCCCCCACAGCCAACTGCTTCGCCTGGTGCTAAGCGTCCAGGTCCTGCCCGCGGTCCCCCCAACCCCGCCACTCCTCAGCAGAACAATCCTGCTCCCTACCCCGGATCCCCCCAGGTTCCGCGACCCACCCCACCGCCTCATCATCAACAGAATGCATTGATGGCAGCCAACCATATTCCTCTCAGAGAGAGCAACATTCTTGCCGATCTTGACATCGAGCAATTGCCTGAAAACTTGAAGAAAGAAGGCAGTGATTGGTTCGCTGTTTTCAACCCTCGTTCAAGGCGAGTGCTCGATGTTGATCTTATTCATAACTTGCCACATCAAAGTGTTGTGTGCTGTGTTCGTTTCAGCTTGGACGGTAGATATGTCGCCACAGGTTGCAATCGCTCGGCACAGATTTTCGACGTCGAGACTGGTAGCCCTGTCGCACACCTCCAGGACGGAAGTTTGCCAGAAGATGGGGATCTCTACATCAGGAGTGTCTGCTTCAGTCCCAATGGCCAATACCTAGCCACTGGTGCTGAGGACAAGGTCATCAGGGTATGTTTAGATCGTACAGTGATGAAAAGGAAGTACTGACGTTACAACTAGGTCTGGGACATTGCCAGCCGTACCATCAAGCACCAATTCACCGGTCACGAGCAGGACATTTATTCGCTCGATTTCGCCAGGAATGGCAAGATCATCGCCTCGGGTAGTGGCGACAGGAGCGTGCGTCTCTGGGATCTCGAATCCAACATGCAAGTTTCAAACTTCTCCATCGAAGACGGCGTTACCACTGTCGCCATCTCCCCCGACAATCTTTACGTGGCTGCTGGATCGCTCGACAAGAGCGTCCGTGTATGGGACATCCAAACCGGCCAACTCGTTGTCCGACTCGAAGGCGAGCACGGCCACAAGGACAGCGTCTACAGCGTAGCCTTCGCTCCTTCCGGCAACCGCCTCGTCAGCGGCAGTCTAGACAAGACGATCAAAATGTGGGAGCTATCAACCACCAACCGCTTCGTCCCCGGCGGAAACCACCCCACTGGAAAATGCATCCGCACATTCGAAGGCCACAAGGACTTTGTTCTCTCCGTCGCTCTCACCCCCCATGGCGACTGGGTACTCAGTGGTTCCAAGGACCGCGGCGTCCAGTTCTGGGACCCCCACACCGGTGTCGCTCAACTCATGTTGCAGGGACACAAGAACTCTGGTAAGTTCTCACGTATATATGGATGGACTCGTGATTTGAACAATTTGCTAACTCAATCCTACTTGTAGTCATCTCCGTGGCCCCTAGTCCCACTGGCGGCGTCTTCGCTACTGGAAGTGGTGACATGCGCGCGAGGATTTGGAGGTTCGACAGGTACCAAGGCGCTTAGACTGCTCCTCCTACTGCCACTCCTGCTCCTGCTCCTGTTCCTGGTACGGCTGCCCACCATTCCCCTCGTCCCTTTCGCACTGCACGTCGCCCGCCAGGCGGGCATCCTCGAAGGAATGGTAATATACCACCTAGGTTGTGATGATGTCTCTTTTACTGGACTCGTACGTTGAATGAGAGACCGTGTACTTGCTGTGTAGTGATCGCAGGAGCAGTTGCATGGAATGGGAGGTAGGTCTTGGCTTGGGATGATGTTGGATGCTTGGTTGGTTGGTGGGGCTCCTCGTGTGGCCTTGTCTGTTTATTCTGTTGTTGTTTCCTTTTATCATTTTTTTGGCTGTTGGTATTTGATTCCCATATATGTCATCATCTTATTCTTAGCTGATTATGATTTTCCCGTCGAACTAACTGTGTGAAGTATATGTATGTATATATTCTTCCCTCCGTGACGTGCACAGGTTTTGAAGTAAAAGGATAAAAGGATGTGTATTAAACGCCGCCAGCTCTGTACAAACCTTTGATCCGGTCTAAACGACCACGCCCACGCCAATATCCAGTCCTTACTCCCAAAAGACCCGATTCCGTTCCATTTCATCATTGCTCATAACTCCATGGTCACATGATGAAGTGAAGTGAGAAGCGCCAGGCAAACGCAGAACAACTATATGCTTGAACTCCATTCCCTTTTCTTTCCGTTCCTTTGTGCATTTCCAACCCCGTTTCCAAGCCTACCCAAAAGAAAAAGAACCACCTCACCATCATCTACACAGCGAGGCCGCGAAGCCTCCCCTTTTGTTCCGTTAAAAAGCTACTATCATCCCTCCTCAACTTTCCATCAATCGTCTACCCATCAACCCAAAGTTTCTACCCATTCCTCGACTTTGATGTAGGCAAGACGACACGACGGCAAAGAAGCGACAAGTGCAATTGGCGTCTAAGAGTGGCCACGGATTCAGCATCAGAGTCATCCTACGACATGCGTCTGCGTCTAAAAAAGGGTTCTTCAGCCTCCTCCTCTTCTTCCTTCTCCTCGTTGACTTGGAGCGTGAGCCATGCGGCAGCGAGGGCGCAGAGGCCACCGAAGCGGAGGACCCATGCTACGCTTGTGTCGCAGCGGTGCCGCGTGGTTTTTGGAGGAGCTTAAACATGATGGCGCTGACCAGGGTGGCGATGACTTGAGGGGCGGCGATGGCTACGTTGTGGATGCCGAGGACGACGCCGGCAGAGTCTGCGCCGGAGCCGTCGTCTTCGCCTTCGGCGATGAGCTGGGATTCGCGGTCGCGGGGCTTGATGATGCCGCGGCGGATGGCGTCGCGTTTGGAGATTTCAGACGAAATGATGGCAAAGGGGGCCCAGTTGGTTACGCACCAGGGGATTCCTATGGCGCCGACGAGGATGGTAGCGCCCCATGTGCTGTGGACGAAAAAGGTAAGTACCATGAGCACAGCGAAGAGAATGTGCGAGATGAACCAGGCGCGACGTAGGGTGAGTGACTTGATCTGCAACATCTCCAGTGACTTTGAAATCTTCTCCATGATCGTCGTCGGGGTTCCTCTTGGTGTGTGGTTCAGGGCAAAGTAGCCGGAGCCGCCCATGGAATGTGGGGTTGCGGGTGTCATGGGCGTTGCTGGTGTCATTGGACGATCTGGCTCCGGTGCTTGGAAGGTTGGGGGAATGACAAATGGGAGAATGACAGAGGAGAGAAAGGTAGTGATGGCGAAGATGAGAAGGGCTCTAGTGCCAATTCTTGTACCGTCTTCTAGGACTTGATCGATCCTGGAGTCTGGTAGATGAGGGTCTTTTTCGAAAATGGGATCCGCAAAGATCTCGCCAACATAGGTAGTGATGTAGAAGAGGAAAGGAAACCATCCGATCCAAGCAAAAAACTGGACCGCACAAACCTTTTTGATCTGTGGAGGCAGTTTCTTGACTGAGCGCGCAAGACCCCTGAAGAAAGCGAGGACGCCATCTTGTTGTTCGGCAGGAGCCGTGTCAAACTGTGGGTCGCGTTCGGAGCAAGTGGAGCAACTGATGCCAACCGTGACAGCCATGACAAAAGAGGCGATGGCACAAAGAACCTTGAACTGGGTATCACCGAGCCATGGGAGGTACTCCGGTAGCTTGACATAGCCGGCCAGGTAGCCTAGGATATTGCCAATACCCGCCGAACGCATCAACCATGCGTTGGCAGACTCTTGTTGATGTGTGGGCGCGACGTCGACAATGTATGCTCGTACACCAGCTTGGATGACGTTGATAGCGAAGTCCAATACGTATACGAACAGAACAGCGAAGAGCATGATGCTCGTCTTGACAAAGGTAGACTCTGGGTTGGCACCGAAAAGACCTAAGAAGCCTCCGATGATTTCCTTTGCCCAGGACAGAACCATTAGGGAGACTATGGTTGCGGCAGCGCCGCCAATGATGAACGGTCTCCGTTTTCCCCAGCGCAAGCGGCAGTTGTCACTCTTGAGACCGACATAGGGCTGGACGAGTACACCAGAGAGAGGGCCGGCGATCCATACCAGGGCAAGCATCGACTTGCTCAGGCCGAGTGAAAGGAGATAGGGCTGTGCAGGGTTAGCGTCTTGTGCACATGTGAAAATAGAATCCAGTGTCGGACAGAGGGTACGGGCAGCGACAGAGCGATACATGCATGCCGATCTTAGAGCCGCATAGTACCTACTAGGGTCTCGAGGTACATGCAGGAACCGGGCCGCTGCTCGTCGCACTCAGACAGGAAAAGTACGTACCGAACCGTTTGAGGTTTCGACTGACCAACCTATTTGCAGGCCGAGGCCGCCAAAGGTGAGCAGGAACAAGAACCAACTGCTCTTGGTCCTCCTCGACTTGTTGTTCCACCCATCCAGTCGTCATCTTCGTCGTCGGGCGACAGGGCCTCCTTAAGGAGTGGGTCGACTTCGGAAGACATTCGTTGGGGTATGATGGTAGGTTCGGAGTCGGTTATGAATTCCACGTGGGGGTGGCCCTCTGCGTCTGGACGTCCACCAGCTAGGGAGTCGCGGCCAAAAGAAACGAGTTTGGGTCGAGGTCTTGGGCGAGATGAAGTGTCGATTTTAGAGGGAGGCGAAGAACGAGGTGAAGACTCGGGCTCATCACCGCCATGGGGCCGTGAGGAAGACATGTCGTGTGGTGTTGGCAGGCGACGTGGTCTGCCCTCGTGGCTGACTGCTAGGGTCGGCCAAACTAGGATTGGCAGGACCGAAGGGGTGTGTATAAAAGTTGGGTGCTTTTGGCAGTGGAGTGATGTGGTGCGAGAGGGCAGGGTTATCAAGAAAAGTTTAGGAAGCGCGGCGGAACTAAATCATGCATCCGCGGTGAAAGAGCCGCTAGTTAAGTTTTGCTGAGGATCGGGCTGGGATCGCGACCAAACAGTTTACGATAAATGGTGCTATACGGGACTACGGAGGTGGAGGAGAGAGTGGACGTAATAAGCAGGGCGGGATGGGGGGTGCTAGCGAGAGGCGGGTGTAGGTCATGTGCAGGCCAGC